ATGTTGCCCTAAGTGGAACAGTTCAGTGGCTTGCTATCAAATCACAATTCGTAATAGTAGGCCCAAATTCTCTGATATTTAAGGGAAAACCATGTGTCCCTGCTCCCGCATCTGAGCTTTGTGTCTTTTTAATAATTCCACTTGAAACCGCAGGATTTTTTCTGAAAAGGCTGGATGCAATCCTTCTTTACAGTCTATTCATATTGAAGGGGAAGAAGGTGTAAAGCCCTTTTTTCCCTATTATATTCAGGTACTGCCAGCATATAATAGGGGATAAAAGGTTGTACGAAGCAATTCATTTAATCTGTCAAAAATATGTAGTTTAACGTGTGAAGAGGAGACTTGGAGAGAGGTCTGCTGTGAACAGAACGACAATTTATAAAAGCTAAAAATCTGCTTTTTTTTAAAAAAGGCCCCCTCCTTTTTTTTCCGTTTACTTTCAGTATTCCTACAAATGGGTCAGTTGGTACAGGGCTTATCTAAGACATTGACAAGATGCACTATGAACAACGTGGAACACAAAAGGATTGTCTAACTAGTGTGCTTGAAGGCCATTGAAATGACAGTCCATTTCGAAGGAACAGTTATTGAAAAGCTTTACTTACCAATCTATACAGTATAATTAATTAATAGCTATCACATTAGATAAATCTAAAGCAACCCTTAAAGACAACACTGCTAGAATGGAAAATCACTGTCCTAGTAATTGGTTAGGAAGAATTAAATAAATGGACAATGTCCATCTTGCGAAATGGATCCTGAACGGTGGTAAGAAAATGACCACCATCACATAGAAAATGTATTATTGGGAAAAAATGGGTTAACCTTTAGAAAATAGTATTTTTTTTTATTTTTAAGGAAGTTTTAACCAATGCTGAGATTACAGTAGTGAACTAAAGATAATTAATTAAACAACATAGTTTATTAAGCAGGTTAAATAATTAGCACAATAAAAAAATTGATTACATCCTTAAAACAAAAAGATCGAAAAAAAAAGTCAAAACACAAACAAATTGTATAAAAACAACCATAATAAAAAAAATATAACTTTTAAATTATGTAGCGACTATGGCATGGATAACAAAGGTAGCACTGGGGAAAAAAACAGTGATTAAAAGAACAACTCAATATGCTTGGGAGTCATTGACCAAGACATCCTCCACATAAGAGCTGCTACTCTCTACCGCCCAAACATTCCGATCCATACTTCAATACACACACAGATCTGATGTGACACACTGACAGATAAGCAGGCTGGCAGGCTGTGTCTGATTGGTCTATCTGGTTATTGAGGTGTCAGCAGCTCCCCCCCTCGACACTGTGGGACCCAAGGAGGTGGTCAGAGGACCACAATATCCCATGAGCCAATAGTTTGATAGCCTTGTTCTACAATATTCCACTGCTAAGCTAAATACAACAAAGCTGCCAATTTTCAGAACACTAACATGAGATTCAACAGCTATGGATGTAAAAAGGAATAGGGATTGGCAACAAAGTTTTTTTCCCAAAGGTACAGATAGCCAGCCCTGGCCTTCCAGATAAGAATGAATTATGGGAATTGTAGTTTAGCCACAAATGGACGGCTGAGGTTCTTTGAACCGAGTGTGAAGCATCCTAGAATTAAGGCGCTCGAGTGTTGTTTGTACATTTTGAATCCTATTAGACTTCAAAGAATCCAACATGACTTAGTACTAAATTCCTTAGACACAGACCTGCAATCTTAAAGTGTGGCTCTCATCATCTCTGTATTTTTGTCTAACAAAACAAAGATTTTGATTTGAATTAATCTGAGCCGCCTCTAAAGCATCATGGGTTATCAAGAGGCTCAACTTAATAAAAAAAGGACTGAATTCACACTATCATAGGTACACTCTAACAATACTTACATTTCCCAAAGAAGAAAGACATATTGGGTGTTATTCCGTAAACCAGAAATTGTTGAGAATTGAAAAAAAAACCAAAAAAACTGCTTTTGTACAGTTGGTATTTTTTCCATACTAACAGTACAAAATATATTAAATGTATTTAGCATCAACTTATCATAAACTCTGGTTGTGTGTGCACTCGGCAATGTGATAACTAGATTACAAATTAGAATGTTTATTTTAAATCTGACCTATAGGGTTAATACTCAGTTTGGTTTTAATTGAACCAATACTTTGACAAGTTTTGTACAACAGGAGAAATATGCAAAATAAAAAATATATACAAAAATAACTAGGAAAACATAGATTTTCCTTTTGGACATTTTGTTGTTGATACATTTTTTTTGCCTAGAAAATCATGTTTCAAATAAAAAAATAAAAACATGTCTATACACTGCGTAACATTCAAAGCATGTATGTTATTTGATGGCAGTGTTAGAACAAAAACTCTAGAAGTGGTATGGGAATTTACCCATTTTATTAAGTGATACCAAGATTCTCAGGCATATATGTGTTCAAATAATATTCCAAAGGAAAAATTCACAGACAAAACAAGTAAATGTATGTTTTGATTAGGAAAAAGTAAAAAAAAATATGTATTTTTTTTCACACATTATCAAGTTTAATATACCTAATTTAGAAATCAATGTTTTAAACGACATATGAAAAAGGAATATTTACACCTTTCTTCCTTTTAATATAAGAGATGCAGGCTATCCGGTTGTAGTTCCATAAAATTGAGATGACTTATGGAAAATAAATTTGAATAACATATTTACTAATATTTCACGTCCACTGTTTTTTTTTGTTTTTTTTTTAAGCTTGCTGATATATCAGCATAAAGTGCATGATTCTATTCAGCTGACTTGGAATATCACTAATATTTGGAATTACAATAGTTTAATTAAACAAATGTTACAAAAAATACACAACGCTAAAATGCTCTTCTAAATTGTGAACTATGTCTGAAATTCTCGTTTTATCTTGCTGATATACATACCACATGACACACTACCCAGCTGATGTGGATGTTGCATTGTTGTGCGCAATACTCTCGAGATGTTAATTCCTTATTTATTTAATTTTTTATTTATTTCTTTTATCCTGTAACCATTAGTAAATTTAAAGTCGTTAACAAAGATGTACAGACGTTTACATTTTTTTCTTTGACAGATTTGCAAGCATCGGAAATGTTGGTTAAAGGAATACTCTGACATCAAACATTCATCACAATGCTTATAATTATCAATTTACTATCTTAAACATGGTTAGTATGTTAAAAAAAATCCTACCGAGGAGTTTGGAGTTGACAAATTGGTTTATCTTGTTTAAATACAAAACTATTTTCTCCTTAGGGTAAATCACCTAGTGTGATAAAAGAATAAAGGTCAATATTTTTTATTTATTTTTTTTGAATGTGTATTTCGCAATTTAAATTTTAAACCTTTTTATGATTTTTTTTTTTTTTTTTGTAAAGGTATAAGTTAAAATAAACAGTATGTTATAACTCAAAGAAATAAAAATTTCAACAGTCAAGTCCAATATTGACAATTGTGAATTATAGCTACATTTGACGAATCTGTAAATTGTGTGTGTATGGGGGGATATACCAAATTCGATCATGTACATTTTATAAGGAAAATAATTGAGATGAACAGAAGAGACAGGCAGTGGAAGCAGACATAGTTTCTCTAGAACTGCAATGTTTTACATTACAGCACTAAGTGCAATAGGAACACTGTACCTAGACCACTTCAATGAGCTGAAGTGGTCTGGGTGTCTACAATGTCCCTTTAACCATCAATGCTGGAGATTTTTCTATCCAGACTTCCCTCATGTCAATCACACCTGGTTTCAAGACTTTTCATTAAGATTATTTAAGCTAGTGCATGTATACATTCATTACCTGGATGATACGAAAAAGGCAGATGAGCCAAATGTGTCAAAAACTCAATATGCCCCTCCCCCTCAAAAAAATCTGATTGTACCATTAAGTAGCTCTATTATTTTAACCATTCATAGGCTTAATGTACCTGACTCTAGTTAATTTCCAAGCTTAAGACCAAGTAAATCTATGTCAGACCAATATGTGCCCTGTAATATTATTTCACACATTAATTACAAAATATATTATAACTATTTTTTTATATTACTTAGCAATGCGTTACTATTTGTAGCTTATGGTAAACATACTTTGATTATGTATACCATAGACTCCTAATTTGGATTCCTTGGTCTTTGTCACTATGAAGGGTTGTGAGTCTTGATCTTTTGGTGAATCACATTCCTCGTCCGAAAATATCTGTAATGTCACCGGTGACATAGCCTGAGAGTGATCCAGCGTGCTTTGACCCACAGGTCATGTGGAATTTTTCTTTCTACTAAGTGAAATGTTTTAACCGTAAAGGTGGATCTTGAAAACAATAGGTAATAAAAAAATACAGAATATATTTATGTATTGTATGATTTATGTATATTTTATATCAACACATTTAGTCTCTTACAAAGGTTTTAAAAGGTCTATGAAGACAATTTCTAATCCTGTATGTGTGCTAACTTGTCTTCCGTTTGACTTACAATGAATGGCCCCAAGAAAGTTTGATCAAGTTTCCCTGCCTTTTTGGTGAAGGGCTTTGATGCTTTTCTTTTTGACTTTTTGTCCTGCTTGGAATAAAGCCACTTTTCCCCCCGTTTTTTTTCTTTTTCTTTTTAGACATATCTGCTGATTTATGTTCAATTTCAAAAAATATCTTTCTGAATAAAAAGCCCTTCTGAAAGTGAAAAAAAACTAAAATGTTTTTACATTTGCCTAAATTAAAAAAAAAACAATATTTTTTGGAATATGTCATATTATATTTGTGTTTGTTTTTTCAAGAGATAAAAAATAAAGCATAAGGGGCGAGGCCTGAACGGCAATGGAGACGTACATCTGAACAGCTCTTAGGCCCCAGCTCACAAAAGCAAAGATTTACCCGCACCTAACGAGCCAAAGATGGGGAAACCCAAGAGGAACCACACCCCTCTCTCAAATATCCGCAGACCTAGCAGCGATCTCTGCGAACAGACAAGGTGGAAATGCTGGCGGAAATAAGAACAACAATAAGGGAGGAGATAATGGAAGTGAGGAGAGATTTGACAGCCCTGGAACACAGAGTTGAGGACCTGGAGCCCGAAAGGACCCAAACTCTACAACACCAGCAAGCCACAGATATGGCCGCCACCAGGCAGGGAAATGTCTTACTCGACTTAGTGGAGGACTTAGACAACCGTGGTTGGAGGAACAACAACCGCATCAAAGGCCTCCCAGAGTCCACGGGAGAAGCACTGCAAGAACTTCTGACAGGCCTATTTACCCATATCCTCGGTGACAGGGCCCTAGATGACTACGGAATTGAGCGAGCACACATAGTGCTCAGACCTCCATCAGCAGAGGGCCCACCAAGAGATGTTATATGCTGCCTGCTGTCGTTTGCTATAAAGGACATGCTCATGAAAGAGACCCGGGCCCAACAAAGCATAACCTATATGGATGCCCAAGTGTCCTTATTTCAGGATCTCTCCACCTTCACCCTGGAAGCCAAAAGAGCTTTTCGACCTCTGACCACCCTCATGCTAGAACGACGAATACCTTACAATGGGGGATTTCCCTTCAGCCTACAAGCTAAAGTAGGAAACTCCTGGCATATAATCCGCTGGCCAGCCAATGTCCCTTCTTGCGCACCGCCTGCCTCCCCACTGTATTGGTCCCCAATTGGATCCTGGAAAGACCGCCGCAACAACGACGCCAATCAGGAGAGCGCCTGGGAACGGAGAGGCGGCCCAGATGGCCCGGAAGAATAGAGGCCGCAGCGAACATGGGCCCTCCCCGCTCGCCCCAAATGCCAGCCTGAAATCAAGAAACCCTACCACTGTGAACCCCTGCACCTACCCCCCCACTGGCCCCACCGTACAACACAAGAGCCTACGTGATACACTTGCGTCTCCCCTGGGGAGGATTGGCTGGCACGAACAGCGGACCACACAACCTGCAGAAACCTGGCAATTGAAGGGGTATGTACCAACTCCCCCAACCCACCAAAAGAAATGAGAAGTAGGGAGCGAGGTCATAGGTTCCGGGGGCACCTTACCCGTTGGGCGGGAGGGACAAGGCCTAAGGCGAGACATTTCATCTTGGGGACTGATCACTGGCCTCCCTGAACTACATGTCTGGCCATGGGCCCCCCTTGGGAGGGAAGGGGAATATGGGGGGAACCAGGGCTCACTGAGATGCTCCGAACCAGCCCATCGCTAATCCCCTTCATATGCTGCTCTCCCTCCCGAACCTCCTGGCCTCTTTCCGTAGATTTGGCACGATCTCCAACCTTAAACTTAATGTTGACAAATCAGAAGCACTCCACCTAACTCCCACTGGCGCAGCATCGATACACCCATACACCAAATTTCGGTTCAAATGGTGTCACACTAAGCTCAAATACCTGGGAATCTGGCTCACTAAGGACCTAGCCCAACTATACCAGCACAACTACCTCCCACTGCTTCAAACAGACCTTCAGAAATGGACCCCACAATACATCTTATGGTTTGGACGCATAAATGTGGTCAAAATGAATGTATTGCCCAGAGTATTATACTTATTTCAGACGGTCCTGATCGTAATACCTAAGGCCTTTTTTAGCTCCCTAACAACGGCTATCCGCCGCTTCGTATGGAACTTGCACCCAACGCGCAGGAGAAAGGCAATACTGGAGTTGGCGAAGCAGGCGGGAGGGACTGGCCTCCCCTCTTTTGAGACGTACTTCTATGCTGCACACCTACATTGGTTAGTCGACTGGCATACACTTCACTCACAAAACAATGGGTAACCTTAGAACTCGAGCAGACAGGAGGTAACATCCCAGCCAAACTATGGCTGAGCAGTGCCACATACGGGACCCTACACACAAAAAACCAACTGATAGATCCTGAGGACGTGGACAACCGTACGATACCGGCTACAACTCATCACTTCCCCCAACCCCCTGACCCCCATTACAAATAACCCAGAACTCGCAGATACCCTAACCCAAAAAGACCTGACGGGCTTCCAACTGACCGACTGGCTCTACCTACACCAATGGCTCAACCCGACCGGACTTAAGACGCTCCCCGAACTTTGCCCAGATAGGAGACCAACGATGTTCAAACAATTTCGCTATTACCAAATTAAGACATACTATAAGTCATTGCCTGGACGAGGACAGATACACAGATCCCTCACAAACTTTGAAAACCACTGCACAACCCGAACACATCTCCCCAGAGGAATCTTGACACTCTATTCCATGATGGTGACCCAGACCGGCGGAGACACGCCACTTGTGTACACGAGCCACTGGGAGAGAGGCACAGGGAAGACACTCACCCCATAAGAATGGGACAACATTTTCACCCTCACTCACGAATGCTCAATAAGCTCCAAATACCAGGAGCTAAACTATAAGTTGCTCACACGATGGTACAGAACACCAGACATCCTACACCGCATGCATGCTGACACGCCAAACACATGCTGGAGATGTGGCATACACACGGGGACCTACCTCCACATAGGGTGGACATGCCCCATCATAGCACCATACTGGGACAAAATCCAGGCAGAAATACGAGAAATCACATGCACTGAATTGGACCCGAACCCACTGTCCATACTCCTTCACCACACCTCCCAGTCATTGAAAACTTACAAAAAATCCCTGTCACTACCCCTACTCAATGCAGCCAAATTCTTAATACCCGCACTCTGGAAACAGCCAAAAGCACTGACCCTCCAGCACTGGATAACTAAGGTGGAGGAAATTTACTCCATGGAATCTTTGACCGCGGACCTGAAGGGACGCTCAAAACAATGCGCATTAATCTGGTAGCCGTGGGCTACATACATATCCTGAAGAGGTGGCGGAGCTGTGGGGGATCAGCCAGCCAATCCTCCCCTAGACAGACCTGCCAGAACAGGAAAAAAGGGAAACCTACACACGGTCGGGGCGCTGGGCCGGAGGAACCGCGAGAGGGGACAGACCCTTCCCCAACACACCTTATACCTTGTCTCCCTCTGTCCCCTTCCCACCTCAAGACAGCACCTCACCCATGACACGGAGTGCCTACCCAGACAACTCTACTCAAGCCTGAGACAGACGGACAGGTCTGAATTCTACCACCCACAATGACCAATGACTACACCGAACGCTTGCACGAGGCAAACACATTTAGGTTATACGGTTCAAGGATACCCAGCCGGACACAACTCTGCCTATACCCTACCGCAACCAAATAGACAATAGCAGACACCAGACACGCAAAAAGACACGCCATATGAAACCAATGACTGACCTATAAAGCTGCAGCGGGACAGGGTGTAAGAATGACACTAAGCATACGCACCCGAAAGGCATGGGGCAACCTGGTCTCGGTGGGGAGTCCCCCACCCCTGACATGGAGAGTCACAAACACCTGTAACCTGTTTACTATTCTAAACTATAGTCACTTAAACCCTAGCACTGTTAAAGAATGCACTACAGCACACCCCCTACCCAAGTTTTCCCCTACCCTGGTACTATAGACGTAGAAGTAAACCTGAATAGAGCACACCACACAAAAACCACCGAAGAGAAAAGAAGAGAGTTTAGAGGGAGATGAGAGCATGTAACAACAGACACCATTAGAATATTGCTACAATTGAAGCATGCGTTCGTCTCAATAACAAGGAGCTGAAAGTGCTAAAAACCTTATATCGCCAATTGTTGAAATATTTTACGACTTTTCGTATAAGAACGCTTAATACCACATTTTGTTATTCAACTATGGAAAAACAAATAAAGATTGTCAAAAAAAAAAAATAAAGAATAAGAATCAATAACATATAGGGTGAAGGAAAAATGGCATAAAAATAAAGTATAATGCTACAAGTCAGGCTTTAAAAGCTACTTTTTAATTCAAGTCTGGAGGGTCTATGATGTTCTTACCAAGGATGACTTTTCAGTCTCCAGTAGACAGTGTAAATTTATATCCCTGAATTAAGCGTGCTATTGGAAGGACCAACATGAGCATTAACTGCTTGACTATTTCCCCCCACCCTGCCCCAAGGTTCAAGACATAACATATAAATACAATTGTGACAGAAGTCCCTGTGCCCCTGGCTTGTGGAGGGGCTTGCAGACCAGCCTTCTGCCCACAGACTATGAACCCTGTCCCTGGAGCCGCTGAAAAAAATAAAAAAAAGGTCTATTGTCACTGTGGGAAGGAGGTATGAGGGGCTGCCAGTGCTTACTATGCCTCCCCCAGCTGGAGATGGGTGAAATCTGGGGATCGCCTGGACCCATTCTGCAAATCGAGTGCCTGACCAGGACCAACCCTGAATCACTGTGGAACGATTCACCGGATCGGAACTGTACCGCAATTCGGTGAACCTGAGATCGGCTGTTTCCCCAACCACAGCACTCTTTGGAAAGGATGTTGGGAAGATGAGAAGGCATCCAAGGATACCCGGGACTTGGGGATGCGACCCTCTATGAGACGCCAGCAAAACCTTTTAAAAAGACCAGGACAAGTCAGCGACACGCCTGTAATTTGGATGGATTGGAGAATAGTGGCAATCCGGTGATATTTGACATGCTGTCACTTGGGCATGGATTATCTGATCCAAGTGCTATTTGGACAGTGGAGGCTTGGGGGTGATGAACATATTTTGTGTGAGGGTGCTGTCCTTAGACTGTGAGTTCTGGGGAGTCAACTTCTTTAACCAGGTCTAACACAATTAAGACCCAAGACAGAGTGGCATCCGGGAGGGAATTATTAGAACCTGTGTGTATTTTGTAGGGAGAAACTCCCTGGAGGAGGAATCCATATTGAACTGCATATATAGTGATGTGTGTTCAATAAAGTGGGTTCATTTTACCCCCTACATTAAAAGTCTTCACTAAGCGTGGGGGAAAGTGCTACGCTCAGAATTTTTCTACAGGCGAGAAAGTTTCTAGAGAAAGTGCTATAACCATGGTAGTCCTTACAGCAGGAAAAACACCCCAGAGATCCTAAATGTAGATACAGCACTGGTCGCGGCGAGGAAGCTGTTCTGGTGGTGATACTCAACTTGGGTACAAGAGCACTGTTACAACAATTTTACTTGTATGTTCTCATTGTGTCACTAATAGAAAATAGGAGGAGAGATCTGATTTTGGAAACTATCCAGCCTTGGTGATACTACATTATGGGTCAGCTAAATCTTCTAATATAAAATACAGGTAAATGAATTGGTATGATATATAAAATTGGTGCTGCAATCTCTGTGAGCCACTCCAACACACATGTAAGGTGAAAAAAAAAAAAAATATATATATAAAATGGTGAGAATACACAATAAATGTTTACTACAGTCTGATTAATAAATATCGGATATAGTTCTGAGCCACTTAAAGCTGGCCGAGACCAATAGCTTAACCCCTTAAGGACACATGACATGTGTGACATGTCATGATTCCCTTTTATTCCAGAAGTTTGGTCCTTAAGGGGTTAAAGTAATAAGGTGGATGGTTCTGGGGACCGTCTTAATCTGTTCCATTAGCTTTGCTGTCTGGAATACCTTCTTATAAAATCCAGGATGCAGGATATATGCAGAAGAAATCCTTTACTTGGACAAAATTAATAAAAGTAGCCCTCCCAATAAAAAACAAAACAAAAAAAACAGTCCACCTCCACTTAACGTGTTTCAGCCAAACAGCCTCTCTCTAAAGTGGTTCAACCACTTTTAATCTTCTAATAGTTGCGGTGAAGATACAATAATAATAATAATATTAGGTTGAAAATGTTCACAAGAATTAAAAAAGGGTGTGACATGTCATGATTCCCTTTTATTCCAGAAGTTTGGCCCTTAAGCGGTTAAAAAAAGATATTGCAAATATTAGGCAATATAAATGTTTATATCTGAAATGAAGTATATTCAAAGTAACTTAAAAACGAAAGGGGTGTTGCAAAATCAGCAGATTTAAACAACCATCTTTAAGACACTGCTTTGAGAAAAAGTTAATAAGGGGAGCAATTTCCAAGAGCATTTGTTTTTTTTTTTATTTTATGCCTAGAAGATGCCTAACTGCATTTTGCACCATTTTCATAAATCCCCAAAGACATACTGTACCTCTTCATCTCAGCAGCTGATGATCCACTTCCTACTAAACACCAGAGTTACTTCTTGATTAGTGCTGCAAATTTTCCAATCAAATCCTCCACTAGAAAATGATTGGTTATTTAGGGTTTTCAAAAAAAAAAAACAACACCCACACACACACAAAAATAACTCACCAAAACAAATCAAATACATACTTTTATGAAGGTACTGGTTCAAGTGTCATTTTTACAAAGTGCTTACTTTCTTTGTGTCCATCAAAATGGTGAATTGCAATATAAAGCCTATTGTGGAATACAATTCTTAGTAGGCTTTACCAACCGCTATGATGAGGATACCTTCTGGTATATTTTCCTGATGATAACCAGACTGCGGTATGTACTGGCTCTGTATATACTTGTAAAGTTCCTATAGAAATTCTAAGGGGCACCTCAAGAATGGAAGCTATCAGTAAAGGAGAGAAGCTCCTTCAATCTTAGATTAACTCATCAGTTACAAGAATTCTGGAATAAGAAGATTAAAGAGTACTTACAACAGTATTAGCCAGGTTTAATGGTTCATGTCTTGATAGTACTGTTCGAACACCTTTGGTAAAACTCCGGGAAATTTACTGATAGCGTATCAGGAAGCTCTGCAGAGGAAGATGCACTTGTGGTTGGCCACAATAACCAAGAGATGGTCACAGAACCATAAAATGGAGAAATGTATCTTAAACCATAAAACTTAACCAACTCTCTCAATCCTGCCACGTGAAATGCAGCAATCCTTTGTAAATGGAACCCTCGCAAAGCGATATTAACCCTATGTTGTCCACATCAGTTTGTGATCCCTTTAGGTGCCAGTAGAGATTAACCCTAACAGTCTCAATGCCTAAGTGGTGTGTTTTTTTTTTTTTTTAAATGATCTTGGTGATTAACCTGTTAAGTACACATATCCAGATGGGTTTTTTTTTGTGCAAGCTGGGACTCTTATTTCTATTCAGACACAGGTTTTCTTGTTTATTATGAATATTTATTTTTATTTTTTTTATTATACCACAACCTTTTTTTAAATGCCTTTAAAAAAGCAAACATCTAATCAAAAATGTAACAAATTTTGGACATATGGTGTACAATATGATGTGCAACAAAAGCTACATAGGTCTCACGGCTAACTGCAATCAATGTCATCTCTAACTCGAACCATATTAATGTTATCCCAAGCGCTACCAGCACTCTCAGTGATTTGTACGTTTTATCCCAGTACAGAAAAATACAGTGGGGTTACAATGCTGATGGCTGGCAGGGAGGAGTTCAGACATTAAGAGACAACCGAGAGAGAAACAAGGGAAACTGATGCATAAAAAGGTAGGGATGATAATGACATTGATAAAAGGTGAAATATATATATGCAAAGAAAGACAGATCTAAAACAGAAACTGGCTAATATGTCTCTCTGGAGCTAATGAGTTTGACAAGCTCGATCAAAGTAGAAAAAAAAAAATCTAAATCTTGTATAAAACCGGTAAGGTGCTATCTAAAAGAAAACCGGGAAATTAAACTGAAAACATATATATATTGCACTTACACATATTTATAGTAACTATGTTTGACCTGAGTTAAATCAACATTCTTTGTCTGAGTTTAACAATTGAGAGACTTGCGTATTATTACATCAGATACAAAGAGTTTCTTACACATTATTAGGAATTGTGAAAATTCGAATTTGCTGTTCCGGACTACAGAGAAACGTTATTATTAATAACATTTACATTAAAGGATAGTTTAAAATGAAAGGTTTGAAAAACAAAACATCATTGTTTCATTGACGAACAGAGACAGAAAAGATCTAGCTAAATATGAAAATAGTACAAAGAAGGCAGAAAAGCATGGTTTAATGGCATTGTATGACTGTAGACATGTTTTTGATCCTCTACTCTCATAATTAAAATTGTTTTGTCCGTACTGCAATGATTCTATGAAGATGTGCAACATCAGCAAGGTGGATGGATTCTTAGTATTCTTTGTCAAGGAATTTAGCGATTGTGCTCAGTTGGATGTTAGATGTCCCTTCATAAATTGTACCTAGAACAGAATACATTTGATGAGATTCTTGACTTTGTAAATGTTTTTTGACTGAATGTATAAGACACACTTGTCGTGTAGTGTAATGTACTATAGTATTCACCAAAGTAATGTCCACAAAGTATTAAACATGGCGCTCACCATAATTCAGACTCCTTGTTAAATCTCATTATCACACCTGCTCTCATCGTTTATCTAACACTTTATCTTAGAACAGCTCGAGTAACAAGCCTCAAAATTAAATCAGGTTAGGATCCTGTGTGCTAGCCCAAAGCACAGACCACGATTTATGACATCACATTATTGGTGACCAAATCTAAAACATAATATTTAGAGTTACAGGTATGAGCTAACCAAAATATAGCTTCAATAAGAAATACCCAACAATGCATTAAAGCAGGGGTGGGGAACCTTCGGCCCTCCAGATGTTGTGGACTACATCTCACTTGATGCTTTACTAACATAATGGCTGTAAGAGCGTTATGGGAGATGTAGTCCAAAGCATCTGAAGGGCCGAAGGTTTCCAACCCCTGCTTTAAAGTTACACACTGACTGTGATGACTGGGTGTGACTTACTGCAAGAGCTACTGGCTTTACCATTGTCCCATCCACTTCATTCAAACCTATCCCTCTTCCCTTCTATGCCCTTCACAAAATATTTTTTTTTGGACAGGGTAGAATGTCTGTGGGCTTTGCGCTTAGGGTTAGATGGATGCAAACATTGCACCTCTTGATCTTAAAAAACACTAGAGAACGGTCCTTTCTGTTCCTTTCCTTTGTGGAAGCACTCACCAATTTTTGCATCTCTATAGTATTTTTCAATTGGATAATCTTTAGTGAATCCGACTCCTCCCATCCACTCCATACATTTACTGGTAGTCAGACAAGCAACCTAAAAGATATAAAGTTTAATAAACAAATTATTACACACAGGTAAAGTACAGTCTCCCCCTTTGGTTCTCCAATATTTGATTTCGATTGTAAAAAGGTGTTGTCTTGTACTGAAATCCTTTGCTGACATTTGTAACACTTCTGCTGTAAATAAGCTGCCCAGCATGCCCTTCAATGCCCACTGACCCACCGTTATATACTTACCTCTGATGAGAAGTACTTGGCCATACATGCCTCTTTTTTAAAGGGTTTCCCTGCTTCTCGCAGCCTGGCTGCATTGTAGGTCAGCAGACGTGTTGCTTCCAGCTGAGTTGCGATCTGTGCAATCTGATGCTGCATACCCTAAACATGAAAACAAAATATTGCTTATAGTCAATATGCACCACCACATGTCTGCAACTTATAACATGGACATCAAAAAATTTCATCAGATACAATTCTACAAAGTTTTCAATGATACACAGTATTAAAAGTGGGTAAATTGGCAGGTCTGCAGTGAAGTCTCTGGGTTTGAAAAAGACTCTTAATGCTTCTGGCATAATGTAGTAATCTACACTTACCTCCAAAATCTGCATATCACGGTCCATGCATTTACTACCAAAATCTGCATATCACGGCCCACGCATTTACTATCAAAACGTGCATATCACGGTCCACGCATTTACTACCAAAACGTGCATATCATGGTCCACGCATTTAAAAGCATATTTGCCACGATTGTGACAGCACTCACAATTGAGATTTGATTGTTCATTTGTGCCCACCCACTTTATCTCCAAAGTAAGCAAAGCATGTAAAATGAAAAACTGGAAAGTGGTTTGGGAGTTATTGTTGGGGTGACCAAAATCTTATTTCACTTCAGCAGTAAATGTTTCTGTAATTGCATATGGTTGTAGGTTCTATACGTCTTTTTTGTGGGTTTCTCATTCGTGTTATAAACTTATCAGTGGGGTGGCCATTTAAGAATTATAATATATATATATATATATACACACACACACACACACACACACACACACACACATACATACACACACACAGACTGATTTTTTTTTTTTTTCCCCATAGATTCAGTAAAATGTTTAGCGGTCAGGAGGTAATGTAATGTATTTTGTTGAATGGAGATCTTACAGACACATTTCATAAGATGAGATTTGAGTTTTTGGAGCACTGCTTCTTTGTAAGATCTGAGCTATGTTTCACAACATTTTAATAGTAAAATGAAAGATTTGTCACATGCATATGTTTACAGATGTTCTTTAAAGGTTTACTCTAAGCACTATAAAAACTTTGCATGATTGCATCAACGATCAATGCAGAGAGTGGCTTATAATAATCATTAGTAAAAAATATATATCTTACTTCATTGATGTGTTAATAATTTTGTTTAACATATATCTGAATGCAAATAACAAAGTGGAGCCAGGAGTGCCCTATCGACATCCTGATGTAACCAGTAACTTACTTGGTACCTGTGCTGTAGAAGCCAGAGGTTAGTTTTGAGTACTCGGTCAACAAATTAGTTCCTGCACAAAATTAAATCTGGTTTCTATATCTGGACAAGACCACAACCAGCGCAGGCTGTAGTTGTTGTGGTGCTTGCAGTGATCTTTTACATGAACAATATATTGAACTGACAAGACCGAACACAAGGCAGTCTTACAAAGCACAGCCAATAAGGATTATGCATGTTTCATTATGTTGAAACAAACCTGAAAATCGAATATTCTCTTTCCAAACTGTATTCTCTGCTTGGTATATGGGATAGTCTGATCAAAACACCCCTGAGCCAAGCCCAGCATCTGCGATGGAATAAGGAAAGAGGAAGAGATCATAAGATATATGCCATTATTGAGATACAGCAGCCATTACAAATATTAGAACGTGATTTCTCACAAACCTGTAATAGAAGTTGAGAAATGTAATAGCTGTATAATTTATATTTCTTGGCCTACCTGTGCAGCAATTCCTATCCGCCCTTCGTTCAGCATTTCGATTGCGTACTTATAACCTTGCCCAAACGTACCCAAGATACTGGACTCTGGCACCTGCAGACAAAAAGGAAAACAAACAACGCAGCTAATGTACAACTCTAAATTTGATCTGGCCACTCAAAGAAATTAGAACTTTGTCTTTGAATATATATCTTGGTATAGGCTGCTTCTGTTATACATGTTCTCTGACAAACCCATCCAGCCGGACTTTTAGATAATCGTAAGTGACAGCAGATTTCTATTTATATGATTAATGTTCTCAAACAAGATCTATTCTCTTAAACAATGCTGCCAGCACTGGGAGGGGTTATACACACAGACACACAGCGAGCCTAAGGAACACCTTTGCAATAATCATGCTGTCTATTCAGCATCTTGATATGCCACACCTGTGAGGTGGATGGATTATCTCGGCAAAAGAGAAGTGCTCACTAACACAGATTTAGACAGATTTGTGAACAATATTTGAAAGAAATAGGTCTTGTGTACATAGAATAAGTCTTGGATCTTTGCGTTCAGCTCATGAAAAATGGGGGCAACAACAAAAGTGTTGCATTTATAATGTATATATGATAGGGGGAGACTAATGGTTATAATTATATTTAAAGGGACACTAGGGACACAGAGTAACCTCTACCTCACATACCTGTCTCTTGCTCTTTCCTAAAGGGCAGCACTCTACTCTCTCCTCCAGCTCTGCTTCACTACCACCTAATTTGATTGCCATTTCCTGTCCTAATGTGTTTTATACCCCACTTCCTATAGACTGTAAGCAGGGTCCTCTGTAACCTATCGTTCCTATAAGTTTTCTTGTAATTGTCCTATTTATAGTTAAATCCCCACTCTCATAATATTGTAAAGCGCTACGGAATCTGTTGGTGCTATATAAATGGCAATAATAATAATAATAATAATAATAATAATAATGACCAGAACTACTACAGCTTAATGTGCAAAGAGATTGTCCTTGCAGACCTCAGCAATGTCAACATTGCCTCTTTTGAGGAAATACAGTGTTTATATTGCTAGCTGGGGACACTGCCAGTGGCTGTCACTCAAACAGTCACTAAATACCTTCCCGGTGCGGTTTTGCAAACTTTGCTGGAATGACTTAGCGCCTTCACTATGTGCATAAAATCACCAAACACTTCTCATACAGATGCCCTGAGCAAAAGAATCTCTATAAAGAGATGCCAGTTGGCTAAGCACAGCAATTGCGACACATGTGCAGTAGCTTTTTCATATGGGGAATTATTGGATTGGCTGAAATCATCTGCAATGATGACCTCAGCCAATGGAGGAGCAGCAGCCACAACAGCAAGACCAGCAAGGGAAGAAAGATAAAACAAATTATCTCAGTGGGACTCAAACATCTAAACAGTAAGCAAAACACAAACGTTCTGAATCCATGTTTGTATTCCTAACGTTAGAGGATTCCTTTAACCATAGTGCACCATGGAGCACTCACCCTAACTCATTCAGGACAGAGGTTGGGATAAGGTACCTCTGCAGGTATTGGAATGCCCATTGTACTCTCTTTACTCTATGTTTGCCCTTAACCGCCCTTTACAAACAAATCCAAAATTCAATTACTGTGATTAAAAAAAAGCAAAAAAAAAAAAAAAAAGCATAAAAACTGTCACAAATTATTTTCTACAATAAAATGTAAGAAACACAGAATATGAGAAACAAAATGAATAATGGACAATGTGTTATTAAATGTGTATATATGTAAAAAGGTAAATTCTGGTATGCTAACAAGTTTGAGAAACCAGAGATTTTCTTAACCCAGTGGGTTCATTATTTCTTCCATAATGTAAGCTGTCCAGTTTAATTTTATTTTTTAAAACCGTTACCAAAGTTATGTCTTCAGTTTATTTATTTTTATTTACGAATATGTCTCTCCTCACTCCTACCTTGACATTATCAAATGTCAGCGAGCAGGTAGAAGATGCCCTAAGTCCAAGTTTATCCTCTTTCTTCCCAATGTGAAATCCTTCAGTATCTTTGGGGACAATGAAACACGTAATCCCTTTGTAGCCCTGTGATATAGAAAAGAAAGAAAAGCCGACAATATCTCTATAGCTTATAAATTGTGAAGACACTAAAGTCACAATCCTCAAGTAATCTTTTTCTATATTATGCGCACACATACACACACACACACACACAATAGAATGAATATAAAGTCAGCTTTCCTGCATTCCATTGTAAAAAAAATAAAAAATAAAAATAAAAAAAATAAATACAAAACGGAGAAACAAGTGGCCTATCCACCATGCCAAAAATGAATCCATATAGTTTTACTTGTGTGCATTTATACAGCTGGAATGATTACCTGCTTGTAGAAGATCACAACTCTGACAGGAATGCATTCCATCGATTTAATGCCAACAAATGGGCTATAAATGACACCACCACCCCACACCTTTCAAACATTAGAGATACACTCTGCACACTGTAACCACATCACTGAAGTCTGGAGTGACCTTGCACCATGCTTCTGTTCAGGGTTATACCGTCGGATTATTTTGACTCTCCGCCCCATCCACCCTCTGGCTTCTAGCTCTACATTGCCTGCCATGTGAGGGACCTGCCAAGAGGACAAGATGGACAAGTTGTGCAATGGCTTTCCTCAAGCATGCATTGTACCTCAGACATGTGATTTTAGTTTATACTAGCTTGCAGTCAGTATAGCAAATTCATTGCTCTGTAAAATTACCTATAGATTTGCTTTGTATTAATATTCTAATTTGAGAAAAAAGCCAACATAAAAAAATTTAAAAAAAAAAGGAATAAAACCTACTGTACAATCCCATTGAGAAGGAAGAAATGTGTGAACTTACAGCAGATTGATTGGCATTTGCCATCACAAGGAAGACACCAGCCTGTTCAGAGTTACTAATCCACATCTTGGAGCCATTGATAACAAAGTAATCTTTCTTCTTGGTAGCGGTAGTTCTCAGAGAGAAGGCATCACTACCAGACTCTGCTTCCGAAAGGCAGAAACTTCCAACCTGCATGAACACAAATAGAGATTCACATAGATACAAATTGGAATGGCAAAGGAATGATAAGAGAAAGGAGTCACTGGACCGGATCAGGTGGTAAACAAAGTATCTGTATGAACATGAAATACAGGTGCAGGTATTATGAGGGGTTCTAATACATTTTCAGTACTTGCTTTCAAATACCCCACATTAGGAGTGATCTTTCTAAACCCTACATTTTACAGTAAACATAAAAACAACCTTTCTAGGTATAAAAATAATCTTCTCTGTATGTCATAAAGTAAACCCTAATGCTACAGTTTTAATAAGAACTGACCTCTAGCAAATATAAAATTTTTTATTCAAAATTAAAGACCAACAATTCGGTGTAAAGTTTGTATTCCTTTTTTCAGTTCATAACAGTTACGGTCGGCCTGCACTGATGTCTGATTCATTATCAGCTATCAATGGAAATTCTGCTAAGGGACACAAGGAATATGGCCATAATTTAATATATATTTTTGGATATACTTTTCAAAACAATTTGATATTTTTTAATACATGTTTTAAACATTTGTTTTTCTCAACATATTAAAAAAAAAAAAAAAAAAATCATTTTCAAAGTTAATCAAAATATTAAATCATTTTCAAAGCTTATTAAACAGTAAAAAAAAAGAAAATTAAATTAAATCAAGGCCTGTATTTGCTAATTTCTCCACTAATAGCTTATCAAGTCTTTACCATATCTTTGCAGAGTCGGGGAAGGTAGGTATCCTTTTGCTCCTCTGTCCCTAATCGCATAAACAGGGCATTGATGAGTGTATTCTGAATATCACAAGTAACAGACACAGAAGGGTCTACTTTTGCCAGTTCCTCAATCACCAGCATGCTGGAAATGAAAGATGCACCGGTGCCTCCATACTTCGGATCTACCTCTATTCCCATCAGCTGAAAGAAGGGTACAGCTATACATTAAAAGACAAAGAAAAGCCAAAACAAAACTGGAAAAACAAATGCCTGCACAAACATAAATCAATTTTCTCCAGCAGATGGCAGCATTTAACAGAACAATATAAATTTATGAATTAAAACTAAAATAAAAAAAATTATATATGATTTAACTTACGATTTAACAGTGATTTAACTTACGAACAGAAGTTTTAAATAAAACAGTGGAGCGCTATATATAAAATGACATAGCCATTAATTACTTTGGATATACAGGATATAAAACACACTTGGCTTTGATTTTCCAATAATTTCCAATCTGATGCATATCCTTTTAAATACAATGTAAAGTGCAATAGTGTGAAATCTTAAAACATACATTAGTATATCAAATTGCTAATTGAACACTCACATATGCCAGAGCCAAAAGACCTAGCTCTGGTATGTAACGCTGTGTGGTGCATTATGGGAAACCACTCCTCTTCAATGTTGGAGTAGTGGTGACCAAACAGGGTTACATACCAGAGCTAGGTCATATAGCTCTGGAATATGTGAGTGTTCAATTAGCAATTTGATGTACTCATAACATATCAAACGCCAACTCATGCTTTGGCATGACAGTGCATTATAGCACAGGTGTAAAAATAATAATTTAAATAATGAATACTTTTAGTTTCTGAATTTATATACACACTGATCTCAAAATGTGACAATTATGGATATTGCTACGTAGACAACAAATTAATTTTTACACTAGATACATCTTTATATAGTTATCAGGTGAGCAATAATACAGACCCCAAGTTCAAACAGTCCCTGGATGACAGAGGCCTCCATTTTTGAGTTGGTATCCATACTTTTTACCAGTGGGGCGATTCTTTCTTGTGAAAATTTCCGCACTGTTAAAAATACAAAACACCGAGTTGAAGTAAAATAATCACGATCCTCCAGTGTTCCTCATTAAATAATTATTCCCCCCCCACACCCTCCAAGGTTTTAAGGCAAGTAATTTCACAGCTGGAGGTATAAGTGCATCTTTAACAAGGTGAAGTAAATCAAGTATAATGGCCTTAGTCATCGGTCATGTGGAGGATCTCAAATTGAAAATATTGTGTTCTTACCCATGTCTCTAATCATGATCTCTTCATCTGTGAATGTATCGAGAGGGGTGTGAACTACACCATCTCTGGACTGCTCTATTATGACATCTGGTTTGGAAGATTTTAATCGGTAATGTAGTGTCTGGGATGTGACCAAAGAACGTGGGACTCCTCTGCTCAAAGTCTGGGGGAGAAAAACAAACCAAACTCAATTATACAAAAACCATCAACACGTATATCAGTATGACAATATTAAATTAATCAAAGTGGGGGAAACCAATCCATACTCACCCAATCTATTAATGATTGAGCAACACACTTTAATATAAGAATCCTTCCCCCACTCATTGCATAGCTCTGTCTTGCAATGAATTTGCAATACCCATCATCGTGGTATGGTAAATGATGAATCCTGGTTAACTGGTGAAGATGTGCAAATCACCTTTCTTGTCCTAATTATTACAGAACTATGTATTAAAACAGACACTATAGTCACCAGAACAACTACAGCTTATTGCATTTGTTCTAGTGAGTATAATCATTCCCTCCAGGCTTTTTGCAGTAAACACTGTCTTTTCAGAAAAATGCAGTGTTTACATTACAGGCTAGGGATAACTCCACTGGCCACTCCTCAGATGGGTGCTAGAGGTGCTTCCTGGGTCAGTGCTGCACACTGCAGCACCACCATTCAGTGTCTTCACCCTCTGCATTGAGACACTGAACTTTCCTCATAGAGATGCATTAATTCAATTAATTGATTCAAAGCATCCCTATGAGGAGATGTTGATTGGCCAGAGTTGTGTTTGACTTGTGCTGGCTCTGCCCCTGATCTGCCTCCTTGACAGTCTCAGCCAATCCTATGGGGAAGCACTGTGAATGGCTCAGAGAACCACCACTTCTGATGATGTCAGCCAAGCAGGCAGATTAGGGTCAGAGGCAGCAGCTGCAGACTTAAATTTGAGTAGGAATTTACTATATTTAGGGAGGCAAAGGAGTTTCGGGGGGTAGGGGGAAGACGACTAAATTGTGGTTTTAACACTATAGGATCAGGAATACTCTAACCCTATAGTGCGTCTTTGAAGTGAAAATTTTTAAGAATTCAAAGTGAAATTCAAGCTTAGTGGAAGTATAACAGACTTGAAGAATTTTCCAGTTTGGCTATTTTAAACTTAAAGGACCACTATAGTGCCAGGAAAACATACTCTTTTTCCTGGCACTATAGTGCCCTGAGGGTACCCCCACCCTCAGGGTCCCACTCCCGCCGGGCTCTGGAGAGAGGAAGGGGTTAAACACTTACCTTTCTCCAGCGCCAGGCGGGGAGCTGTACTCCTCCTCTCCTCCTTGCTCGCGACGTCATTTACAATGCTTTCCTATGGACGCTGGCGTCTTCTCACTGTGATTTTCACAGTGAGAAGCACGCAAGCGCCTCTAGCGGCTGTCAATGAGACAGCCACTAGAGGCTCTGGAGGCTGGATTAACCCTCAGTATAAACATAGCAGTTTCTCTGAAACTGCTATGTTTATTAAAAAAAAGGGTTAATCCTAGAGGGACCTGGTACCCAGACCACTTCATTAAGCTGAAGTGGTCTGGGTGCCTAGAGTGGTCCTTTAAATTTGAAAATCACTAAGAATCCAGAACAATTCTTGTATTAGGCAATAATCCAGATAGTAACATCTTTGGTAAGGTTCAAACACTAGCTCGGTTACCTTGCTGCAGTTACTCACAACACTATAATCTCTGATCCACACCCAGTACTTTACTAATAATACCCTGTAGAAAACAAACTGGTTGACAGCCTTCTCATATAAAGCATAGCACCCATGGAACAATCTTCCCGAAAAAGATCAAAAACTGGTCACCTGTCTGAAACTGTAGTTAAACCATACCTGACATAACTAGAAAAATCTAACAATATGTTTATGGTTTAAATGCGTAGCCTTTTAACTTTACTGCTTTGTTCATGGCGGTGGCTTAACGCCAGATCTGGGAGAGTGGGGCTGGGAAAGTAAACCTTCCTCGCAGTTTGACACATGACACACACACACACACACACACACGAGACACACACACTTAAAACACTATGGTAAAGGGAGAGACGTGCATGATTTTAATTGTGAGTTTTTTGGATTGTGATATATCTACAAAAAAAAAAAAATCCTTACAAAACCTTCAGTTGTCTTGTCTGCAGCCTTTGCATGCCCTCCCCTTCTAACTCCACCCAGACATTCTATGGTTGTCCAATCACAGACTTCCATGTGCAGCAGAATAAATATAGGACACACTCTTCACACATAAAGCTTCCTGATTTGAAATAGACCTTTGGTCCGTTATTGGACGCCGAATGTCCTCACACTCTGCATGAGGACCTCCAGCGTCAGATTTTTCCCCATAGGAAAGCATTGATTAATGCTTTCCTCTGAGGAAATACTAATGCGCCTGTGGCTATTGCCGTGCATGCACATTAGGTCACCCCGCCGGCTGACGTTGGATGGGAGGAGTGTGGGCAGAGCCTGTCCCAGCGCAAGGGACATTGGCACTGGATTCAGGTAAGTGACTGAAGGGGTTTTAACCACGGGAGGGAGGCGCTGTAGAGGCCTATATTGCCAGGAAAATGGCTTGGTTTTCCTGGCACTATAGAATCTCTTTAAACTGAGAAGGGTTTAAAGGCCAGATGGTGCAATACTCGGAAATTGAAAAAAAATAAATAAGAGTTACATTTACAGGCCTCAGTGTTAAAAGGAACTCTCCAGTGCCAGGAAAACATCTGTTTTCCTGGCACTGTAGGTTCCTGCAGTGCCCCTCTCCCTCTCACCCCCACCCCCCATTAAAACCCCTATAGTGACTTACCTGAATCCAGCGCCGAGGGACGCACGCGCGCATTAGACCTCCCCATAGGAAAGAATTATTCAATGCTTTCCTATGGGGATTCTGGCGATGCTGGTGGTCTTTATGCATTGCGTGAGGATGTCCAGCATCGTTTAAAACACTTTTCGGGTTTTAAGAACCTGGAAGACCCTCTAGTGGCTGTCTGATAGACAGCCACTAGAGGAAGACTTAACCCTGAAGGTAATTATTGCAGTTTATAAAAACTGCCAAAATCACACTTGCAGGGTTAAAGGTGATGGGAGTTGGCACCCAGAACACTCCAATGGGCAGAAGTGGTCTGGGTGCCTGGAGTGTCCCTGTAACACTCATTCCAGTAGAAGTATAGTTTGTTTGGAAGGGTTTCCAGGAGAAAGCCACTTCTCTCTAAACAGATTATGACAGCATGGCTTAAGTTTCCAAATTTGCATCTGAACAAACCACAAAACTTCTGGAACAACGTACTTTGGACAGACAAGACCAAAGTGGAGATGTTTGGCCATAACACACAGCATATCAGCACAAACACCTCATACCGTCTGTCAAGCACGGTGGCGGAGGGGTGATGATTTGGTCTTGGTCTCTCCGCCGGTGACCTTCTCCTGCTCGTACCCTCACTGCTAACGCGCACTTGCAGGACTTTTCACAGGCAGCTCCTTTCCTTTGGAACAGACTGCCTATCCCCATGTCTTCTATTGCTTTAGAAGTCCCTCAAAACCCATCTGTTTAGAAATGCTTATAACCTCCCACACTAACTTCTATGTCACATATCTGTCTCTTCCTCTCTCCTAAAGAGCCACACTCCACTCTCACCTCCAGTTCCGCTATGTTCCCTCCTTGCTTGGTTGCGGTCAGCCTTGCTGCCCATAGTGTTTTTATACCCCCAACTGCTCTAGACTGTAAGCTCATTTGGGCAGGGTCTCCATCTACCTATTGTATTTGTCTAGTTTATTGTTAAATTTAGCCCTTTCATATTATTGTAAAGCGCTGCAGAATAAGTTGGCACTATATAATCACTAGTAGTAATAATAATAATTGGGGCTTGTTTTACAGCCACAGAACCAGAGAGTTTTGCCATCATTGAGTCGCTCATTAACTCCTCTCTATACTAAAGTATTCTAGAGTCACATGTGAGACCATCTGTCCGACAGCTAAAACTTGGCCGAAATTGGGTCCTGCTAAAGTACAATTATTACAAGCACACCAGCAGATCTACAAAAGAGTGGCTGAAAAATAAAAGAATCAAGGTGTTGCAAAAGTCCAATCAAAGTCCAAACCTCAACCCGATCGCAATTCTGTTGCAGAGCCTAGAGAGCTGTCCAAAAACAAATGGCAGCAAACCTCCAAAAAGTTAAGCAACATTGTAAAGAAGAGTGGGACAAAATTCCTCCACAAGCATGCGAGACTGATAAAGTCATACAGAAAAAAAGTTATTGCTGCAAAAAGGTGGTTTTTTTTCTACTTTCTTTAGCAGTGATTGTAGTACATTTAGAACACTATTCAAACACAAGCAATTTTACCCAAATTATAATTCTGATTATAAGCAACAAATCCCTGAAAAGTGTGGGTAGTCAGAGGGAATTTCCAATTTTAATCAAATACAACCAAACTGAAAACACAGATCAGCCTATCCACTAAACTATGAAGAGTAAATTAGAATGGGAATAGAAACATAGAAACATAGAAACATAGAAACATAGAATGTGACGGCAGATAAGAACCATTCGGCCCATCTAGTCTGCCCAATTTTCTAAATACTTTCATTAGTCCCTAGCCTTATCTTATAGTTAGGATAGCCTTATGCCTATCCCACACATGCTTAAACTCCTTTACTGTGTTAACCTCTACCACTTCAGCTGGAAGGCTATTCCATGCATCCACTACCCTCTCAGTAAAGTAATACTTCCTGATATTATTTTTAAACCTTTGTCCCTCTAATTTAAGACTATGTCCTCTTGTTGTGGTAGTTTTTCTTCTTTTAAATATAGTCTCCTCCTTTACTGTGTTGATTCCCTTTATATATTTAAATGTTTCTATCATATCCCCCCTGTCTCGTCTTTCCTCCAAGCTATACATGTTAAGATCCTTTAACCTTTCCTGGTAAGATTTATCCCGCAATCCATGAACCAGTTTAGTAGCCCTTCTCTGAACCCTCTCTAAGGTATCAATATCCTTCTGAAGATACGGTCTCCAGTACTGTGTACAATACTCCAAGTGAGGTCTCACCAGTGTTCTGTACAATGGCATGAGCACTTCCCTCTTTCTACTGCTAATACCTCTCCCTATACAACCAAGCATTCTGCTAGCATTTCCTGCTGCTCTATTACATTGTCTGCCTACCTTTAAGTCATCAGAAATAATCACCCCTAAATCCCTTTCCTCATATGTTGAGGTTAGGACTCTATCAAATATTCTGTACTCTGCCCTTGGGTTTTTACGTCCAAGATGCATTATCTTGCACTTATCCACATTAAATGTCAGTTGCCACAATTCTGACCATTTTTTCTAGTTTACCTAAATCATTTGTCATTTGGCTTATCCCTCCTGGAACATCAACCCTGTTACATATCTTAGTATCATCAGCAAAAGACATACCTTACCATCAAGACCTTCTGCAATATCACTAATAAAAATATTAAAGAGAATGGGTCCAAGTACAGATCCCTGAGGTACCCCACTGGTGACAAGTCCAAGCTTCGAATATATTCCATTAACTACAACCCTCTGTTGCCTGTCACTCAGCCACTGCCTTACCCATTCAACAATATTGAATCCAAACTTAAAGATTGCAGTTTATTGATAAGCCTTCTATGTGCAACAGTGTCAAAAGCCTTACTGAAATCTAGGTAAGCAATGTCTACTGCACCACCCTGATCTATAATTTTAGTTACCCAATCAAAAAAATCAATAAGATTAGTTTGGCATGATCTCCCTGAAGTAAACCCATGTTGTCTCTGATCTTGAAATCCATGTGTTTTTAGATGTTCATCAATCCTATCCTTTAACATGGTTTCCATCACTTTCCCCACTACTGAAGTAAGGCTTACTGGCCTATAGTTGCCCGACTCCTCCCTATTACCTTTCTTGTAAATGGGCACAACATTCGCTAACTTCCAATCTTCTGGGACTACTCCTGTTAACAATGATTGGTTAAATAAATCTGTTAATGGTTTTGCTAGTACACCACTAAGCTCTTTTAATAGCTTTGGGTGTATTCCATCAGGTCCCATTGACTTATTTGTCTTTACTTTTGACAGTTGAAATAGAACCTCTTCCTCTGTAAACTCACGTGTAATAAATGACTCATTTATCCTTTTTCTCAACTGAGGTCCCTTTCCTTCATTTTCTTCTGTAAATACAGAACAAAAATATTCATTGAGGCAGTCAGCCTGACCTTTATCCTCTTCTACATACCTTCCTTCTTTTGTTTTTAATCTAACTAATCCTTGTTTTACTTTTCTTTTCTCATTTATGTATCTAAAAAATGTTTTATCCCCTTTTTTACTGACTGTGCTATTTTCTCTTCTGTGTGTGATTTGGAAGCTCTTATAACTTGCTTAGCCTCTTTCTGCCTAATCTTATAGATCATTTTGTCTTCCTCACTCTGGGTTTTTTTTATAATTCCTAAATGCTAACTTTTTGTTTTTAACTATTTTGGCCACATCTGCGGAGTACCACAGTGGTTTCTTGAATTTTTTGCTTTTACTGACAAGCCTAATGCAATTTTCTGTTGCCTTCAATAGTGCAACTTTTAAATAATCCCATTTTTCTTGGACTCCATTTAAATTGCTCCAGTCTGATAATGACTCCTCTACCCACATTCTAATTTTAGAAAAGTCTGTTTTTCTAAAGTCTAAAACTTTTGTTTTTGTGTGGTGTGACTCAGTCACTGTTCTTATATTAAACCATACTGACTGATGATCACTGGATCCTAAACTTTCACCTACAGTAACATCTGATACCAAATCTCCATTTGTTAACACTAAATCTAGTATGGCCTCTTTACGAGTTGGCTCCTCGACAACTTGTTTTAGAGACAATCCCAGTAGGGAGTTTAGAATATGTGTGCTCCTGGCACAAGTAGCTAATTTTGTTTTCCAATTTACATCAGGAAGATTAAAGTCACCCATGATGATAACTTCCCCCTTCATTGTCATTTTAGCTATTTCCTCAACTAGTAGATTATCTAACTCTTCAATTTGTCCAGGGGGCCTATAAATCACACCTACACGAGTTACTGTGCGATTACCAAATTCTAACGTAGCCCAAACGGACTCTATGTTTGCCTCACTAACTTTTATTAGGCTAGATTTTATGCTATCCTTCACATACAAGGCCACCCCTCCCCCTTTCTTGCCTTCCCTATCTTTCCTATATAAAGAGTACCCTGGTATTGCTATGTCCCAGTCATTTTCTCATTGTACCATGTCTCAGTAACAGCGACTAAATCTACACTATCAGTTGCCATTATTGCCACAAGTTCATGGATCTTATTCCCTAAACTGCGAGCATTTGTAGACATGACTCTAAGCTTATCATTTTTTAACACACTTGCTACAGGCACCTTCTGTCCTTGTTTTGGGGGACAATTGGATTGATGTTTTATCACCCTTTTGCCCCCCCCTCCTAGTTTAAATACATCCTAGCAAAACCTCTGAACTGCTCACTGAGAACATTTGTTCCCTTTTGAGAAAGATGCAAACCATCTTTTTTGTACAGCTTATCTCCATTTCAAACAGAGCTACCATGAAGAAATAAAGCCAAATCCTTGCTCCGACACCATTCACCAAGCCACAAATTAAAGTCCCTAATACGCATCCGCCTGTCGTTCTGAGTGTTATGCACAGGCAGAACTTCAGAGAATGACAGTGTGGAAGCAACCTGCCGTATATCATTGGCAAAAACACTAAAAACTTCTTTAACCTCTGAAACCTCATTGCAAGCCAAGTCATTTGTCCCTAGATGGACAAGTACATCCAATTCCCCTTCCTGCTTTGCTTGCTTAACAATATTACAGATACGTCTCCTGTCTCTGTGAGCAGTAGCTCCGGGAAGACACCTCACAAGACCACCATTGTCCATCTCCACAACTCTTATAATGGAATCACCCAACAACAACTGCTTTCTATTAGGCCTCACCATAGTCTCCAAGCCGGTCTCCACAACACCACTAGTCTGGAATGCCAAAATGTAGCTATTTTGGAAGAAGAAAATAAATCTGACTTAACCATAATCATGTCACAGCCTGGTGACTTAGATTCTGTATGCTAAAACATATTAATAAATATTAACCTACAAAAACAATAATATTATATATGACATTAGAACATGACAGATGTTTACAAGGTTCATGTGATAAAGCTAAGGTCAGTACAATGAGACACATGCTGCTGTCACACAGAAGGTCTATCCCCTTATTGTTACACTCCATGTAACCCAGCTAATTGCCTCCATTAAGGTTTACCCTATACCACTGAACGTCCTCCAGTCTCACCTGAACACTGCGAAGCAAAACCCCAGCCATGTCTAGTGCAGGACAGACCTCGCGAGAGCAAGGACAAATAAAGCTTTTTCAATTTGCGGCTCAAGCCTCGATCCAGACGCGACGCCATGTTGGTACACCCGGTTGGAATGGACCGGAAGTGCAGCTTAAGCCTTATTGTGATTGATAATTAGTTTGGTAAATTGCAGAGTCGACTCAATGTTTTAGTTTTATTCCCTTTCTTCCAGAAAATACACGTTTGATATATTATATATATATATTTGCATGTAACTGTGTAAAGCCTAGCAGAGGTATTCACAACACATCTCAAAGTCAGCTATAGTCACTGTTTATTTTATCAAAAATTTTCCAAATTCAGTTTTTAATTTTTTTTTGCTCCTTACTATTTCTCCATAAAATTTGGCAATGGCATTATTAATTGCCCTGTTACTAAACTACCCTGTTTTAACAAATGGTCTCCATGTTATTTACAACACCCTGCAAATTGTATTCCTGTTACACTGAATCACAATCACACATCTTTTCACTAAATCCATTCATATCACATGGTCATAGTTATTAACTGAAGTGAGAATTCAGAGTGAATTCCAAATTTAATGTCAAAGTAGCCAAACTGCAAAAATCATCTAATTCGACCAAGCTTTCAGTTCAGCTACTTTGGCCTTAAATGTGAAATTAACTGTGAATTCTCACTTTAGTTTATAGAATAATCACCACCCCAGCAGAGAAACTGAGCTAGCCATGTTTCTCCAGTTGCTATGGTAACCATATCCCCCCATGTTTATATGGTGCTTATATCAGATATAAGCATGATTGTCAACCAAAAAGCCTGCATCACACGGTTACATTTGTATTAGAACCACCACAAAGTAAAAGGCAAGCTACTGGGGTGTCTGACTCCCCCTACAATAACTGTACAAGGGGCAGGAGCCTGCACATTCCAGGCTGGCCAAGCCAGTTTCTCTTTGGACTACAACTCCCGGCGTGCAGTGCAGTGCGCGCGGCGATGACGCGGGGGGCGGACACGTAGACGACACGGGCTGGGCGTTACTTCGCGCATGCGCGCGCCGCGGACTGCCTGGGCCCCATCAGCAGCGGCGGACGGCGGTAACGGGTAGCGGGGTCTTATCCCGGGGGTCTTCCGGCCGGCTGGAGGCGGTATGCGGTTCTACGCGGCGAGGAGCTGCCGGTAACGGTATGAAAACACCGCGCGGGGGGCGGGGCCATGGCCGGGTGACGTCACGGCACCGCTGCGGATGTCAGATAAAGCCTGACAATGGCCGTATCGTATTCCTCCTATACTTCTATACTATACTATCTCATCACTATACTATACTATACTATACTATGCTATACTATACTATGCTATACTATGCTATACTATACTATGCTATACTATACTATACTATACTATGCTATATTATATTATATTATATTATATAGACACTCAGCGGGACAACACTCAGCGGGACAGTCGCATAGACATCATAATAAAACATTACTTAATAATATAATGTACATTTATAGATAATAAAACATCATTTAATAAATATACCCTGATATAATGTACATTTATAGATAATAAAACATTATTTAATAATAAATATACCCTGATATAATGTACATTTATAGATAATAAAACATTATTTAATAAATATACCCTGATATAATGTACATTTATATAGATAATAAAACATTTTTTAATAATAAATATATCCTGATATAATGTACATTTATAGATAATAAAACATCATTTAATAAATATACCCTGATATAATGTACATTTATATATATAATAAAACATTATTTAATAAATATACCCTGATATAATGTACATTTATAGATAATAAAACATTATTTAATAATAAATATACCCTGATATAATGTACATTTATATAGATAATAAAACATTTTTTAATAATAAATATATCCTGATATAATGTACATTTATAGATAATAAAACATCATTTAATAAATATACCCTGATATAATGTACATTTATATATATAATAAAACATTATTTAATAAATATACCCTGATATAATGTACATTTATAGATAATAAAACATTATTTAATAATAAATATACCCTGATATAATGTACATTTATAGATAATAAAACATTATTTAATAATAAATATCCTGATATAATGTACATTTATATATATAATAAAACATTATTTAATAATAAATATATCCTGATATAATGTACATTTATAGATATAATAAAACATTATTTAATAAATATATCCTGATATAATGTACATTTCAGCCTTGTTCTGTTTGTTCTCAGCCGTTTAAGACATGAAGCCTTGTCACTCACAATCATAAACAAAATATATGTAACAAAAAGCTAAACATGTTGGTCTAGATTAAAAGGAAATATATAATTTCTCTACAAAGCACGAAACATAGCCGCTCACTATATGTATATTAGTAGCAGTTTGAGTAGTAATAATATTATAGCTTTTTCTTTTGTAACAATGTTATTATTGTACTTGAACTGTTCGGTTGTTTCTTTAACCATCGATTGTAGTGCAAAAGCAAGATGGCAAGGCAACTTTTTGTTTTTGCTTTGAATATTGTAAGATGTGTAAGCAAAAGAGTGTTTACATTACTTACACTACAGGGACAGACCCAGGACTACTATATTAAGCAGTATTGGTTCTGGTGCCTGGACTGATCCAGTTTAGGTAATATGATGCCATAGATGGATTTTAATAAACCAAGAGACTGAAGGATGAGTGGTTTACAAATGTCCTTGCTTTTACCTAATACAGAGCTCGCCACTATGTCTGTTTTTTTACATTATATTTGTAGGTTAGGGTTAGCTCAAGCGCAATGGTGGTGTAAGGGTTAATGGTTAGTGGTAGGATACTGTAGTTAATGTTAAGCATTGGTGTGTTATGGTAATGTAGGGGTTAAGGGGAGGAGTTTATACTAAGCCAGCACATGTCCCATTGCTACCTGAGATCAGTGGGAGGTACAGTATACAGGTGGGAGTGTGGAAACAGTTAATCACTTGCATATTTTTACCTGTATTGCTTCAATCTGTGTCTTAAACACGTTTGCACTATGAACATTACTAAATGCAGACGTGGTCATGGAGATTGGAGTAAGCCTTTAGAGCGGCACTGTCATCTCCCCCCACTTCCAAAAAAACAAGTATTTCATAAATATAGAATCTTCATGAAATACTTGTTTTGACTGGTGTTGTTATTTCTTTTTCTTATTATGTTCTTTTTCCAATATTTACAGCATCTTGCCGTGTGGAAAAAAAGTCCTGAGAAGCTCTCATAGGGTTAACATTGCTCTTACCTGCTGATTCTTACACTATCCATCACCCACACCCACATTAACACCTTTTTTTGCCAGCACCTACAGAGCTTGTGTGTTCAGAAAGACCATTTCCTGTGCTTAATCACAGAGATTGCTAAACTTCCAGTAAACCAAAAATGTCATGTGTACTGATCTGATATTCTCCACTTGGGGCATAAAAATGCTATTTCATACATGAGTGTACGTTCCATGCTTGTTGGAAGCATAATATAAATAAATGTTTTCCTTTCAGAAAACCACTCTTATTGGTTCTATGCATTTTTACAATAAATGTCATGCACAATTTTTGGCACAGTTATTGAATCCAAAGAAAATAAAATTTAAATATTTAAGCACATGGTTTATTACCATAGCTTACCTTAAAGAAGGTACAAAAAAGGTTTCTGACTACAAGTTCTATAGCTCCACACCACGTTTTTTCATACTTACAAGCCGCGTATGAAACTAGTTGGCCTGGTACATGTAGAAATCATTTGCTGCACGATTAAGGATTCCAATGCAGCGCAGCTGTCTGAACCCAAGAACATATGCGGCTGATTCCATAATTGGTGTTAGACATACTTGGTGTTTATAATGATCAGATTGTATTTGCCTCTTTTTCAGGAAGGGGGCACTCTGGGAACACGTCAACATTGAATATGGGTGAAAAAAAGCCAGAACCTCTGGACTTTGTAAAAGATTTCCAAGAATATCTCACACAACAAACACACCACGTAAATATGATCTCTGGCTCTGTGAGCGGCGATAAAGAAGGTGACACGTTACCAGGAGGTATGAAGAAGATTTAGGAATGGCTGTACGCCTAATTATTGTGTTAACACAAAATAGTACAAACAAAGCATATTACAGTATTAACGCACAGGCACCCCTTTATTTCCATACACAGAGGTGGTACGTGCATGAATTCTGGGAAACGTATTTGCGTAAAATCAGTGTGTAACTATGATGAAATCATCCTTATGCCATTTTACAGTGATAGATAATATGTGGGCACTTTATATGTATACTCACACTACGAACCCCCGGATTTGATCAGCACTCAAAGAATTGGTCAACCAATCGTTGTTTAAAACTCCTAATTTAAGGAGTCAAAAAATTTATCCTTGCCCATTTGCAATAGGAAAATGTAAATTGAGCCCTGGTGAGTTGGCTTGCCTGAGGATTTTGGTTTGCCAGCTGCCCGGGGGATTGCCAGCAGAAGCTGGTACCTGGAGGCTGCAGAACCAGAGTCCCGCCGCCACTATGGCGTGCAACTGTTTCAGTTAGTACTGATCAGCACAGTTCCATGGTGACTTGCATTGCTATGATGTGTGACGACATATCACTCCTGTGTGAGCCACTAGGGAGATAGCTGGTGATCAGAAATAGCTGAAGGACAGCTCCCTGTGGCTGCCTCTCACAACTATACACCAGAGCTTAATCTGGTCCTAGTGAGCAAATGAGAGGTGATTTAGTAAAAATAAAGAAGATAAGGAAAGTGAGTGCATGTTTGGTGAGGAATGAGACCTGGCTATGGCTAGTAACCTTTACTCAGGCTTCTAATAATCTTGGTTATGGTGTTTGGAAAGTCTATGTTGGAGTTAACTGTACTATCTATTTATTATCTTGTATACACTGTGTGGCCCCTGGCTATATCTTTCTTTTGTTTTTCTTTCTAACCCTTTTCCTTTCCTCGAGATATGGGAGAAAAGTGCTACTCATTGACTCACTTTCTATAAATCAGGGCCACAAAGCCACGATGTGCTCACCGCTAACTCTCCGTGCCTTGCTCTACCGGCAGCTGGGACAGACAGTGACCAGAATGGGCTGGACCACCCCTCGGTGGAGGTATCTCTGGATGAGAACGCAGGGATGCTGGTGGATGGCTTTGAGAGAACATATGATGGAAAGCTAAAATGTCGATACTGTAACTATGCCAGCAAGGGCACTGCTCGTCTTATAGAACACATTCGCATACACACAGGTAGGGGGGTCTATCTGTGTATGCATGAATAAACTTGCAAGCAGAGCTGGAGAAATATCACTAATATTGACCAGGCAGATGTATAACAAAGCTAACTATCCCTCAAACCCTCATTAAATGTGATCTTATTTTTTGTTTAGAGTTCAAGCTTAAATAGGGAAGCCTATAGCTCTTCGATAATCTGCAGAAGACACTGCACTTGTCTTCAAGTTAATAAAACTGGCAAAATATAAAAATATATAAAATTCAGTGCAGCAAGGATTAAAGTTAGATCTTAGGGAAATCCCGATCTCACCAATGTAGAGAAAACCAAATCAACTCTGCAAGAGAGAACACAGTCAGGCAACATAAAATATTACTTACTTTTAAAAAAACTAAAAAAAAAACTTCATTCACTGCACTCTTAGAGCAGGGGTGCCCAAAAAGTAGACCCCCAGATGTTGTAGAACTACAACTCCCTTGATGCTTTGCATATCTTTGGAATGCCTTTAGAATGGAAAAGCATCATAAAAGCTGTAGTTTTAAAACCTGCTGGGGATCTCCCTTTTGGGCACCCCTGTCCTAGAGAAATACTCCATTTATTTTTTAACTATTTAGTAGATTTATTTTAGCATTTTTATTGTTAGGGGCTAAATCTAAACACAGCTTGCAAAACCGCAGATCTCTTGTCTGCACCCTTTGCAAACCTTTCCAATCAGAGGATCCTCTTTGAGAAGCTGCTGTGCTGGAGCTGCACGCTAACAGCTCACAGCTTTCCAATGGTGGTTATTGTTATTATTATTGCCATTTATATAGCACTAACAGATTCCGCAGCGCTTTACAATATTATAAGAGAGGGGATTTCACTATAAATAGGACAATTACAATAAAATGTACAGGAACGATAGGTTAAAGAGGACCCTGCTCAAACGCGCTTACAGTCTTTAGGAGGTGGGGTATAAAACACAATTGGACAGAAAATAGCAATCAAATTAGGTGGGAGTGAAGCAGAGCTGGAGGAGAGAGTAGAGTGCTGCCCTTTAGGAGAGAGCAAGAGACAGGTATGTAAGGTAGAGGTTACTCTGGGAGGCCGTAAGCTTTCTCAAAGAGAGTGGTTTTTAGGCACTTCTTAAAGGATGCAACTCTAGGGGAGAGTCAGATGGCGGTAGGCAGGATATTCCATATGAAGGGAGCCGCCCGCTAGAAGACCTGCAAGCGTGAGTTGGCCGTACAGTTGCGAGCAACAGACAGAAGAAGGTCACGGGCAGAGCGGAGAGACCGAGAAGGGGCATACCTATGGATCTGTGAAGAGATATGAGGGGCTAGAATTGTTCAGTGTTTTATAGGTATGATTCTCAATAAGCTGTATTACAGCTCATTGGGAAGGCAGGTGTGCGTTAGCACAGTGCCCCTGCCACTTCTCTTAGCTTCTGATTGATAACCAGGGAGGTGTTTATGCTTGCAAACATAAAAAGTGCTGCTTTCTATTGAAATCTGCCTTTTTTGTCACAAACATGACAAGTTCCAGCCAAAGTACTTATTATAGGGACACTAAGCACCAAAACAACATTTGCTGAATGAGGTGGTTTTGGTGTATAGGTCATGCAGTTGCAGTCTTGCTGCTCAAATCTCTGCCATTTAGGAGTTAAATCAGTTTTCTTTTCTGCAGCTCTAACCACACCTCCCCTGGCTGAGTCTCACACAGCCTCTTCCTGAGTCAACCTTTTTTAGCTTCCCTTTTTTCACAGTGTGTTTAGTATAGAATTTCTTATCTCCCTAAATGGCAAATAATTGAGCAGTAAAACTGCAGGGGTATGGTCTATACACCAAATCTGCTTCATTAAGCTTAAAGGACCACTCTAGGCACCCAGACCACTTCAGCTTAATGAAGTGGTCTGGGTGCCTGGTCCAGCTAGGGTTAACCCATTTTTTTTATAAACCTAGCAGTATCAGAGAAACTGCTATGTTTATGAATGGGTTAAGCCTTCCCCCAAAGCCTCTAGCGGCTGTCTCATTGACAGCCGCTAGAGGCGCTTGCGTGCTTCTCACTGTGAAAATCACAGTGAGAGCACGCAAGCGTCCATAGGAAAGCATTGTAAATGCTTTCCTATGCGACCGGCTGAATGCGCGCGCAGCTCTTGCCGCCCGTGCACATTCAGCCGACGGGGAGGAGAGGAGGAGGATCGGAGAGCTCCCCGCCCAGCGCTGGAAAAAGGTAAGTTTTAACCCTTTTCCCCTTTCCAGAGCCGGGCGGGAGGGGGACCCTGAGGGTGGGGGCACCCTCAGGGCACTATAGTGCCAGGAAAACAAGTATGTTTTCCTGGCACTATAGTGGTCCTTTAAGTTGTTTTGATGCTTGTAGTGTTCCTTTAACCCCTTAAGGACACATGACGTGTGTGACATGTCATGATTCCCCTTTATTCCTGAAGTTTGGTCCTTAAGGGGTTAAGCAAGTTGTAGTACTTTATGTGTGTTGAGTGTTAAAAATAGAGCCGTGTTGCATACTGTGTGCGTAATGTGTGTTGAAATTGTTCACTTGCAAGTGGAGACATTTCTCTCTGGAGTCTCAGGTGATAATGTAGTTGCTACAAATATCAGCTGTCTTTTAGTAGTCGCACAGCGCTTTTTTGCTGTCCAACAGTCTGAGACTTTGCTTCCACTGACAAAAACAGATCTTGTATTCCTGGAACATGGCTGTGGAAGAAAACAGAAATTAGTAAATTGTAGCCCAGCAGAGCTATCATAGTCCTGTAAACATGGCTGAAAGTATGTTGCAGAAATATATGTGAATGCCATCATTCTTTCGTGGAAGCAATACCTCTTAGACTACTGGACTTGCAAAACAACTGTTGATAGTAAACAACAGTTTTATCACCTGATACTCCAAGAATTTCAGTAGTCTCTGCTTCTGAGGGAATAATTTTAACAATCTTTAAGCATGCAATACTATGCTATGTTTTTCATTTTATTACTTTGAACACATTTAAAAAAAAAATTTAAATTCAATGTAAGTAATATGGCATGTTTTTTAGCTGTCTCTTTTGCTTAAGGTTGGGTTTCAATAATAAGCAAATAGGTGTAACTTGTTACAACTTAAAGTCCAGTAATGATCCTAAAATAAAAAAGTATGTCTGTCTATGACTGAGCATCACATGAGTTCAATTTCAATTGAAAAGCTTAATCTTTGCAACTGCTAATAAACCATTTATCAAACTACCTTTGCAGCTGTGGTTTGAAATCATCAATTTCTTTAGCATCAGATTTGTAGTGCTTTTTCAGTTTTTATAAACTTTGAAAAAATTAAAAATGAGCTTTTGTTTCTCACGTATTATACAGTTCTATAAATATAAAGAAAACATATAGAAAATTATTATTGCAAATATAAAGCCATTACAAATGTTTTAATGATATGTACAGTTTCAAAACATGGCCATGGTTCCATTTCCCTAATCTTTTCAGCGGGAGCACCGAGGACAATCCCAGTTTCTATAGCCTGTATCAATGGGGAAATTCTCCTAATTATTTCTCTCTCTTGGCTCTAAATATTATCTAAAACCAATTAGATGTGATCCATTCTCTCCAGTTTGTCAAAAGCCAACTATTTTCTCCTTTACTATTTAAAAGATTGTTCTGTCTTTATCTCCTCCACGTTTTTCCCAGTCTTTAATACGGACGAACAAAAAAGAATGAGATTATAATAAGAAGGAATGGATAAGGACAAGTAAACTGCTGAAATCATTCTGTAGCGCATACTTGCCATCATGGAACTCTTATTAAATTACTTCACTCTGTAAATATGTAGCTTTCTTAGTGATGATTAATGGCACAAGCATATTTACTAATAGTTTATGGGTGCGGTCTCCTCGTTTTCTGTCAAAGCAGCGTTCAGTTTTTTTCTATCACTTTGATCATCAGTTCTAGAAGTAATTCAACTTAAATTAATCCTATATTACAGGAACACCAACAAACCTAATAAAAAACAAATATAAAACCTTATTTAGTGAATACCCTTATTGAAAACATGCATTTCATTTTCCTTTTTTTTTCCATTGGTGATATATTCAAAACAACTTGTAGAAGCTGCAGATATCTTATCTGCAGCCTTCGCAAACCCTTCCTTTGATCCCCAACCCAGACTTCCCGTGTCTGTCCAATCACAGACTTCCCAACACAGCTCAGTGAGAGGTCTTTGCAAGGCAGGTGCTTTGAACAATTGCCATCTCTTGACTTTAACTCCACTGAGCTAAACAAACTAGGAAGTAACAGGACCTGTTGTGGATTACAGCCAATCAGCAAAGTTAATTTATAAATGTGCCAATTTCTATTGAAAAAAATGGAAAAGGGCGCATTCATTCTTCACACTTAAAGTACTTCAGCAATCTAAAGTGCTTTAGGTGTTTGTAATGGTCATGTAACAGACTGGGGAAGCAGGCACATAGCTGTTGGAATTTGGGCAAATTATTGCTTCTATAAATAATGGAATGAAAGGAAATGGTACGGGAAACATGCTTGGACTGCTGACAAAAGTATGGCATGTTCACCTTAAGAGGATATGCAACAGATATTCCTTCTCCCATCATACTTTTACAACATACAAACATTACTTTAGATATATAAGTATCTGTTTTAGGGGAAACATTTTTTTTTTTACTTTTGGAATAATATATTACAATGCAAGCCTTAATGAATGTCTTAACTCCAAATGTCAGGGGTTGTAAGTGAAATTAAAGAAAAAACAAAATGCGAACAATTTACTTAAAGGGATACCTATAGTTATCAAAACAAAGTTAGCTTTGTGATGCAGTTTGGGTGTATAGATCATGCCCCTGCAGTCTTACTGCACAATTTTCTGCCATTTAGGAGTTAAATCACTTTTGTTTCTCCTTACACAGCCCTAGCCACATCTCCCCTGGCTGTAACTGACACAGCCTGCATGAAAAAAGGTTTCATTTTCAATCAGGTGTTAAAGAGACACTCCAGACCCCTAAAGCACTTTAGCTTGCTGAAAGGCTTTATGTGTGAAGAGTGTGTCCTCTCTCTTCACTTTGCAAAAACTGCAGATTTCAAAAGAAATTGACACTTTTATAAATCAACATGGCTACACAACAAAACCTGTTATGTCCTGGTTTTGTTGGCTCAGTGGAGCAAAACTCAAGAGGCAGCAATTGCTCAGAACACCTGCCTTGCAAATACTTCTCATTGAGCTGCATTGGGAAGTCGGGAGAGGACTTGCAAAGGATGCAGATTTTGCAAACTGTTTATACTCTCAACGGAAATATTCATAATTAAATGTATACATGTGTTCATTTGGGGTAAGAGCAGGAAATAAAAAAAAATAGATTAAACAGACTTTGCAATAAAGGAAGTTTAAACATTAGACATCTCTTAACAAGAAGTTTGGAAAGGCTGTGCAAGTCACATGCAGGGAGATGTGACTAAGGATGTATAAACAAACTGATTTAACCTCTAAAATGGCAGATAACTGAGCAGTGAGGCTGCAGGAGCATGATCTATACACCAAAACTGCTTCATCAAACTAAAGTTGTTTTGGTGCCTAGTGTCCCTTTAATCCAAGATTCACATTATCTTGAGAGGTGTGTGTGTGTGTGTGTGTATGTGTATATATATTTAAAAAAAAAAAATCACACAAAACACATTTCCTATGTAGAGTTATACACTTGTCTATAGAGTCTATTTCTGCTTTTCTTTGTATTGTAGTAGTTAAATAACTATGTAGTTGCACTGTTCAGTACTGTGATACTGTATAAGTATGTGTGTGAAAAGTTGTCATTCCAGAGGTTTAGTATTGTGATTTTCTTTTCTTCTTATTGTCAGGTGAAAAGCCACACCGTTGCCACCTTTGCCCATTTGCTTCTGCGTATGAACGTCACCTAGAGGCTCATATGCGCTCTCACACTGGGGAAAAGCCGTATAAGTGTGAACTATGCTCCTTCCGTTGCAGCGACCGCAGTAACTTATCACACCATCGCCGCCGCAAGCACAAAATGCTACCCATCAAAGGCACACGCCCAACTCTGGGCAACAAAAAGATGTGGGGTGTTCTTCAAAAGAAAGTTAGCAGCTTGGGCTATAGTCGTCGGACTCTGATTAATCTCAGCCCACCATCCATGGTGGTACACAAGCCAGACTACCTGAGTGATTTTTCCCATGAGATCCCAAGCATACAGAGTGAGGCATATGACAACCTAGCAAAGGCTTCACATGTGGGAGGCCTGTCCCGAGATCCTCAGGAACTCATGGTGGACAATCCTTTAAACCAACTGTCCACTCTAGCTGGACAGCTCTCCAGCCTTCCACCGGACACTCACAATCCTGCCTCTCCTGACACAGGACCTTGTCCTGATGAGAAGCCCTTTATGATTCAGCAACCTCCACCACCAGCTTGTGCTTCTGCAGTCTCCACCAGTGTACCACAGAGTTCCTCACCAGCCAGCCCTGATTTACGTCCTACACACAACCACAGGAACTGTAGTCCAGTGGCTGGACCAAGCAGTGAGCGCAGTGGACGAACCAGCACTCCTAGTATCAGCAACAGTCAGCCTAGCACACCTGCACCTGCTCTTCCTGTACAAGACCCGCAGCTTCTCCACCACTGCCAGCACTGTGACATGTACTTTGCCGATAACATACTGTATACTATACACATGGGTTGCCACGGATTTGAAAACCCGTTCCAATGTAACATCTGTGGATGCAAGTGTAAAAACAAATACGACTTTGCCTGCCACTTTGCACGAGGTCAGCACAGCCAACACTGACTTTTCTGACCATTTTTAATAAACCCAGACCTCTGGAGACACTGTGTGTACATGGTGCCTGTCACCTGAGGAATGTATATGATGTAAATATGTTTGTGTGCCTCATTTGAACATGTGACCGTAATTATGTGTGACAGATAATTTACTATTTTTAAAAGAAAAAGAAAAAAAAAGTATGATGTTGTCTAGTTTCTGAGTGTTCCTGGCACTTGCCACACCAAGGCAGACTTCGTAAGGTTCCGAATTAAAGGTGCAAAGTGGTTAAATGGTTGCATCCTGAATGTGGCACCTGCTTAGCGGTCTTCCAAGTGTCTTTTAATGTGTAATGAGAGGTTCTGATGAACATGCAGTAAAGTCCTACATTTCAGTATTTCGGAGATCCTTCCAGCTCTATTAATCATTAATTTTGGAGGAATGCCAAGAAAATGCACCATTTGGATTTGCAGCTGTCACATCATATATTTTAATTAACTTTTATAATGCCTTCTTGAAGGATTCAAGGCCCAGTGTGCTACACCTTATTGCTACACTAGAGCTTTGAATGAAATATTGCACAAAATGTTTGACTTTGTAGCTTTCTAACCCAGTCATGTCTTTGTTTTTTGTTATCCCTTCACCAGTTGTACAGTGTTCATATAGACTTATCCATGATGTGTTAAATGTTTCTCTAAAGAATCAAATTACTCCATAAACCATCACGGCATCAAATAAATCTGTATTGTCTTCTCACTCATCTTATGTTTCCAAATGCTGCTTGCATGTGGTGGTTTTGTTTCTGTTGACACTTTCAGATCTAGGGTTATGTAAATCCTTTTATTAGGACAATCCTGATATGTAATCGTCTCTGAGGTCGTTTAAAACTGTGTTTGCACTAGTTTTATTGTAGTCAAACATATGAGCTATCTGTAGTATTGTATAAGTATTGTATTGATGCTCATTTTAGGTTGGGTTTTAAAGAATGCATTGTTTTCAGTTTTAACACTTGAATTTGTACATATGCACATAAGGGAAGGCTTATAATTGTCCTCTCTTCCAAAATATGGTCTATAAAGCACTGGTTCCCAAACCAGACATCATGGGCCTACTAACAATCCAAGCTTTATGTATTTCCCGGTTTTATTCCAGTGAAGATACTGACAAAACCTGATGTTGGTGGGTCTTGAGCCCTGGTTTGGGAAACACTGGTCTAAAGTGGTGTGTGGAAACCCATAGAACTAGCAGACACATTACATTGGTGACTCCTCCTTTTACATGTGTGCACTACCTTTTTATAACAGAACACTTGGATACATCTCCTTCTTCTAATGATTTTTTTTTTCTTCTCCCGAGGTCCCCAAACCATAGACTGTCAAAATCCTGTCTTCAATATTGATTAGAATACATGAGGCGCATTGTCAAAAAACATACAGAGCTCCTTTTATTTATTAAAGGGAAAGTATAGTATTTCTACCACTATAGTGCCCCACTCGCTCGCGCTCCACCCTCCCATAGTGATGAAAGGGTTAAAACCCTTTTTGTCACTTACCTGATTCCAGTGCCAATGTCCCTCTGTGCTGGGTCAGGTTCCACCTCCGCTGGCAACGGTGACCTAATGCTCAGGCGCGGTTATAGACCAGTTTGCATTAGGACTACCCCACAGAAAAGCATTGTATTAATTCTTTCCTATGGGGGTTTTACCCAACGTTGGATTTACTCATGCAAAGCGTGAGGACATCCAGTGTCAGGCAACCAAAAGATACCTAACCACCAGGAAGTGCCTCTAGTGGCTGTCAGGTAGACCACCCGACAGAGGTGGAGTTAACCCTGCAATGTAATTATTGCAGTTTATTAATAACTGCTATAATAACAATTGCAGGGTTAAACTGTGAGGGACAGTGCACCCAGACCACTTCAATGAGCTGATTCAATAAACCCTATTGTAGACTGGTTCTTTTAGATGGTGTACAAAAGTGTTTGCGAGCTGACAAATAATATTACCTGACCACTCAAACAAATACTTATTCCAGTACTGTAAATAACACTGTGATGTCTCCACTGTGCCTTTGGCAAGGAAAATTAGAGAATTTTCTCTTTGCTGATTACACCCACTGTACTGGAATTATTTCCAATAATATCACAGATTACTTCTGCTTTGTATTAATATGTACTATTTACATGTTCAGTTGTGAATTGCATGGGTCCCAGTGTGTCCTAGACACAATGTTGTGCAGTCAATTTTAATAAATTTAGGTTTAAATTAAGGAATCAACAAGTGTCACAGATATGTATCACCACAGGCTGACTCCGAGCTGCAGAACGGGCTGACAAATCCCAGGCGCCAGGTATTTGTAGAGCCTTGTTTTACAATAAACTGCAGAAATATATATATATAATATATATATATATATATATATATATAAATAAATAAAAGAGGGCTCTGCTCAAATAAGCAAAGAAGCACAATTTATTTTATTCAATTAATTTGTAAGAGCCCATCTTTAATGATGATATTTATATTTCAGTTTTCCCAATAGCTTCCAAATGTTAGCATTGTCTATAATGCTTCCTTCCTGCATACTCAAGAAAGTTTGTGATGGGCAAAAAAAGGGATGGATCAGCTTAGCAGCAGAACTTCTATAAAATATAGGATTTGGAATAAAAAGAGTGGGGAAACTTTTCACACTTTATTAGCTGCTCTGAGGCTGTATACCTCAATAATATTTTAAAGGGTAGATTTTTTTATATTAGGACCTGAGAAAAAGCTGAGAGTTATCCAGTTTACAAGTATAGCATTAAAGTAGGAGTCAGCTGTATTCTATACATGCGTGTAATTAGGAATGGCTGTTGTGGATCATTTATTGAACTGGCTGATGTAGATCATGGACAGGGTAACTGAAAAAAAAACAAGTTTGTCTAGTTTTGCATCAAGGGATGAGCAGATAAAAGTACTGCATGCAAATTAATCCCTTAATTTCTCTGTAAATAGAGGCATCCTAGGGCAGTGAGTTTGCCCTAAGCACAAAAGAGGTTTTGGTTTTTCTGTTGCACTATTCACTTTTGGATCCCTGTGCTCTTCAAAGTTAAACTTTGGCCATTTTTGTCCTAAAATGAAGTTGAAACTGGTGAAACAGAAGAAAAACTATGTTTTACAACACTTCCCTATTCTGCATCAATTTTCCGCCTAAGGTAATTTTTTTATTTACAAAGCTACATACAGCAGACGTATTTAGGAGTTCTATGTATTACAATGCCTAATTTTTTATTATTGTGTGGGTATCAGTGTTCAGGTGTCAGAACTAAAGTGTCTGAGGGCATATTTAATTACCTCAATCGATTCTGCTTTTCATCCAGTCTCTCATTCCATTCTTCTGTTTTACCTAAAATATATTTAAGATAAAGTAGGGACTGCTTTGTCTTCCGTATTTTTACTACACCTGAAAAAAAAAAAAAAGGGGGGGAGCTACCTTTGTCAAATATTGTCATTCCCCCAGCCTTCGCTAGTGCTTAGTCTATGGAGGCTCTCGCAGGATCCTGCATAGACAGTGTTGTACTCGTGTGCAAGCAAAATAGTACAGCTGCTGGCAGATGAAGCACCAGCAGCTGAAAAGGACCCACCAGATGTTGATGGTGGCAGTCACAAGGGGCAGCTTCAGGTAAGTAACTTACCTTCCCTTGTACCCCCAGGCCACCGCACTGGAATCGGATGTTCCAAAGTCAGAAGCAATACTGTATTCTTTGATTAATAAAAAGAAACTGTGACTAGTGGGATTTTCACACACCCTAATAGCGAACATAAAGCTAGATTTGGGTGGTAAGATTTATTTTTTTACTATTTTTTTAAATTTACATGCACTAATTTTACTATGCACATAAAAGTACTGCATTCAAATGAATCCCTTAATTTCTCTGTAGATAGAGGCATCCTGGGGCAGTGAATTTGCCCTAATCACAAAAGAGGTTTTGGTTTTTCTGTTGCACTATTCCCTCTGTATAGTCTTCAATAGTTTATAAAGATGAAGGAACCATTTTGGATCCCTGTGCTCTTCAAAGTTAAACTCAATACAAAAAAAATATTTTATATAAAAATGTATTTTTAATATAAATGCTGCATATCTGTGCTGTACAAAGAGGTAGAAACATAAGGGAGACATTTATACTACAAATACGTTACAGTGCGTGTTAGTCACTTAAGTCTGAAAATAACATTTTGGTACATCTATGGTTTTTGCCTGCATTTGTGAGGTTCATTTATTAAGAGTATTTGATCTACTCTTTAAATAAATATGGATGTACAATGTTGTCTACCTGTTCTTTAATCAAGAACATCATATCAGCAGCACAGGGCACCCTGTGTGACATACTTTGCCTCAGCTTTTCCAGAAGTTTGGATTTTGCTCTCTGTAGTTCCTGTGCCACCATTTTCATTTCTTCCACTGAAATGGTACCTACAATTAAAACAAAAGTTAAGCCAAGGCTTGACTTAAGAAAACTAAACAACTAAAAAAATAAACTGGCTAGGCAAGGGGAGAGGGCCTTGCAAAATCACCATTTAGTATTTTGTCAATATACTGAATACCAGGGGCTGACTGAGCACTCAGCTCCTGGGGATCTGAACACAGTAAGCAGTATACTGATTTGGATGGGGAGCTCTAACCTCCCCAGTCAGCCTGCTCACAGCACGGGGTCCGGGTTGCAACCAGTTGGGTCCTATTGCTAAAGTCGCTTTCCCACTTATATTGTAGCGTGGCAGAGCATTTCACACATAAATTACTGCTCTTTCCTGTCTGGCCCGGCAGAGACTGATGCGGTGGGGACTTGTTTGTCACATCCCCACTCTGTGTCCTACACAGCTCGGCCACAGCTTCTGTGTTTGGGCTGGGCACAGCTTATCAAGGAGAGATCTCACTGCCATTCTGGAGTCAAGAATTAGGTTTTTTTTTCTTAGTCTGTTACAAAATTGGAAAGCTGTAGGAGGTTTACAGTGGCCCATAACAATAGAGATAGACAGACCAAGCAATCTTGTCAGGGCTAATTTTCCACTTGCCAATAGCTAGTGGAAATATTGAGCCATTATACATAAAATTCACAGTTTCGTCTTTATTATTACATATTCTACTTTGAAACTATTATACAATGTGGAAAACTGAAAAGTCATACTAGTTAAACTGTAAACAAGACATGAGAAGAAAGCATTGTTTAGATTGCATCCCTACCTTTCATTGTCTGCATAGTCTCGGATATCAAGCGTCGATAAATCTTATCAGCTTGATGGAGGATATTGGCTGCACAAATAGCGCGGTCCTGTTCCTGCTTACAGATGCAAAAAATATGAGAACTGATCCAAATCACAGTCCAATAATTTCATGTAGAAATATAATCAATATAATACAGCATCAGGCTCATCAAGCAGTTAGCAAGGTATGAAGTCCATTTTATAATTTTAGTTGTAAAATTACTTGCATTACTTGCCAAAAAATGAAATTCCCTCTTTCATATTTAAAAGTGTGTATATAATTTTGCTCATCCACCTAAAGTAGTTTTGTCACCATAAAATCTATGCACCATCATATAACATTTTAAAAATGGTGTCTACCTTATATTGATCATTTTAAATATATTACTCAGTAACCAGTTTATTTTAAAGTAACACTCCAGGCACCATAATCACTACAGAGTTTTGTAGTGGATATGGTACAAGGAGTGCCTATCCCCCTAATGTGACTACTTGAACTGTTAGCAGTTTGATTCCATACCTGCAGTCCACTGGGCAACGATTCCAGCTTCTCTCCTTTCGGCATTGAGAGCCAGAAGCATCTGCTAGGAGAGTGTGTTAGCTCTCCTGAGCCAAGTGCTGCTGTGCAGTGCGAGCTTATTGATTGTTAGGCTTAGCTCAGCCAGAGATTTTATGGTGACAGGGAGGCAGGGGCCAGTGCCCCAGAGCCCCCAGGGAAGAAATGAAATTAATTCAAAATAATTTACTGTTTCCTGAAAGTGAGGAGCGAATCTGCCATTCACAGGCTCAGATTGGCTGCTGCCATCACATGTTCTCTGCAATGTATTCTTTTTTGATCTACCAATGTAGGCAATTCAAAGAGGGCCATGTCCACAATGAACAACTGGCACAACTTTAAATGTTAAGTCAAGCAAATGTTATTTTCATGTAACCAAGCCATAGTAATCTATTTGTATCATACTTTAAATGGATTTATGAGAGTCATTTTTAGGTGACAGTATCTCTTGAATGTGCCAACAGTTGTGCTTGCAAACTATAGCTAAAAAGCAAAAATTAAAACCTAGATATAAAAGCTGCTCCAGTGTAAGACTCTAATCTGAAAGTACTGTAAGCCCTACATACATGTTATTACTTATCTAGAACTCCTACATATAATTATGGTTTCTAGTTATTGTCTATGGGTAAATGGATACTGAAATAAACACTTTATAGTAAGAATTTCAGTTTAGCTGACTTTCTTTTTTATTTATTTTTTTAACAATTTTAATTAGTGATGACAAAGATTCCCATGTCTACACAACATAAGAGAAAGAACACATCTTGATAGTCATTAAGTGCAGTAGCTGATATTTACATCTATTTTACCTTCCTCTCATAGTCTTCTTCGACAGGGGTTATAGGATTCTCCAAAGCTTGACTTATCAAGTCAGGTATTTTTGAACTGTAAAGAAACAATACATAGTTACATTCACATTAAACTTCTATGTCGTGGTATAAAACATATAAATAAAAAGCAATTTCAGATTTGTAAATGTCTTTCTAGAAAATACCCAATATTGTATAGATGTGCTGATTTCCACAACATCTGGAGTGCCGAAGGCTGCCTACCCCTGATATGGGTCATAGGGTGACACATGTTATTACCTCTTGTTGCAAGAGCGTCTAAAAAACACAACTTGCAGAAAATGCATTGTATCATTGGCATTTGGCATTACCAGTGCCAAGAACAGACAGCATTGATAACCAGCCAATGGCTTTTCCCATAAAACTTCCAAGATCAGATCTTAGGCTGTGTCATTAAAGAATGTGTGAATAAACCAAAATCATGTTGAAATTAGTGTATACAGTAACTTTCAAAAATATATATTTTTTGTTTGCGGTTTAAGGAACCTCCTAAATACCAGAGGAATGTGCAGAAAGGGGAAGAAATGTGTTATTGCCATTCCTGAAATCAGTTATCTTACTCTTGCATACTGTCTTTTTCTGAGCTGTCAATGATCAAGCTGTTTTGCTCCCATGTATTTTTCTTTGTATTGGGCTTCTCGATTTTTTGCTCCATAAGGCAAATGGTTTGATCTGGGACAGGGCAAGCCCTGCTTCTATTCCTCATCACACAGCAGTCAACTGGGCAGTGCAAATAAATCTGGCAGAAACCTGCAGAATCTGAAAGCAAAGGAATATAAAATTGTATATAAGTATGTTCCTTTGAAATGGAGCAATCTCATATTGGCATGTTACTTGTGTCAGCCCTATTGCATTAAAGGATTATTATAGGCACCCAGACCACTTCAACTCATTGAAGTGGTTTGGGTACAGTGTCCCTTGTGTACCTATTGCTGCAATGTTAAACATTGCAGTTTTAGAGAAACTGCAATGTTTACATTGCAAAACTAAGTCTGCCTCCCGTGGCAGTTCAATACACACAGGCCAAACCAGTCTACAACTCACAAGTTAATGCATGTAATATATGTTTACACTGCTACCTGAATGAATCAAACAAAAATAAATAGTTATCGTGATCTGAAATATTAAGCAGCTCATGTAATATCTGAATATATATTATATTGATCATAATGCAGCTAGTGCACCTGTCATGTCAAGTTATTTGTTAAGTATTTAAAATATATTTACTGCCTACTAAGGTATGCAAATAAACATATTTCACAGAGTATGCTTCCGGCATACAAACCTTCCGTTATGCAGGGAGTGGTGATGTCACAACATCATAGCTTCATAAAGAGAGGACTCACAACCTGCTCTGGCATCTCCATTCTAGACTTGTGCAAAAATGAGATTCAGCTGCAACAAACAAATCAAATGCCTTTTAATCTGCGCCCAAACAAAACGATCAGTCTGGGATTTACTGGGAGCTTTAGACTCCATAGGTATATCCCAGACTGATCGATTAGTTCGGTTACAGATTAAAATACATTCGTGAAACTAAGTCTGCTCCATACCATTTAGAAAAATAAACACCACTGCTAATTGCAGCAGTCATAGATTGCATACAAAGAGCTATGTATGAGTGGAACCATCTTGCAACTGTGAGACCAATTTGAGGTCTTTTATATTTGTATAAAGTATGCTTGTTCTTGCATCATTATAAAGCTTGCATTAAGGATGTACTTACATTTACGTGCCAGTTGGTAAACTTCATATCGCATACTTTGATAATAAAAATTATCATCCAAGACAAGACAGAGAGAGTTGTTTTCTGGAATGTTTAGAGTGAAACTTGGCGTCTTAACGTCTGATGCTGCATTCAAGATCAGGCCTTGACGTTCCAGACAGCCTATGAACCGATGCCAAGTTTTTTCTGATACGCAAAAGGGTTGTACTAAGCCAGAAGAGTTCAGAAATGCATCTATAAGTTGCTCAATGTACTGCAAGAGGAGACGGCGAAGCTGCTTCCAAAGTGAAGTCTAAAAAAAGAAAGAATATATATATATATATATATATATATATATTCACAGTTAGCATGATTTAAACACTTAGCTAATTTGCCATGCTTCACTCAATTTAAACTTACATAATTCTGATTGAAAGACTAACCAATGATCCCCATTAATTCTGCACAGACTGACAGGAAGAAAAATAAAATAAAATTCTGTTTTCCATCCAAGATACACAGTTAGCATAATATATGCAGGGACAGAATAGTAGCTTACGCCGGTCTGACAGACTGTGATGCTGAATATTGCATCATCTGAGGAAAGTATGCCTGATTAGTGATGCCTTGAAAATGTACAAATAGTTTTCCAGATTTGATTCCACGACGCACAAGCTTCTTGATCCCGAATATTGCTAATGTGCTGGTATAAAGGCTGCAGCAAACGTAGGGGCTCCTTTTTTTTTGGTTTCACAGTCCATATAATAAATGATCTTACCAACTGGGCAAAGGTTACTTTTGAAGTCCATCTCACATTTTTTAAACCTAGAAGGATAAGTATATTATTTAAAGCTTCAATAGTTATGCCCTGACCTTAGAGCAGGTCAACTGTGTTTTTTAACCGGGGTGATACAAAATGTGTTTGTGTGACAGCATCTATTTTTCCCCCTGGAATAAGTTCAGGAGATCTATAAACTATGCATGTTTTGACCAGAAAGGAATCAAAATTACCCCTGCTTTCTTAACCCTGGTTATCAAAAGAAATATATATACAAGCCAAACTTAAATTCACAGAATTTCATATCATTTTTACATCCACAAACTTGTTATAGGCTGATTGATATCTGACAAATATTCTTGTTCACTTTCCAGTCTTTCAAAATGTTCATGTTTTGAATAAGGTAATCTGAGAAGTTATGGTCTCCCCTTTTAATCATATGGATGATGATATATCACTTATCCGTCATGGCTATTTACTAAAGCAGGGCTAGTCAACTTTAAGCAGTCCAGATGTTATAGATTACATCTCCAATAATGCTCTTACAGCCATTATGCTGATAAAGCATCAGTGGAGATATAGTCCACAAGACCTGGAGTGCCGAAGACTGTCTACCAAAAGTGTCTCCACTAAAGTGAGAATTCAGAGTGGACATTTAACACCAAAGTTGGCAAACTGGTTGCATAGTTGATTTCGAGAATTTTCCAGTTTGGCTATATTTAACTTATATCTAAAACTCACACTTTAGTGAATAACCAGGGGTCAAGTCCTGGCGAAAAAAGTGTGGGAACTCACCCAAGGTCCACCCACCCTTCCCCGCTCAGGGGTGGGGGCCGGGGAGAAGGACAATCGCCCCACCCCCCCTGCTTATTGTAATTTAGTGCCCCTACCCACTGCTCAATAGTGGGGGCCGGGGAGAAGGACAATAGGTCCCCCCCCTTCTTGTTATTTAGGGCCCCCACCCGCCGCTCAGGGGTGGGGGCCGGTGGGAGGACACTAGGTCCACCCAGACCCATTTTCATTTAGGGCCCCACCTGCTGCTCATGGGTGATGGATGGGGGCCAAGGAGGACCCTATGTCCCCAGTTTACTTTTATAGCTCCCAATTGCGGGGCACTATGTGCCCCCCGCTTGTTAATAGATGCCCCACCATAGGGGGGGGGGGAAGGGGAGGTGCCACTGGCTGCTCACTGTTTAGTAGACATGCCCTAACTCACAGATTTTAATCTTCCTTATGCTATTATGGGGGTCATATTGACCCCCATAGAGTGAGGGAGGACATGGGGGGGCTTAGGAAGTGGCGGGGAGCACTGCTCCCTGCCGCTTCTATTTTTACATATTACAAGGAGGGAGCTGTGCGCCGGTAGCTCCCTCCTTGTAATAAACCAAACAAATGAACAAAGAGGTCTTCGTTCATTCGTTTAAAATTTCTATTAATTTATTCGTCTTTCTGACAAATGAATGGATGAAATTCCCGTTCGCATGCCCATCTGTTTCACTGGGCATGCGCGGGAATCTTACAGCGCTATCTAGTGTGGGCAGACGACGTGTCCCACAGGGACTTCATCTACCCACACAAAGGCGGCGGTGCCCAGGACCTAGGTTTGGGCACAAAATAAAGATGCAAAAATATGTAATATTGGGGGCTTAGGGACATTCGGGGGTGACTATGGGAGGAGGGGGCAATTAGATGTAGTGGAGTCAGTAAGGGGGGTTAAAAAACAAACGGGATTCGGCCATGACAGTGACGCTTTAAGAAGCCTGCAGGGAAGGCTATATACACCAGAATTACTACATTATGCTGTAGCTGTTGTGGTGACTATAGTGTCCCTTTAACAAGTCAGGTTGGAGTGCTGAAAGAATTGGCAGGTGTAGATAAGAGGAAAGTCAATTAGATGGAGGGAGAGTAACAGAGCTGGGGGATATGAGATAGGTACAGTAGGGGAAATGGGTACAGTGGGGGAGATGGGTACAGTAGGGGAGATAGATAGGTACAGTAGGGGAGATAGATAGGTACAGTAGAGGAGATAGATACAGTGGGGGAGATGGGTACAGTAGGGGAGATAGATACAGTAGGGGATATGGGTACAGTGGGGAAGATATAGGTACAGTGGGGGAGATATAGGTACAGTGGGGGAGATGGGTACAGTGGGGGAGATATAGGTACAGTGTGGGAGATATAGGTACAGTGGGGGAGATAGATAGAGTAGAGGAGATAGATACAGTGGGGGAGATGGGTACAGTAGGGGAGATAGATACAGTAGGGGAGATGGGTACAGTGGGGGAGATATAGGTACAGTAGGGGAGATATAGGTACAGTAGAGGAGATAGATACAGTAGGGGAGATAGACACAGTAGGGGAGATGGGTACAGTAGGGAGAGATAGATACAGTAGGGGAGATAGATACAGTAGGGGAGATGGGTACAGTGGGGGAGATATAGGTACAGTGGGGGAGATGGGTACAGTAGGGGAGATGGGTACAGTGGGGGAGATATAGGTACAGTGTTGGAGATAGGTAAAGTGGGGGAGATAGATGGGTACAGTGGGGGAGATAGATGGGTACAGTGGGGGAGATAGATACAGTAGGGGAGAGACATCTGACAGAACAGAGCTGAGGAGACAGTCAGGCAGCTGGGGAGAGAGTATCAGAATGGAAGAGACAGACATATCCACAGGGCTGAGAGCTTGGGTGACAGGCAGCAGAGAGAGGACACCATTGGAACATGTTATTATTATTATAGGGTGTAGGACAGACTGAGGCCAGCTGGCCTGTAATACATTAATCCCTCTCCCTGCATCCCACACATTACAAATAAACACAAGTCAGCCATTTTATAACTGTGCGGCTCAAGCCTCCTTATAAGGAGACTGCACCGCGTCACGTGATGCCTATCTGTGCCCTGATTGGCCAGTTCACTCGCCTCCTCTCCTCCAGGTTCCGCGGAGATGCCCGAAGCTTGGCCGAGGCGACTAGCGAGTTCCTCCGAGAAACTGGCGGCGGTAATGACGTCATCATACGTCACCACAACAACCACGGACTCGCCGAGCGCGCGCTTCCTCAGTGACTCGGCAAGCGTCGACTTCCCCGAGGCGGGCAGGCCGCACAGCAAGCACAGGGCAAGCCTCCGGGCCCCAGCAGCCTCACACATGGGAACTGCCGCCAGCCACCGCCGCACGCTGACTGACAGCTCGCTCGGCCAATCACCGGCCAGCTTTGGTTTCTGTGGAAACCAAATTCCTTCCTTTGCTGGAGGCTTCTGGGACTTGTAGTTCATGCTGAAAGGGACCTGACCTGCTGTTGCAGAAAAAGAAACTACAACTCCCGTGATGCTTTATTGACAACAACAACACAGGCATCACGGGAGTTGTAGTTCTATAACAGCTGTGGGAATTTGCATTTAGCCATCAATGGGAGGCGGCCTTAGAGCTAGCAAAGCGTTATGGGAGCTGTAGTTATGTAACAGCTGTTGATCTACCTTTTGGCCACCCTGTGGTATAATGCTGGTACATTAAAGGACCACAATAGTGGCCGGGCTCTGGGGGGAGGAAGGGGTTAAACACTTACCTTTTTCCAGCGCCAGGCGGGGAGCTCTCCTCCTCCTCTTCGGCTGAATGTGCATGCGCGGCAGGAGCTGCGCGAGCATTCAGCCAGTCTCATAGGAAAGCATTCTCAATGCTAGCGTCTTCTCACTGTGATTTTCACAGTGAGAAGCGCGCAAGCGCCTCTAGCGGCTGTCAGTGAGAACCACTAGAGCCTGGATTAACCCTAACATAAACATAGCAGTTTCTCTGAAATTGCTATGTTTATAGAAAAAAGGGTTAACCCTAGCTGGACCAGGCACCCAGACCACTTCATTAAGCTGAAGTGGTCTGGGTGCCTGTAGTGGTCCTTTAAAGTTTAAACAATATAAATGTAATGTATTCTACATCCACACAGAGACTTCAGAAACCCCAAATTGTGAATTATCATCCCAAAATTACCAACTTCACTGTAGACATTGCTTTTGTCTATATTTTGCCATCTGTCTTCTAATTTACTAAAATTCAAAGATTGGCAGATAACGCGTTTATCAGCTGTAGGAGCTGTGTGCTTTATGTGGTTACAATGTGAATTTTAATATATAGCAGCCTTTAAAATTAAATAAATCTGTTACCTGTGCTTCTTTAGGTAAAATGCAGGTAGGTTCCCTGCTTGAAGAACATTGCAGCATAAATAGAAACTAGCTTGTATGTGTCAGGCAAAGCGGTTTTCTGCATTATGTTTTAAACCAGTGCTGTCAAATCAATGTCTTTAACCACTTACTTAGAGGGACACTCCGGTGCCCAAAGATAAATCAATCACTGTTTAGTTGATACATATTATCCAAATAAAACCCCATGCATGCATGCATTTAATTATGCATTTTCCCCCATTGTGGATATATCTAGAAATGGCTTGCGAAAGCTGTTAATTTGTTGTTTGCCGCCTTTGCAAGCTGTCCCCTTCACCCCTAACCCAGCCTTCCCAATGCAGCTCAATTAGAAATCTGCAGGTGTTTTGGGAAATTGCCACTTCTTGAGTTTAGCTCCACTGAGCTGAACTAACAAGAATTAACAGGGCCTGTTGCCGGATTGACAGCTAGGGCGGTGTAACCAGGTTAATTTATAAAAGTGTAAATTTCTATTAAAATCTGCACTTTTTGTAAAATGATAAAAATAGGACATACTCTTCACACATAAAGGTCTTAAGTAAGCGGAACTGATTTAGTATTTTGGAGTGTCCCTTGAATGAATGAGGCAACTGTCCATGTTCTGAACCAAAACAAAATTTTGAATTTGTGCTGTGTGTTTGTTCCACCATAATTTAAGGTATTCTCTTTTAGTGCCCCCATACATATTATATATTTGTAGTCGGGGCAATATAGTCGTATACAGAAATCTAGCATATAATAACCATAACATCAATGAGTTGGAACTAGTCGGTTGTGGTGTGCCGGAACCGACAAAGCAGTAGGCTTGTAATATAAGTGGGCCTACCTTAGAGGGTGTTTATGAATAGAGGGAGTGGTGGGAGGGGTGACTCGCCCGACCAGCAACGGTAAGGTGGGAGTGGATTGGCAGCCCTTTTAAAGGGAATTCAAGCCCCTCCCACAACTACAGGCCAAGCCTTCAAATTTGTAGTCAGGGCAATATAGTCGTATACAGAAATCTAGCATATAATAACCATAACATCAATGAGTTGGAACTAGTCGGTTGTGGTGTGCCGGAACCGACAAAGCAGTAGGCTTGTAATATAAGTGGGCCTACCTTAGAGGGTGTTTATGAATAGAGGGAGTGGTGGGAGGGGTGACTCGCCCGACCAGCAACGGTAAGGTGGGAGTGGATTGGCAGCCCTTTTAAAGGGAATTCAAGCCCCTCCCACAACTACAGGCCAAGCCTTCAAATTTGTAGTCAGGGCAATATAGTCGTATACAGAAATCTAGCATATAATAACCATAACATCAATGAGTTGGACCCAGTCGGTTGTGGTGTGCCGGAACCGACAAAGCAGTAGGCCTGTAATAAAAGTGGGCAAAAGAAAATACCATAAGACGTAATACGGTTAACCAACTTTATTTATTTAGATAAGTCACAGAAAGCTTGTCTTAATTCTTTAACGGGATTAGGTATGTAGATTGTGTAGGCTGAGGATTTCCAGCGACCCATCGCCTTGATAATGTGAGTGGGTACATGATTAGCAGATGCTGTAGATGCTGCCCCAATTCGGAAAGAGTGACCTGAGAAATGATTGGGGTTTAGGCCAAGCCTAGTCAACAGTAGTCGTACATAAAGCATGAATTTTGTTGTAGTCAGAATGTTTCCATGCAGTTTGAGCAAAGGTTGTAGAGGTTGTTTGTGGAGTGAAAGAAAATAAGCGTCAAAACTTCTACTGGGCACAGTGGTGTATTCTGGTTTTGTGCTGCCCTAGGCAGGACAAAACTCAGGCATCCCCCAACCCCCCACCGCGCGCGCCCCCCACCCATCCCTTCCCCCCTGCGCGCGCGATCCCCACCCATCCCTTCCCCCCGCCTTCTAAATACACACACACACTCACTGACAGATACGCGTACACTAGCTAACAGAAACACAAACACACTGACACACACAGTCAAACACACTCACTAGCAGAGACACACTAACAGACACACACACACTAACACTCACTAACAGACACACACTCACTAACAGACACATACACTCACTAACACTCACACACACTCACTAACAGACACACACTCACTAACACTCACACACACACACTCTAACACACACTCACTAACAGACAGACACACACACTCACTAACACACACACACACTAACAGACACACACTCACTAACAGACACACACTCACTAACAGACACATACACTCACTAACACTCACACACACTCACTAACAGACACACACTCACTAACACTCACACACACTCTAACACACACTCACTAACAGACACACACACACTCACTAACACTCACACACACACTCATTAACTCTCACACACACTCTAACATACACTCACTAACAGACACACACACTCACTAATAGACACACACACACTCACCGACACACACACACTCACAGACACACACACACACTCACTAACAGACACATACACTCACATTAACACATGTACTTTTTAAAACCCCCCCTCCTCCAGCCTCCTTACCTTTGGGAGTGCTGGGGAGGGAAGGGGTTCTCTATCTCCCTGGTGGTCCAGTGGCTGCTGGGTGGGCGGCATTGGCGGGCGGGCGGGCGGCTGACGAGGGAGCTCTTCCTGTGAGCTGACTGCTCAGCTATGACGTCATATCCCGGCTCCCAGCCTCACTCTGCGGCGCGCGAGGGAGCTGAGCAGACAGCTCACAGGAAGAGCTCCCTCGCCCGCCCGCCAATGCCGCCCAGCGCCCAGCATGTCTGTTAGCCGCGAGGCTAACAAGACATTTGCCTTGGGCATTTGGGGGGCGGCTTTTTTTGCCGCCCCCTGAAAAATGCCGCCCAAGGCAAATGCCTTGTTTGCCTCGCGGCTAAAACGCCCCTGACCGGGGAACCATTTAGTATGAGTAGGATACAGGTGGATTTCAATAGTATGACCTATGGTGCTGGTTTTTGATTGTTTTAAAAATAGTAAGTAATGGTCATTATGTTTTTGCAAGTCCATAGTTCTTAGGTAGTCGGATGTTGTAATGGTCCTAGTCGTGAATTCGTTGGGTCGGAGGAACCCATAAAAAGCTAAATATATAGCTGTCTTTATTACGGTATTAGTTATAGGTTTGAAAGGATTAGTGAATGGAATATGTTGTTGTCTATGGGTAGTCTTTGTGAGGGGACGTGTGCATCCAATTTTTTAATGCCTTTAAGTACTGTCTTAATTTAATATGAGGTCAGGAAACCTGTAGCGTTGGGTTGTTGGATAAGCATGTGGTGTTGAATGCCCGTAAGGTACAGTTTAATAGTGTTGAATGATAATTTAAGGTTGATGTGGCAAAAAGAAGTGAAACCCAATATTGATTCTAACGTGAACATGTCGTGGATGTGAAATTCAGTGATGAATTTCTTGAATACGTGAAAAGCCCTGTCGTATGTGTTCCTAGTGTTTACTGAAAGTGCGAGGTGAGAAATGTGACGTGCGTGATCTAACAAAGCCTTTAATCTATTATCATGTCTCAGAAAAGTGGGGCAGGAGTTGCCAGTCTGGAAGCGGAGGGTAGTGTCGTGAAGAAATCCTGAAAACGAAATCGAGACAAGTGATCAGCACCAGTGTTTGTGCACCCCGGAACGTGAATACATGTGATAAAGAATTGACAGGTGGCCGCTACCCATGTGAGTCGTCTTAGGAGTCTCATAATTACCAGGGATGCTGACCGGCCTTTATTGACAATATGGCATGTAGCCATATTATCCGAGTAGCACCTAACCGTGTGATCGGACCAATGTGGTCCCCAGGCAATGGCCGCCGCCACAATTGGGTACAGCTCAAATAAAGCTGAGGTCTCTGTGAATTTGGGCAGTGATTTGACTTCGGTCGGCCATGGTCCCCAAAGCCATTGATCTCCCCAGATGGCTGCAAAACCTGTGTTTGCTGCGGCATCTGTCCACAGTGTAGGTGAAGTGTCAGAGTGGGGTGGTATAAACATGGCTCGCCCGTTCCAAGAGGTGAGAAAAAAAAACCACATACGTAAATCAGAGGTTGCGTGATACGTGAAGTGTCTGAGGTGAATTGTGGAAATAGGGATAGTAGATGTGAAATGAAAGATCTACCTTGTGGAATGATCTTCATTGCAAAGTTGAGCGACCTCAGCAGTGATTGCAGTTCTTTCCAGGTGAAACACCCTTGCAGTAGGTAGTGTTTGATTCTTGCCAGGGTACACTCAATTTTGTCCTGAGGGAGGCTAGCCTGCATGTGTACAGTGTCTAGTTGTATCCCCAAAAAATTGCATGTTGGTGTCTGGACCCAACGTCTTGTGCGGGGAGACCGGGATAGTGAGGGATTCAAACAAAGCCAACATATGTTTCAAACTACTTGGGGGGAGTGTGTTGTTCTCAATCGTGAGGAAATTATCCAGATAGTGAATAACCGAAGCACATTTAGTAATAACCAACACAAAGCCTCTGCAAATGTGTCAAAAATACGTGGGCTACTTTTGGAGCCAAAAGTGAGACAGGTGAAGAAATAATATAACCCTTGCCATTTAATGCTGTGAAGGTGCCAAAGGGAAGGGTGCATGGAAAGTAACTTAATGATATTCACTTCATCCATTTTACTTAACCATGCCCCTTTGCCTGCTTTAATGATGGCACCTATGGCATGGTCGATAGTGGTGTAATGTAGTGAAAACTCTTCGGAAGGTATGAGTGAGTTTAGGCTGGGGACCGTGGAGGAATGTGGTGCAGATAAATCAATAAATGATCAGTCTAGGTTTGAGTTTTTTCCCGTGACAACCCCAATGGGGTTGGTTCTCCAAGATGTGAAGGGTGGTGAAAAGAATGGGCCCAACAAAAACCTCGGTCATGATAAGTTTGTGTACCAACTGTGGGTCATCTAATGTGGATAGTAGGTTGCCACATTCCAGCTTGCCTGTAGGTAAATGTATCAACCCGGTGTGAAATCCCTCAGTCAGTCCCGTTATAAGGTAGTTACTGAAATGGCGTGATGGGTGTAGTTGTAACAAAGTGGTGAATAATCTGAGGTTCACTTCATTTGGGCACATTGTCTTGGAATGGACCCTGAAACAGTGTGAACATACATGCATTAACCTGCAAGAGCTGAAACCACAATTACCCACGTTAAAATTATAGCAAATTTGGGATTTGCCTAAAAATACAATATCCCTGCCCAGATTGTTTTTTAATCCTCTAGTAGGTCTTTGGAAGTTAGAAGCCGGTTGGTTTTGTTCAATTTCTGCCGAATTCGGGCAGAAATTGGTGCTATGCGTTGCCGATGCACACACTGCACAAGCTGGGGGCCTGAGGCCTGCAAAGTTCCTGCAGAATAGCTCAGTGTCCAATTTGTTCCAATTTCTGCTTAAATTGAACTGAGCCAGAACCGCAGCCACCTTTGCAGAGAAGGAACGGTGGAAATCGTAAAAAGCGGTACCACCGTATTTGTGCCCCAGATCCACCATCTTGTGCATGTATGCATCCAACTCTGGTCTTTTCTCAGGGTAAACTGAGCAGTAGACATCTCTATAAATCCCAAACCCCAGCACGAATTCAGGGATGGACAATTTCTTATTCAGCCGGGGGTCTCTAGCCCTTAGTACTACTGAAATATCCCCGTATGCAAAGGTCCTGTTCTCTAGGACATCCTGGGAGGCAATGAGCAATGAGACCAGGTTAACGTCCTTGCCTTCCAGAATGTCCTTTTTAAGGTGATATGGGACCATATGCAAAGGATTAATTGATTCTATAATCGCCATAGATTCAAAAGAATTACCGGGCATAGTATTAGTGAGAGGATGACTGGTAACCATAGTATTGGCAGTGGACTGATTAGCACCACCAGCCTCCAATTTATCCAGCCTGTCACTAATTGTGCCAATGGATGCCATTAGAAAAGTCATCATGGCATGGAAAGATGGTAATTGAGTCCCACTAGGGCCTTCCCCTGCCTCGGAGTTGTCGGTGGTAGTGTTCAGTAATCTAAACAACGCCGCCTTCCTAGCAGTAGCTGGGAAAGGGATGCAGCGTCTTCTGAGTTCTGCTGTGAGACGTGGGATGGTCCATGATTTAAGGGACGAAGGGCTATTCACATCTGTACCAGGAACAGGGTTACCAGGCCTAGCGGGTGTGCTGGCTAGTGAAAGTTCCTCAGGGATATCAGGAGTTTGTGACATAACTAAAAAATATAAAAGTGGCTTAATCAGTCATTTTGTAATGAATTTGGGTGGGTACTGGTGGGGCTATCTAAATACCAAGCGGTGAAACAATTATGCTTTGTGAACGTGATAGATGAGTACCTGCTAGTTGCCAAGCGGCCTGAGAGGCACTATCTATGCGTGGGCCCAAGGGGAAAATGAGGTCACCGAACGTTGTGGCAGGGTGTTGGCCTCTCGGTGTCAATTAAAGCATTAGAAAGAATGGGAGTGACAGATGAGGCCTTGTCTTTGCAACAGTGCGAGGCAGCTAGCTATGATTTGGCCCAAGGGATGTATACCTCCGAGTATGAGGATGGGGATGTTGGCCTCGCGGGACCACTAGCCTATGGATTAAGACCAGAAAATTTATACCTAATTGGGCCACGTAACCTAGGACCAGTACCACTCTAAACATAGAAAGTAGTGGGTTCTGGTGTAGTACCTGATATGTGAGTCAGGCCGAGCTGTCAATGTAGAGGTAAACAGCGACTGTAATAGTGTTGAGGTGTTGACCTGTGGATATGAGATTTGATATATATAGTGTAAGGTAGTAGTTTGGCCAGATCGTGGGCCCTAAAAAAACAAGAACCTACCCGACACTATGCAGAGGGTAGATTTAAACGGAAGAAGATGACGGCTTCTGTGCTTGTAAAAGCTACCGTCCGACGTTCAAGAACCTAAAAGAGTAAATTACACACTTAACTAATTTAATATGTATCATTGACCCTAAGAATGAATCATAATTAAATTCCAACCAACCTAGAAAGTAAATACATTTTGAAACAGATGTCAGAAATCACAATTCCTAGTACGAACCCCCTGGTATGAACCTGTGGGAAAAGGTCAGGAAAATCAGGTCACAACATCCATTTTTAAACATTTATATTAATTTTATTAGAATTTTTATAAGTGACTGTAATAACGTTTGTAACCAGTAGGGGCAAAATCTCCTGGAGTACCAGTTGAATTTTTGCCTATTTCGTGAGTTGTTGTAATCACCGAAAGAACTAGGTAGAGTGTTGAAACATACGAATGGATACATCCTAAGTGTAATTTGAAAACCGAACGGGAAATGTATTTGTATATAACCGAATGATAGAGTTCGTTAGATTAAGTAATGTGAAACATGCGAGTAGATAAGGAAATTTAGCCGAACGGTATAATGTACGAAAAGGAAAAGAACTGAACGCTGGTTCAAACGAACGGGGCTCCGCCGTGTAAAGCTAGGAAGTTTGCGGCGGTTGCTTTTCAGTGGGCATGACTTACGGTTTATCGCGGTGGCAAAGTAACGAACGGGCTGTGCGGATGCCGGCGACGGGAAGGAGAACCAGGGAAGCTCCGGACCAGGAGACCACGAGGAAGACAGGTAAGAAATCCAATATGGCGATCTGAACCGGAAGTAAAACATTTCAGACTCGCCAGACCAGCAACGGTAAGGTGGCAGTGGATTGGCAGCCCTTTTAAAGGGAATTCAAGCCCCTCCCACAACTACAGGCCAAGCCTTCAAATATATTGTTTGTTAAAGATAGACTTTCTTTTAATAACCTATATGTATGCATAACACAATATTAAGGGTGAATGAAATGTTAAAAATGGTTCTAGGGGGTTAAAAAAAAAAAACATTTTTGCTTAGAGTAATTTTTACACATCCAGTATGACTAAGGAACTCCAATTGTTAAATGCCTAATATGTCTATAATCTAAATACATTTTTTGTAGTTAACACTAACCCTATACAGCCCCTACCCCTAGTTCTATGCTTACACTAACTGTAACATTATACCTACACTGACCTTACCCTTGACCTTAACCCATTCCTAACCCTCCAACAGCATTAAACTTAAACCAGTGTTAAATCTTATTTTACTCTAACCCTATCCTTACCCTAAGGAATACCTTCAGCTAATATCAGTAATGATATCAGCAGACAGAGAGGTGCGGAACACAGATTCTGATCCCACCAGTCATTCATTGGCTAACCCTCTGGACAAAGAATATGCACAGAACTGACATTAGCTAGACTGTAACTCTCACTGATGATGAGGCTCCCAGAGATGGAGTTACAGCTCTTGCAGCAATTACATACTGCACATACAGACTATGGTGCTTGGGATAATACATTTTCATTTTCAAAACATAATACAATTTGAGGACAGTTTACTTTTAAAGAAAGATCGGTGACCATTTCAAATGCTACCTTCTGGAGACAGCCATCTTGACTTGATTTACATAGACACACATCCTTACTGTAATGATTATGGTGCTAGGCAGCTGCTCCTGAAAACTTCCTAGTATTTCCTTGTTCTTCCTAGTATTTCCCAGACTAAAACTAATCTGTTCTTTGAAGCAATTAGGGGAATGATTGCTTCCCCATTCGCCTGCCAAAGTAACTGTATGATACTCATTGTCTGCATAGTTCGTGCTACTCATCCTGATCTGAGGGCACCGTGGTTTAAAAACACAACACTCCTATGTACTTTCTCTTTATAGTGTAAACATTAAAGAGAACTCTTCCCAGCAACTGTGTTTTAATATATCAAAAACATGTAGTATCCCAGTCATTAGTAGTTTAAATTAAATTGTGTTAATTGCCCTCAGTAAAGTGATGAATACATTTTAAGATTTGATTCTTGAGTTCTTCAGTTCTTAAAGGGTGATTATGATGGTTAAAGTACTCTGGTGCAGTCCCGTAGTATTGGGACAAAGCACTGTACAAAGGTTTGCCCTCTGACCTGGGTACCTTTCAGGTTCTGGGTCTCCGCTTCAACAAACTAATGGCATCTGGCTTCTGTAAAGCTGCAGAAGTCAGATGCTGATAATGCAACTCATTCACTGGCTGAGAATTTTAGCTGATCACTCTCAGCTGATGAATAAGACTCTGTGCAAGAATTGACATTAGCCCGTCTGGAACTCTTGGGCCGACTAATGATGCCTGAATGATGCTGCTGGAGGTGGAGTTAAACATCTGGAAGCAGAGGGGTTAAACTTAGTATGTGCATTATATCATATGTTGTATGCACAGATTTCAGGCATCACGACCTCTTCCAAACACTGAAGTAGTTATGGTGCTTGGTGTAACCCTTTAAAGGGGACCATGAATATATCCTTGTCTTAAAGACTCCTTTTCATGAACACATTGCTACTGTTAATATAATAATAACTTAAAATAATTTTTTTTGTGACTTACTTTTTTTTGTAGGAGTACCGTAATTTACAAACTCCCTATTCTTTAAATGATATATAATGCTTATTAGATTAGAGGGTTGTGCGCTTTCCTAGAAATGTGGGGACTACAAGATGCATTTTATAAAGGATGTTGGAGGTAAATTAAGTTTTGATATAAATTACAAACAATACATTACCTAACAATACTACTAGTAACTAACAGGCCTGAGCCATGACAACAGGGAAGGTTTACCTTCCATCATTGGTATTCACTGTTTACTTTGATCATCTGTGGTCCTTCTTGGCACCAACCTGTATCGTGTCCTACATGGTCACCATATCGCTTGGAATCAAATGCTGTCTCTTTTTTTCCATCAAACCATGAGAGAATTTCAAGGGAGTTCACATTATAAGGGTGTAGTGCCTCAGGTATATAACCTTTGCTAGTTTACTAGAAATACCATCCACTAGATAAGGGAGACGAGCGGTAATGTTTTACAGATGATCATCTTCCCATAACCTCAAAAATAGTACTTTGGATAAACAAACATATTTCGCAAGTCAGGCAGAGAATAAAGCCTCCGTCATGGTATTCCACTGTAATACAATACGTATCTATGTGTGATCATTGTCTTTTCGTCAATAAAAATGTTACCACCGATTTACATTCTATCTAGAACGGTTCTTTCCTGTAAAGTGTAACACAGTGGTCATGGTTTGATCTTGATATAGATATCATGAAAACTACTACAGTTATTTGGGCCTCAAGATCTGCTTTCAGAATTAACAAAATCACACTTTAGATGAATGATGACGTAAGAATCAACAGACATTCAATCAAATGTACATAGGAAAGGGAGTACAAAAATTTAAACAGACACGAGTTGATAAACAAATTTTTTTATAGAATGTCACACATCAAAAAGAAATCATAATAATTCATAAAGTGCCTGTCTTTGGTAAAGTAGTCTTTAACATTGCATCATTGTCTGTTATTCCTTCATTTAGGTTTTAAGAATAGCACCGGTGATATACAGAAACATAAAGGCCAGAAAAGTTATTTTGCTTGTAATCAATGATTAGTGGTGTCCAGTGTGGGCGTAGATTGAGAACCAATAAGCCCTACTCCGAAGTCATGTTGGCTCTAATCTTAGAAATATTGAAACACTGTGATCCAGACTTATAATGGCCAGTCTATCTGCTCCCTCTCTATTTAGATCATGGACCCTGTCGAGTCGGTAGACTAATTTTATACAGTCCTTAAACATTTTGATTCCAGTTGTACTGAGGAACAGCAGATGGTCGAGGTGGAGGTGGAGGTGGACGTAGAGGTGGTTGGGGGTTTGTGGAAGGCAGTGGTGGTCTGTTAGAAAACAAAATATATTAGAAAAATTCTGGAATAGAATAAATGTTGGAAAACCAAAAGAGAAACAAGTTTGGGAAGAAATGCAAATTACTTTTATAGTAACATTAAAGAATTAAAAGTAACTCCATTCTTTTTTCGAATATAAATCCTGAATCTCGTGTGAGGTCCACATGTGAGTGACAGGGTTATTTACGAAAGTGAGGATTCAAAGTGAATTTCAAATTTAAGTCCAGAGTAGTTGAATTGAAAGCGTAGTAGGTCAGATAATTTTTCAAGTTTGGTTATTTAGTCATTAAATTTTAAATTCATTTAGAATTCTCTTTGAACTCTCATTTTAGCAAATAAACCATTGAGTGTTTGTGTGGAACAAACATCACTGTTTACTTGGCAAAAGCATAGCTCTGTCATACACCTTACTTAAGCTGCAGGACATCTGTGCCCTTTGCAGTAAAGCAATAAGAAAAAGTGGTGAAGGACTTGGAAATGTGGGCCCAAATGCACCAAATTTATTTTTATGCAACCAATATCAAAAGTGAAACAGTCATGGTTTTTAAACAGAATGCAGAAGTTATCACTAAGCATTGTTCATTTTAACACAATTTTGTATTTATCTGTGAGTGTGTTTTTACCAAAGTATGTCTAAGAAATTAGGATTTTCAACTATTGTCATATTAAAAAAACCAAACAACAAAAACGGAATTACCTGTGCGGTGGATTGTGGGATATCGTGAAAATATCTGAGTACCGATTATCAAGCTAAAATGAAACAGAAATTTTTTTTAAGACAACACAGTTTACTGAAAAGCGGTTTTCCTGACACTATATAATCCTTGGGGGACCCTCACCCTCAGGGTCCTCCTCCCTTGGCGCTGAAGGGGTTAAAACCCCTTCAACAGCTTACCTTTATCCAGCGCCAGGCTCCCTCGGCGCTGGTGACCTCTCCTCCCCCGCCGACGTCAGCTCCCGAGTGGAGTGGAATGCGCATGTGCGGCAAGTGCCGCGCACGCATTCAAACAGTCCATAGGAAAGCATTTCTCAATGCTTTCCTATGGACGCTCTGCGTAATGGATGCGAAATTCGCATCCAGCATCGCATATGCGCCTCTACTTGCTGTAAGGAAGACAGCCACTAGAAGCTGGATTAACCCCAAATGTAAACATAGCAGTTTCTCTGAAACTCCTATGTTTGTATCTGAAGGGTTAAAACCTGATGGTCCTGGCACCCAGACCACTGCATTGAGCTGAAGTGGCCTGGGTGACTATAGTGTCCCTTTAAAAAAATAAAATAAAACACTAAATAATAACCAGGAAGTTTAAATTAAATACTTGTACAATACCTGGCCTCTGGAGTTATTGTTGGAAGGCTTATTATTGGTGGTGGTATTAGAAGTTGGCTTTGGTGGAGCTTGAGACCTGGTGGCACAAAGAGTATTTTAGAATAAACAAACAAAATAAGCAGATGGTCATAATATTCTAGTCATTAGTAAAGTTGGATAACCCATCAGCTTATGTCTAACTGCATTGAACGTTGGTTTCACATTGACTGTCAAACTATAGCAAACATTTGACATTTACAGTTTTATGAAGTATAGTTACAAAGAACTTAGAAAGAATCAGTGCACGGGACGACAAGTCTAAGTCTTGTACAGATTGCATGCGTCAGACATAGATCACTGGCGCCCACCAATTGCTTAATTAGCAGCACGTACTCAGCCTTGACATAGCAAACACCCGTAACTGAATAGTCTAGACTCACATCCCAGCGTGCAATGACCTCACATCAGCTCAAGGCTATACTGGTAAGTCCAGATGTGCCACACAGCATACACGACCCACCCCACTTTCCTGGGGCCACAGCCAGGGACTCGAGGGTAAAATGCCAGTGGGTCTTCAGCCGGAAGCCAAAATTGCCCATTCCACCACATGACACTGAGTTTCGCTCATAGGACAATTATTGTATAACTACTTTGAGGATGTTATCAGCCGATACATGTATGATGCCCTGTTGATGTGTACTGTATGAATATTGCTAGTATAAAGTCATGCAACCTACTGAAGCATAAGCCGAGGCACACACAAGCATGTACCTCGTTTTGCAACAATGTATAAATATGCCTGTCCCCCCCCTTCTTTTCTGTACCCCTTTATTGAAAAACAATAAACAGTTGTACACACACACAAAAAAATAAAGAATCAGTGAGGCCTAAACTGACCAACGCATGTTAGGCATTGTATATAGACCATACACAGATTTTCCAACTGTGCGCAAGCTATTTCTATGCGTAATAAATAACATCGCACACAGCTGAAAATGGGTTGGCGAAGGATTGGGTCACCATGGCAGACAATCATATATAATAGCTATGTAATGCCATAACAAAGTCTACATTGACATAATAAAGTCTACACTGCTGATAGTTAATTTTTGTCTCTTCAGCAACAGTTACTGTGGGGAAAAAAAAAACTAACAAAATTTTGTTCACAGTAGTCAGAAATTTCTACTCTATAGTGCAAGGGTAGTCAACATTTTGGCTGCACTCTGCCTCGATGCGGAAGCCTTACCCTTGGGCACCAGGGATAGACTGGAAATGTCAACCAATGTTCTCAACTAGTGATGTCCCGAACGGTTCGCCGAACGGTTCGCGAACGGTTCGCCACGGACTCATCATTGAGTAAACTTTGACCCTGTACCTCACAGTCAGCAGACACATTCCAGTCAATCAGCAGAAGACCCTCCCTCCCAGACCCTCCCACCTCCTGGACAGCTCACTAAGAATGCAGCTTCACAATGGATGCTGTCCAGGAGGTGGGAGGGCCTGGGAGGGAGGGACATCACTATTCTCAACCTATCACTGCCCTCCTATTAAGAGAAATGCTTATGAAATGGTAAGTACTTTCTAAAATGCAATAAATTAATAACCATTAAAAAGCCGCCACTGTACTGTAATGTAACCTACACACTGCACCCAACACGTAAGTACCTAGTTACCTACACTGAAGCACATATATCAAATCATGTGCTTTTCATTTAGATAATCAGAGATAGATTGAGAGCCTGTTTTTTTGTTGTTTTTTTTTTTTTTACAAGGCTTACCTGGGTGTCCTCCTCTTCTTCCTACAACATCGTCTCCTGATAGCATCCCGTTTAAACCATGCCAAAGTTAAAGCAATCAGTATTGGAAGGACAAGCAGGAAGAAAATGAGCAATCCATCCCGTAGAGAGGTATCTGATCAAAGAGACGAACAGAAAAGGCAAATGCAATTATTTTATTTATTTATTATTGCCATTTATATAGTGCCAACAGATTCCGTAGCAATCTTACATTAATTAGTGTAGGATTGCTAGTGAGAATACATATATAATAGTGCACATGGTCGCCATCATGTGGCCTGAAGCTAATACTACATTAAGAATAGGAGGGGCTGGGTTGGTTATTATAACATACTGATCCCTGGCTTATAGCGTTGGCACCAGAATGCCTGCAACATTATACACACTGATGCTGACATCGGTGCACCACAAGTTGACTAATCGTGTTTACAATGCTATTTGTTCTGCTTTCTTGTGCAAGCAATACAAAGGTATTAGGTTCCAAGTAACCATAGGGGATTTAAACAGCTTTGCTGTGAACTCACTGTAGATTGTGAATAATTCTACAAAGAGAATTTGTTTGATTTTGCTTCCTTCATGTTGCTTTTTTAAAAGTTCACCTTTCAAACGGTCATGGGAAGTGGGGAAATTGACACAAATGGAGTAGAAGACACAGAGGAGAAAGTTGCGGTGGTGGCAAAACGCCAAGAAAGTACAAAAACAAGAAGTTACGTTAAAACAGGGTAGCAAATAAAATACAAATATCTAGAAATTAACAAAAGGGAGAATAATGATTTTAAAAAAAAATCACCAAAGGGTTACAAATACACAAAGGGAGCTGAAGGAAGAAAAATCACAAAAGAAGGAAAAAGAGCAAAAGTGGAAAGGGTGATGGCAAATTCAAAATAGAGGAAGGGATGCGAAACAAACGCAAAAGAGGGAACACACACAAAACAAATTTTAAAAAAATCAGAAAATAGAAAAGAAAAAAGCAATACAAACAAACCAAATAGGGAGATTAAAACCAAAGAAAAAAGAAGATTTCAGGTAACTGTGGGATTCATTTTTTTTTTTTTTAATAATGGCCTATCTACCTATCTATATATCCATCTATCTATTAATTCCTATGAAAGCTCTCACTAACCCAATATTCAAAAACTATGGATGGCCTCTTGCTTTGTCACAGAGGGTACAATATTTTCTCCGAATTCCATAAACAACTAGCACTAACATAATCCAGCTCTGTCTAAAAATGGCTACAGTTTGTAAAAACATATTTATATTAAAAAAAGAATAACGCAAAGTACTGCTACCAATGGAGACTACATGTAACAGAGTCCATACAGATACATCAATGTTCCTTAAGTACATGTAGGCTGGAGGCATACAGATTTTTGCAATATTCTTGTATTCACAGTTTTAGTTGCATTTACATTTGTTGTGTACAGTATCTTCTTACACATTTGTGTGTACATATAACGTATAACTTGGCAGTGAAACTATACCATAGCCCTGATACCACACATCCCATGTTCCCTGTGTCTATTAGTCTCCATTGAACTCTATTAACGTCCTCTGTGATTTGTTTTGGCCTGCTAATCCTAGGTACCTGAGTGTCACCCTGTTATTGGAGGCCCACCCGATCTCCATATGCTCCAAAGCCCCCACGGCTCTGCGGCTGTTGTCGTCATGGGGAGGACACTTCGATAGCAGTGTTTGTAGGTGTGTTGGGTGTCTATCTCTTTACATATTTCCGTCACCTGTGGGGGCTTTGAGGATTTCCACAATCTCACTATTGCCCTCTGGGCTGTCAAGAGGATATGAAAGGCCAGTTTCTCTTTGGGTGTAGCTGTAGGCATGTGTAGCAGGAGGCAATAGTGATGTGAAGGGTAGCCGTGTAAATGTGGTTTCCTGTATCAGATGGTGGATTGCGTTCCAGAAGCTAGAGATGGGCTCGCAGTGCCACCAAATGTTAAGAACCGTGCCCACCTGTGTCCCACATCTCCAGCAAACTGGGGACGAATCTGGGTATATGTTGTGGATGCGTGTGGGCACCATGTACCACCTATATAGTGTCTTCCTATGTTGCTCTAATAATGTTTACGATTTGATCAATCGTTTGGGCGACAATATAATAGTTTCCCATTGGTCTCGGTGTATTCGGTCCTGTAAGTCATGGGCCCATTGTGCGGCCTGTTTAGAATCCGCAAAGTGCATAGAGGACCGGAGAAGCTGGTAACACCAGCAGAGCGGCCTACAAGTGATCCCCTAACAGTCATCTATTCCCAGCTTGTCATGCCTAGGGTGTTTCCATCAGGGGAGGAGGTCTGTGTGTCATGTTTGTGCATGAAGGAGCGCAGTTGTACGTGGGAGAACTGTGAGGCCGTCGGTATGTGGTTTTCCTCTTGCAGGGCTTGAAATGTTTTTATTTTGTTTTGTGTGAGCAATTGGGATAGATGGGTAACCCCTTTATCTACCCATGGTTTGGCATTGAAAGTTGGTATGCAGTATGTGATAATTTTAAGTGGGGTAGCCAGTGTTAGAGGGGTAGGGGTTTCTAGGTTGTGTCTAATCTTGTCCCATAGTCGCACCGCGAGTTTGATTTGCTCCGGCAATAGCGGGACTTGTGGCCGAATGCGTTTAGGGAGCCATCTGATGGTGGGTAAGTCAAAGGGCTTCATGGCATGCTTTTCTAGCAATACCCATTGTGGTGGCTCAGCGGTGAGGAAGTGGGGCAGGACTGATGTCAACACTGCTGCATGTTAGTAGGCTTTAATATCTGGGAGGGTGAGGCCCCCTTGTCTCGTCGGTGCCTGTAGGAAGTTCTCCGGTACCCGAGCTGTGCCCCCCCCCATACAAACCTAGATATGTATTTTTGGGTTGTCTGGAGATAGGACAGGGGTACCTGGATCGGTAATGTACGTAACAGGTATTGGAGCCTAGGTAGAATAGACATTTTGATCATCGCAACCTGTTCCGTCCAGGTCAGAAACAGGGAACCCGACTTCTTCATGAGGTGCTGGCAGTCCTTCCATACTCTAACATAGTTAGGAAGCTTTCCGTTAGCTTTTTAGTAAAGGTCAGGCCTAGATATTTGATGCTATCTGTTCACCACTCAAAGGAGTAGTCCCTCCTGAGCGCGGATAATGTTTGTGGGGTTAGCCGCACTCCCAACGCTTGGGTCTTGCCTGTATTAAGTGAGTAATAAGACATCTCCCCATATTTCTTGATTAGGTCTAGTAAGTGTGGTAGTGATTCTTCTGGTTGGGAGATATACAGGAGGATATCATCCGCGAATGCGCCAACTTTGATTTAGTGAGTGCATTTTTAACGCACAGTCAGTAAAATATGTTTCAGTATCACAGGACTTGAATTTCATCAACCACTAGCACTAACTCTAGTTCTTCATGATACAAACAGACAATGTGAGAAATATCTGTTTTGTTCAAGGTAATAATGTCTGGAACTTGTTTACTTACCAATGTGAGTAGGTCCACTATCGATGCTCCCACCATAGCCTCTTGTATTACAATTCGGAGGGGCCCAGCCATTGTCACAGAAACAGTTTCCATTGTTATCGCAAACCTATAAAGATAGAGAATCCAATATGTAAATATCTTACCTAGGATGGTTGGAAGTGCTATTTTGCACTTTTGCAGCCATACTGCAGGTACCAAAATTTATTTGCCATCTGATTTAGTTGTGCAGTCCTTGGCTTGACTCTCTCCAGGGAAGACAGAGAGATTCTATTCCCAACTGGGCACTGCATGCAAAGTAGGGACAACTTGGCAACTCAGAACATAGAAGGAATTTTCAGGCTGCCTGACTGACAGCCATAATAGACAACTCTCAGAAATAAGTATCGGCTCATGGTTCTCTAAATACCATAATGCTTATGATGCTTGGACTGACCCTTTAATTAATGTAAACACAATTATATATACATTGTTAATCTTTATTATGTAAGAATCATAGATTAAAGTGTGGAGTTGAGGGAAAAACAAGTAAATAAAAAAAGGCATTTCTCACTATTTATTATTTGTGTTACTTGATTTAGTTTGTATGACTTCATTGCAAACTGCTTTAGGCAATCTAAGCACCATAACCACTACAGCTCAATTAAATGGTTATGGTGCAAAGAGCCTGTGGGTGCCGTCCTCTTTTTCTTTTGTTAAACTGTTTTGGAGCAGTTTCACAAAAATAAAACAGCACTCTTCCCAGAACTCAAAAACCGCCTGTTTGTCTTCTGCCTTGATAATGTTGGATTTTACACTTCCTAGTTACCATTATCAAGTTTGCTTAACTTGGACAGCCAGGAGAGGCAGAGAGAACAGTAGGCAGGTCAGCGCAGGGTGGAATAATAATTAATAATGATAATGTGAAGTGTAAATTTCACTTTATCAAGGCAGTTGAAGTGGGGGCAATCTAAGGTAACAGTGTAAGTGCTGTTTTTGTCAAACTGGTTTTACAATAAAATGGAGATGAGAGAGCAATGAACCTCCCCCTCTACACATGGTGCAGCTAATGATATGGCTTCTAGGCGCCCTGTGCGAAAAATCTTAGCAGTCCCCCTCCCCTCCCCTTTGTCACAGAGCTCCACAACAATACAACTCTCAGTAATGTGTAGTGCATGAGCTTGTCACAGAGCTCCACAACAATACAACTCTCAGTAATGTGCCAACTATAAAAACACGGAGCAATGTGCATTTTGTACGCCAGAGCTCCACTGTAATAAATTTCACTATAATATGATGTAGTGTGTGTGTGTGTTAGGCGTGATGGCTGTGTGTGTGATATGTATGCTATGTGTTGGCTGTGTGTGATATTTGTGCTGGGTTTATTGGTTGTGTGTGATGGGTACTTAGCTCAGATAAAAATATGCATGTAGGTCTATGTGTGAATGCAGGTCTATATTTTTGTAGAGTCACATGCACACAGTCCCACAGTTATACATATACACTGTCAATTACAGCCACATGCACACTGTCCCAGGCACATTAGTCACACACAGTTACAGGTATATAGTCAAACACACAGTTACAGTCAGTCACACACATTCAGCCACTCACACAGTTGCACATAGTCACACACAGTTACAGGTATATAGTCAAACACACAGTTACAGTCAGTCACACATATGCAGCCACTCACACACAGTTGCACATAGTCACACACAGTTACAGGTATATAGTTCAACACACAGTTACAGTCAGTCACACACATGCAGCTACTCACACAAAGTTGCAGGCAGACAATGACAAACACACACAGGTACAGGAGGGCAGTCACATACATACAGCCACACACATACACTTACAGGTAGACACACACACAGTTACAGTCATACATACAGACAGTCATACACACATGCAGCCACTCACACACCATTACAGGCAGACAGTCTCTCACTCACACACAGTTTGACTTTCTGCATGTGTGTGTGTGTGTGTGACTGTCTTTGTGGCTGTAAGTATGGTGGTAGTTGGGGAAGCAGGGACTCCTTCCTGCTTCCCCCTTCCTGTAAAGCTTTTGCTTCTGGGCGCTTGAAGCTCCGCCCCTGCTGCCATTGAGACCCTGCCTCCGCCGCTTATTAAGCCACGCCCCAACAATCAGCAAGCTCCGCTTCCACTGACATGTTCTTTTGGTTGATAGTCCCGGGTGGAGAATACTGAAATCCTCCACCCAGGTAGCTAGACATGTGTGAGCTGTGTCGGCCACTTGGCGCTCCCTGCTGCCATGGCATCCTTTGCGGCTGCACACCTTGCACACCCCAAGGCCCTGGGCATGCTGGAGGAGCGACTAGCCAGGTAAAAAACCTCCAGAGCTTAGCCTTGACACTAGTGAGTTTGTTGGGGGGCTTGGCTTGGTTTTTTTAGGCTTGTAGCTCAGAACATGACATTTGAGCCATGCTCACACTATATATGTAAGCACACATGCAGGGGTCTATTTGTTAAACAGGTAATAGTAGAAGAATTGATAAGGAAATATTTATATATAACTGTATTGGTAAAGAGGGTTGGGGACCAGGCATTGTTACGCCACCCCACCCCCTCCCCCCCCTCCCTCCTCCCTACATCTTTAAGGTTCCCACTCCAATAACACCATAATCACTATAGAGACTGAAGGCAGTAAATCACTGATGATACATGTTTCATCTTGGTAAAAGGTGATTTTCTATTAAAGTCAATGGGGACTCTATCCAACATGGTATATATTTCAGCAACACGAGAAAGCATGGGAAAACTGAGTATATTTGCATTAAATGTGAGCAAAAGGTGATCATTAGTTGCACTGCATGTGTCATACTTTAATGTCACAATAAAATCCAGAAACTTTCATCATCGTAAACAGGAGCGTATCTACAGACACTGTCCAATACCTTAGTAAGCGATAGCCTTTCGACTTACCCCATGATCATTGCACTTCACTTTTGTGTCACAGTTGTATCCAAGTGCACTGGCGTTCTGACAGCTGTAGTTAACACAGGCCTGACCAAACAAAGGAAAGGAAATAGACAGAACAAAAGTGAGTCCGCATTTCATTTTAGTAGATCTCTTTGCTTTCTATCATCATATTTGATCTTAGAGTCTTGTGTTCCCTTTACTTTACTGGAAGATTGTCTTATTGCAGGAATTGTATAGATCAAAATGACCCTATATTGTTAATTCAGTATAGGAAATTAACAACTTATAATAATAAGTATTCTAAAAAATAAGTAGTTTATCCCCCCATTTTCAGTTTTAAATCATCCCACAGGACTATTGGGATTGTACTATCGGGGTCGTATTATTATAATTTTTTTTGTTTATTTTGTTTTTATCATATCAACACGTGCAAGTAAATAACTGCACTAGAAACAGGTCACATTGCGGAAAAGAGATAGGGTTACTGTATGAGGGTGAGAGTATGAAACATTTTTCGCCCTACAAAACAGGGCTTAACACGAGTACAGTAATGTTCAAACACTGGTTCTACAATGCTATGGATAATGCATTACATGTAATACAATACATTTATACATGCAAAAAAAACTTGGTGTGCTTAGATCATATTGGTAGGGGCTTGGTTGGTTTGTTTTGGAGTGTGATATATCATTAATGTGGGTGTTGGAATATATAAAGATCACCCATGATGTATGTCAAGGGGGTTTGCCTAAGTAAAAGTGAATATGCTTGGCTTCAGGCTTGCAAAAGGTGTGTGCTGCATGTCCTGAAACCACGGAGCAACGCAGGGAGGAGTGGGCCTTGACAGAGCCAGGAGTAGGCAGGTGAAGTTCAGGTCAAGAGGCTGTACTGTGGTTGTGCTAGGGGGCGTGGGTTAGAAGGGAAGTTAAATAGCGGCCATTTTAGGGTAAGTTCATTCTAATTTGAGCCTTTCTTACCTGTAAATTGTGGCAGGTCAGTTGGGCTCTTCTTTTCTTCTTTTTCAGGTGCAGCATGGTGTCCTTGGAAGAAATTCTGTCGGGTGTGCGGTCCGTGGTGAAGGAGAAGGGAATGGCGTGGCTGCAGGAGCAGCTGGGGGTTCCGAGCATGTCTGCTCCCCCCCATGCGGTGCCGGACCGGAGGCCGGAGAGGAGAGCTAGGCCGCCCCAGCGGCTTAGTCCTGGAGCGGGTCCTGCAGCAAGACGGAGGAGGAGCTCGGCGGGAGGCAGCGCACAGCGGAGTGGTGCAGCGGCCGGAAAGCAGGGACGTGGAGCGGGTCGTCGGCCGGGACCGCCAGCTAGGCGCAACGCCGGGGCGGTGAGGTTGCAGGCCAGGAGGAGGCCTCCCTTGAAGAGTGCCCCCTGCCGGATGGCGGCAGGCGGAGGTGGCAGATGGTGCTGGAGTGGAGCAGGACGGAGGGGATTCGGCTGCAAGGCCCAGGAGTAGCACAGGATGTCCCGGTGAGTCGCCCCCTGGGGGCAGCACTGTGGGGCAGGAGGGACTGAGAGGGGCTGGCAGCGATAGGGCAGCGGTCTCACAGGTCATGGAGGGGGACCAGGTCAGCAGGGCACAGCAGGAGGCGGCTGGAGTTAGGTGCAGGAAGGATGGCGCTGCTGATTTAAGGGACCAGAGGAGCATGGCCAGGAGCGTCGGTTATGTAAAAATCTTCGGTCGGTGGGGGAACATCTGAGCGTAGCTCGAGAAAAGTTATGTAAGGAAGTGCAATTGGGGAGGATGGCGGGACCATTCGCTTCCCCGCCGTTAGTTGGTTTGCGTGTGTCTCCACTCGGGGTAGTCCCCAAGAAGGAGGTGGGTAAATTCCGTATGATACATCATTTATCGTACCCACAGGGTGCATCGGTTAATGATGATATCGACGAGGCCCTGTGTTCTGTTTCCTACACATCATTTGACAAGGCTGTCGAGTTGGTCAGGAGAGTGGGACAAGGGGCACTAATGGCGAAATTGGATGTGGAAGCAGCATTTAGGCTGCTTCCCATACACCCGGATTGTCATCACTTATTGGGGTGCTATTTCGAAGGGGGGTATTTTGTGGACTTATGTTTGCCTATGGGTTGTGCCATCTCGTGTGCTTACTTCAAGAGGTTTAGCACTTTTTTGGAGTGGGTCGTACGGCGGGAATCGGCTGGGGGTGCTGTTGTGCACTATCTTGACGATTTCTTATGCATTGGCCCGCCACGCACGGAGCGCTGTAGCCAGGTGTTACAGACCTTCCAGTGGGTGGCGCACACGTTTGGAGGAGGAGCTTGGCGGGAGGCAGCGCACAGCGGAGTGGTGCGGCGGCCGGAAAGCAGGGACGTGGAGCGGGTCGTCGGCCGGGACCGCCAGCTAGGCGCAACACCGGGGCGGTGAGGTTGCAGGCCAGGAGGAGGCCTCCCTTGAAGAGCACCCCCTGCCGGATGGCGGCTGGCGGGCAGGCGGAGGTGGCAGATGGTGCTGGAGTGGAGCAGGACGGAGGGGATTCGGCTGCAAGGCCCAGGAGCAGCCCAGGACGTCCCGGTGAGTCGCCCCCTGGGGGCAGCACTGTGGGGCAGGAGGGACTGAGAGGGGCTGGCAGCGATAGGGCAGCGGTCTCACAGGTCGTGGAGGGGGACCAGGTCAGCAGGGCACAGCAGGAGGCGGCTGGAGTTAGGTGCAGGAAGGATGGTGCTGCTGATTTAAGGGACCAGAGGAGCATGGCCAGGAGCGTGGGAAGGAGGGGAGACGGGCATGTCAGGGGACTCAGGAGAAATGAGGAGCGGCAGTATGGAGCGGAGTGGCAGCAGGCGTGAGGGTGTGCAGGCAGCAAGGAAGACGGACGCAGCAGGCACCGGGCGGCGGGTGACTGGCCGGGAGGACGGTGGTATCCAGGACAGCGGTGGGCGGGAGGCCATTAGGGGTCGATCCCAGGAACGGCGCGATAGGAGGAGCGCCAGCAGTGGGAATGGCAGAGGACGTCAGCGTGGAGGGGCGGAATGGAGGGACAGCAGGACGGGGTCTGCAGGCAGAAGGAGACGTGGGGACAGGAGCCCAGCGGGGAATCGGAGCAGTAGGAGGAGGTACGCTTCTCAAGACAGGTGGCTGAGGCGCCGGCGCAGTGAGTCAGGGTCGTCGGAGAGGAGCTACGCTGCGCAAAGGAGGAGAAGAATCGAGCGGGAGGGACGATGCAGGCGGGGGAGTGGGGAAGACGGGTCTGATCACGGGAATGAAGGGCGGGTGAGGCTGCAGTCGGACAGATCACCCAGGCTGTATTCTCCTTGCAGGTCATTGAGTAGGACGCCCACGAGATCAACGCACGAACAGGCGGGCAGGAGCCGGCGTCCCCTGGTTCCTTCTGGGTCGGCTGATGCTGTGGAAAAGATGGCGCCCCAGCAGCGGCCGGGGGCCTGAGCGGTGAGTCTCCAACTGCACCACACTCAGGAAGTTTGCTAGGATGCTTAAGATCACTGTTAGATTCCTGGTCGGGGGACGGGGGGTCTCCGACGCGGTTTGAGAAGGTGTGGGCTGCGGACGGCGGTCGGGCAGCGGGGGTAAAGGCCGCGGCGTCAGCAGAGCCGAAGGGGGGTGAGGGCACCACGGGGATGGGTCAAGGAGCGACGGGTGGCGAGGGTGAGCACGTCGTTCTCTGCGGGGAAGTAACAGATGCGGCGCGGCAAAATGTACATGTGTCTTTTGCGGGACCGCTGGGGTGCCACTTAAAGGTAGACATTAAGGATAAAATATGGAAAGGGGAATTTGTAGAAATATTTTCCCTGCTTCCCCTGGAGGAGTTTTTAGACTTGAAAGAAGAGGATAAAAAGGATGCGAAAAAAGAAGAGGGGAAAAGAGGCGGAGGTATCGGAAGATACCCAAGTCTTTTGGGAACTGGTTGAGAGCTTTTTGTGTCTTGGCAAGCGTGATCGGGGAAAAATACCCTGATCGCTGTTCGCAGCTTTTTTGTTATTTAGACGCGATAGGGGACACATATCGGACCTATGGGGGTTTAGCATGGTGGAAATATGACGAACAATTTCGTCAGCGATTAGCGGCAAATCCGTCCATGCGGTGGGACCAGATGGACCTGCCTTTGTGGATGAGGCTGATGATGGCACAGAAAAGTGCCCCCTTTCTCGGAGCGGCCGGCACGGGCTCAGGTACCGTGTCGGCGGGTCAGAAGAAGGGTTTCTGCTGGCTCTACAATGAGGGCCAATGCAAATGGGGTGCATCATGCAGATTTAAGCACGAGTGCTCCTGTTGCGGGGGTAATCATGGAGTCTCCAGGTGCTTCCGGAAGGGTAAGCCGAACTTGGGAAGGGGGGGCGTCAGCGCATCAACCGCTGCGGCTGCAGCTGGGGGCGTCGCCGGTGAAGGTAGGCGCGATGCTGCCTTGGTTAAAAATATACGATAACCAGGAGGTGGCTAAGTTTTTACGGCTAGGTTTTACAGAAGGTTTCAGGATTCCGTTTCAGGAAAGGGCTTCGGGTGGGTTATGTAAAAATCTTCGGTCGGTGGGGGAACATCCGAGCGTAGCTCGAGAAAAGTTATGTAAGGATGTGCAATTGGGGAGGATGGCGGGACCATTCGCTTCCCCGCCGTTAGTTGGTTTGCGTGTGTCTCCACTCGGGGTAGTCCCCAAGAAGGAGGTGGGTAAATTCCGTATGATACATCATTTATCGTACCCACAGGGTGCATCGGTTAATGATGATATCAATGAGGCCCTGTGTTCTGTTTCCTACACATCATTTGACAAGGCTGTCGAGTTGGTCAGGAGAGCGGGACAAGGGGAACTAATGGCGAAATTGGATGTGGAAGCAGCATTTAGGCTGCTTCCCATACACCCGGATTGTCATCACTTATTGGGGTGCTATTTCGAAGGGGGGTATTTTGTGGACTTATGCTTGCCTATGGGTTGTGCCATCTCGTGTGCTTACTTCAAGAGGTTTAGCACTTTTTTGGAGTGGGTCGTACGGCGGGAATCGGCTGGGGGTGCTGTTGTGCACTACCTTGACGATTTCTTATGCGTTGGCCCGCCACGCACGGAGCGCTGTAGCCAGGTGTTACAGACCTTCCAGTGGGTGGCGCACACGTTTGGGGTGCCGTTAGCTGAGGACAAAACGGTGGGGCCCACAACGTGCCTCAGCTTCCTGGGATTGGAGATCGACTCGGTGCGGAGGGAGTGCAGGTTGCCCGAGGACAAGCTACATGCCCTTCAGCGGCTAGTGGGCATGATGGGTAAGGCAAGGAAGGTAACCTTGCGTGAGCTTCAATCGTTCATAGGGAGCCTGAATTTTGCATGCCGAGTGATCCCTATGGGGAGGGTCTTTTGCAGACGATTGGCGCGGGCGACAAGCGGGGTGAGGAAACCGTCGCATTATATCAGGGTGTCAGTGGACATGAGAGAGGATTTGGAGGTATGGGCGAGGTTTTTGAGGGAGTTTAACGGGAGAGTGTTTTTTCGTGATCAGTTGGGATCCTCCGCAGCCGTAGGTTTGTTTACGGATGCATCGGGCAGCGTCGGATTTGGGGCATACCTAGCGGGTAAATGGTGCGCGGAGGGGTGGCCGGAGGCATGGAAAGCGAGCCTCTTGATTAGGAACATGGCCTTTTTGGAATTTTTCCCAGTTGTCGTGACGGTGGCTTTATGGGGTCCGGAGTTAGCCAATAAGAGGGTGGTGTTCAATACGGATAACATGGCAGTGGTACAGGCTATCAACGGATTATCTGCTTCCTCATGGCCAGTGGTACGGTTGTTGAGGCAATTGGTACTCTTGTGCATGTCATTTAATATTGTGTTTCGCGCTCGGCATATTCCGGGGCTCACCAATGTAGTCGCTGATGCGCTGTCTCGCTTACAGTGGGAGCGTTTTCGGGAGGCGGCGCCGGAGGCGGAGGAAGAAGGTCAAGCCTGTCCTGCGGAGATGTGGGAGCTCGGGACGTCTTGCTTGGGGAGTACATAAAGACGTCTCTGGCGCCTGGAACTTGGTTCTCCTATGTTAAGGTTTGGCAAGTGTGGGAAGATACGATGCAGCAGGTAGGGGCGGCGGGCTCTGGGAACGATCGGCTGGACGTACTGTTATGGATACTATGCCGGTTGTTCGCAAAGCAAGCATCGCTGTCGATGGTGGATAGGCACCTGCCAGCGTTAGCGTTTCTGTTTAAGTTTAATGGATGGGAGGATGTGACGAAGCATTTTATAGTGAGGCAAGCGGTTCGGGGATACAGGAAGGGTAAGAAGACGAAGGATACGAGACGGCCAGTCTCGTTTGCAGTGTTGCAGGTGTTACTGAGCAAACTACCTGAGATATGTTTTTCCGTGTTCGAGGTGGCGTTATTTACGGCGGCTTTTTCGTGGGCCTTTTTTGGGGCGTTTCGGATTGGTGAGTTGCTTAGTGCCAACAAGAAAGGGGTTGGCGGGCTTAGGTTGGAAGATGTGATGGTTGGTGGGGACAGGGTGAGGATCCGCCTGATTCGATCAAAGACGGATGTCTTCGGGAAAGGTTCCATGGTCACGTTATTTGGATTACCGGGGTCAGGGTTGTGTCCGGTGGCAAGTGGGGCTGGGTTTTTGGAACAACGCCCGGTAGGGAGCGGTTGTTTCTTCATACATACCGACGGCACGACACTGTCGCGCTTCCAATTTGTACGGGTTTTCCGTTTGGGATTACAGAGGTTGGGTCTGGAGCCCATGCAGTTTGGAACGCATTCGTTCCGTATAGGCGCGGCGACCGAAGCGGCTCGCTTGGGCTTAGGTGATGAGCGGATTAGACGGATCGGGAGATGGGAATCTCTCAGATTTCGCTCTTACGTGCGGCCAGATAGGCTGGTGTGAGGTGGTGGTTGATTGTGGGGGTTTGGGGAGTGCTGGTGCTGTTTCATCACTGTTATGTTTTATTTTAGGTTGGACGGTGTGGATAATTGGCCATTCGTATATCCATTGGGCAAGGAGGAGGGCCGCAGTTAGAAGAAACGGAACACAGCTGGGCTTTCCTGAGGATCGGGTGGCGTTATTCTGGTTCGGTTATCGGGGGTTTGATTGGCAGCACATTATTACGGCATTGTTTCGGAAGGTAGCGGAGGAGGCCTTACCAAACGTGGTGGTAGTTCACGGGGGGGGGAAACGACTTGGGTCTGGTCCCCCAACGTGAACTGGTTAAGTGTATGAAGCAGGATATTGACAGACTGAGGGGGCTTATCCCTGGCGTGAAAGTGGTATGGTCGGAGATGGTACCTCGTTTATGCTGGAGATACGCCAGGGATGCAAAGGCAGTTTCTCGATGTCGGGGTAAAGTGAACAGAACCATGGCGGTGTTCATTCGAAGGTTAGGAGGCGTGGTGGTGAGGCATCGGGAATTGGAGGAAAGATTACCTGGTTATTTTCGTGATGACGGAGTGCACTTATCAGATGTTGGTTATGACCTTTTTAATTTAGGTTTGCAGGACGGGATAGCACAAGCCCTGTTTCTGTGTGGTGGGGGTCGCACATGTCCTTAAGGGGTCAAGGCAAGTGCTGTGGCGGAAAAGGTCTTGGTTAAACTGGAATTTTGGTGGGTTAATAAATTGGTAGGCCAAGGTCTAGGCTGGAGTAGGCCGGAAGTTAAAAGTATGGAGGTAGGTTCGAGCCCGTCGGTGGCTACGAACCAAGGGGTGTAGGGGTGTCTGGGTACACCCCTGCAGTTAGACAAATGGAGGTGGGGCCTCTTGGTAGGCTGTGAGTTACGTGTATGTATTATTGGTTATGCTAATGTTTGTTTTGGTAGGGTCATTGTCGGGGGTATGATACAGGAGAGAGCGTAACGAAAGGAGTACTGTTGACAATGACCCTAAATTGTTAATTTATATATTGATATTAATTAATAAAGCTGTGGACTTTATACTCCAACAGAACTTTCGGTGTCTGCGTGTTATTAAAGTATGGTTGGCAAATGCCGAATAACGACTGTGCAATAATGTCATGGTTGGGCATGCAACAGCCCTCAGTTGCATAGGCGGCTAGCTCATTAAATTGCTGTAACGGGTAGTTGATAGTTGTGTAAAAATTCCTAAGTATCAGAGGCCAGAGGGGGAGGCGGAAGTATTGGGGTTGTATTATAACAGAGCAGACATATCTTGCTTCTGTTATTCTCCTCCACAGATATCAATATTCAACTGGAATTTGCCCTTTGGACTGTCAGAATTTTTTTTGAAGATCATTATTTTATTTTATTTTTTTCTTGTTATTACAGCTATTTTTTTCCCAACAACAAATACATAACATAATTATATTTTCCTGATTACTAAATTGCATTGAAACTCTTGTGGCCAGAAGTGAATTGCTCAACATATTTGCCAATTATCTGGCATTATTCTATGTGGAATTTATAAAAAAAAATATTAAAAAAAACATAGTTACAATCACTCACCTTGCCATTACCACAACCCGTTCCTTGGCGTACCATCCCTGGGTCAGGAACGTCAGGACCCAAATTAAAGTTGGCGCTGAAACACTTGTTTGTGTTGTTTACATAAAAAAAAGTAACTGCACCGTTCAGGATGGCGTTTGGATTATCCCCAGTACAAAAGAGTTTTCCACATAAGCTGTCCCTGGAAACAAAACGGAAATAATGATAAGCAAAAACAGATATGATTCCAAAAACAGAAAACCATTTATGCAGGATAATTATGTATGTGTCCTCAGTTTGTAGAAACAGGTCACAGTGATGTATTTATTTGAAAAGCTACGTGGCAGATAATTTCGAAGCAGTTCTGTCACTTCTCAGGACTTCATGTAGAAATATTTCAGAAAAACCATGCACACTGCGTTGGGATTTCAATTAAATAAAATATGCCGAAAGACTAAGTAGGGACAACTTTGTCGTATGGACAAAGGTTGACAAAAGTTGATCAGAGCTCCCTTGTCAACTTTTGTCCAGTACCAGCATGTGTCGCAAGTGATGGCTATGAGATTCAGGCAACATCTCGCTCATCGTGAGAAGTGATCTGTGGATGCCCCCAGGGTCATCATGAGAAGTGATCTATGGAGGTCTCCAAGGTCTTACAGGATCCTCCATAGATCACAGTATTGTCTTTTCGTGTTTTGCATATGCTAGAGTAAAGTGGTTTCTGGCAGATAAGCTTCCCAGAACGAAGATCTCCAGGAAGAAGTTTGTTTCTGATGTATTTTCTATTTCTACTATACTATAGATAGCTTTTTTCTGATGTATTTTCCATTTCTACTACACTATAGATAGCTTTTTTTCTGATGTATTTCCATTTCTACTACACTATAGATAGCTTTTTCTTAAATGTATTTTCCTGTACCTGTTTGCATATCTGATCTCCCTTCATAACACTCTGTTCTAAACTGAGTTGGGTCAAAGTTAAAGAGAAGTATGGAGTATACTAAACAGAAAAATTCTACACACACATCCCAGGTTTACGTGTGCTGCTGTTAGATGGTGTCACATTCTGGACTGGATTTGTGCCTGCCAAGCTATGTCTCTTGACAGTCAAGCTTCAATACCAATTGTTGCTGCATATATTATTGTACAGCTACACCAACTGGATCATAACTAGATCTCAGGTGCTTCTTAATTTGAACTGCCTGTGAAGGGGACTTGCCACTTCTCCACAAGTTACACCACTGTATAAAACATTGAAAATCACATATAACTTGTGTTCACCTTTTCCACATGGTTCAGCTTTCTTTTAAATTATATTAAAGGAACGCTATAGCGCAAGTGCTTAGGTTAAAAAGCAGTTGTACTTTTCCTTTTATCCCTCTCAGCATTGGTGCCTGAGTTGTCTTCCCACCTACATGCCTGAGATCATCACAACGGATGATCTCAGCCAATCTAAGTATTAGGAGGCCAGTGCACATACGCGGCAAAACTCTGTGCTTTGCCAATCACATGGTCTCTATGAGGTGACAAACAGATAGACGCTACAGGCATTTAAACCCTGCAATTCCTGCAGGAAGTCAATGTTTTACATCGCAGGGTTAAGCAGATTGGGACATGGCACCCAGACCACTTCATTAAGATGAAGTGATCTGGCGGCCTATAGTGCCCCTTTAAAGATTTAACAAATTATATAATAATACAGGTCTCTCCTGGCACTGCCAGGGCACACAATGGAAATGAAAAATAGAAACATTGTTTACTTTTCTTCTTTTCTGTTGTTTTTCTTCATTCTGACTGCAAGGTGCAAAGGACAGAGTTTGTAACAATGGTTGAAAGGGAGCTAAGATTGAGATACAAATATGTAGGATAAAGAGGCATTGATTCTACATTTAATTTGATTTTTCACACCTTATAAATACCTATTATTTAAATATAGAGGGGAAGTAGATATAATATTAAAATGCTAGGAAGTGGTAGTACTCTGTCAAATTAGATTCTGCTGCTAGTCCTTTTATTCTGTTTCCTAGCCCAGCTCCATGTTGTGATTATCGTGTCATGTGGTTTCCAGATAATTGTTTTCTATGATTTTGCAGCTGGCATAAAAATTCCCAAATTTCAGAATACTTTCCATGAGTATCAGCTGGAGGACCTTCATAAAATCAGAGTCTATGATTTCTGCCAAAATAATATAGTAACTCTGATACATTGAAACGTACCAAACTATATAAAAAAAAAAATTAAGGCAGCTTGTAAAGGTGAATTTAATGATAAATAAATATTTTTTTTAAAAAAGATTTCAAAATGTTTTGTGAAGTAAAACACCTGAATGTCAAAATGCATTGCATATAATCAGAAAATTATCCATGGTACTTACGCAGTCGAGCATTTAATATAGCCACTACTAGTAGTTCCACAATTCCCAAACGCATCTCCGTTAAGGTTCCCTTTCGTGAAACAGCCATCAATGGCTTTGGTAGTAGCTGCAACATTAAGGAATGGAGTGGTCAGCTAGGGATGCAAAAACCCAGAATTTTTCTGCTTGCAGGTCTCTTTAATGGGTTATTCACTTAAAACTTGAACGTTATTAAATTGGTATATGAATATAAATTCATTTTTGGGTTATTCACTAAATCAGGAAGACCCATGAACTCCTTGCAACAAACATCTACATAAATCTCCTTAAATATTCCACAATAAACTCAGTGATATCAGAATGGTAATGTTTAGCAAAGTCAGTGTTCAACTGGATTTGGCCATAGGCCACTAGATAACACAGCTCCAACTGAGGGATATAAGTCATAGGCTTAATTCTGGATAAAGTTAGTTACATTCACTGCATATTAATAACATCAAGACAGGACATACATTTGGTTGTAATACATTTATACTAGTTATATTAACGTGAACATTAACAACTCATTAAACAATAAATATTTTTTTATTATAAAGATACATTATATATTCAGTTTCCTTTCTTTCAACTGCTATGGCCTTCCCTCGCTCTCCCAGTGCCACCATGATTGGAGATCTGTGGGTTTTACACTAATGTAGTTAAAAATGTATTTGATCCCCTGCTGCTTTTGAACATTTGCCTACTGACAAAGAAATGATCAGTCTCTAATTTTAAATGGTAGGTGTATTTTAACAGCGAGAGACAGAAAAACGCATGTCACAAAGGTTATAAATTGATTTGCATGTGAATGAGTGAAATAAGTATTTGACCCCTTTAACTTAGTACTTTGTGACAAAACCCTTGTTGGCAATCACAGAGGTCAGACGTTTCTTGTAGTCTGCAGATCCTTTCCAAGTCATTAAGGTTTCGAGGCTGACGTTTGGCAACTGGAACTCTCAGCTCCTTTCACAGATTTTCTATGGGATTCAGGTCTGGAGACTGGCTAGACCACTCCAGGACCTTAATGTGCTTCTTCTTGAGCCACTCCTTTGTTGCCTTGGCTGTGTGTTTTGGGTTATTGTCATGCTGGAATACCCATCCACGACCCATTTTCAATGCCCTAGCTGAGGGAAGGAGGTTCTCACCCAAGATTTGACGGTACATGGCCCCATCCATCGTCCCTTTAATGCAGGTCAGTTGTCCTGTCTCCTTCGCAGAAGAACACCCCCAAAGCATAATGTTTCCACCTCCATGTTTGACGGTGGGGATGGTGTTCTGGGGTCATAGGCAGCATTTCTCCTCCTCCAAATACGGCGAGTTGAGTTGATGCCAAAGAGCTCGATTTTGGTCTCATCTGACCGCAACACTTTCACCCAGTTCTCCTCTGAATCATTCAGATGTTCATTGGCAAACATCAGATGGGCCTGTACATGTGCTTTCTTGAGCAGGAGGACCTTGCGGGCGCTGCAGGATTTCAGTCCTTCACACGTAGTGTGTTACCAATTGTTTTCTTGGTGACTATGGTCCCAGCTGCCTTGAGATCATTAACAAGATCCTCCCATGTAGTTCTGGGCTGATTCCTCATCGTTCTCATGATCATTGAAATTCCACGAGGTGAGATCTTGCATGGAGCACTAGACCGAGGGAGACTGACAGTTATTTTGTGTTTCTTCCATTTGCGAATAATCGCACCAACTGTTTTCACCTTCTCACCAAGCTGCTTGCCGATGGTCTTGTAGCCCATTCCAGCCTTGTGTAGGTCTACAATCTTGTCCCAGACATCCTTGGACAGCTCTTTGGTCTTGGCCATGGTGGAGAGTTTGGAATCTGATTGATTGCTTCTGTGGACAGGTGTCTTTTATACAGGCAACGAGCTGTGATTAGGAGCACTCCCTTTAAGAGAGTGCTCCTAATCTCAGCTCGTTACCTGTATAAAAGACACCTGGGAGCCAGAAATGTTGCTGATTGATAGGGGATCAAATACTTATTTCACTCATAGACATGCAAATCACTTTATAACTTTTTTGACATGTGTTTTTCTGGACTTTTTTTTTGTTATTCTGTCTCTCACTTTTAAAATACACCTACCATTAAAATTATAGACTGATAATTTCTTTGTCAGTGGAAAAACATTCAAATTAAGTAGGGGATCAAATACTTTTTCCCCTCACTGTAACATACCTTCCCTGCTCAAAGATAAGCAGGAAAGGGAGAGGCAAAAGACTCTCTCTCTCTGTAATTTAGCAGGCATATTCATGTTTGACGGTGGTGGGAATCACAAATACGACCTGTCTTGTCTCCTTGTATTTAGCATGTACTAAGTCCGTTTATTCGCTTGCTTATATAGACCTTCTACGAATTTACCTCTCCCCCTTCAAATATTTTACACTGATTGTAAATGCTGTATCTGGTTGGCTTTATGCTTATAGAAATATACATTTATGAAAACTCTCTTTCAGTTACACTGTAATCACTGTACGTGGTGTTTCACTTACTGGTTCCATATAGATTTTGGCACTGTCCTTCATATGTTTGGCAAATCCCATTAAAGCAATAAGATGTGCTGTTGTTGCATGGGTAACCATTCATTTTATAAAAGTCTGCTGGGCACAGGCCATTAGTCCCATTGCAATACTCTGGAAAGTCGCAGTAACCGTTTTGAGGGCGACAAGGTGTGCCAGCAACTTTAAACTGAAAATTGGAAAGTAATTGGAGAAATTAGAGAGATCTGCTTTAAGGCATATATGTCATGTAGTGTCAACACTTTAGAAGGAAAGATTTTAAAGCAGCATCTATCCATTTGGCAGAAATGCAAGCACAGTTATAGATTTAAAAAAAAAAAAAACTTTTCAAACATTTGCTCCTCAGACTGTTGTGAACATGAAATTATTAATTAAGCCCCAAAAAATTGTAAAAAATACATTTCACGGTATTACAATATAATCCAGCCTCAAGATAAATCCCCTCCTCCCGCCCCACACATTTTACAGGTAGCAACATTTGCAAATGTGATTCCTGCAGAACATCAAAAAATGGGTAACCCATCCTAGGTTACCCATTCTGTTTTAATTTCTCTATTAGATTAGGCTCACTATCGGTTTCATAATCGAACAGATTGGAAGATAATGGGGTTTCTCATCTTACCTGACAGTTTTCACAGCACAAGCCTTGTGCACACGCTGATCCCTTCGTAAGTTTGCAGGTGGCAGCATCACAACAAGGATTATTGCATTCCTGATGAGTCAATGAAAATGAAGGGATTAAGAGAAACTATTTCATAAAAAATACACAAATCACTAACAAAAGAATTACAATTTTTGTTTTTGGTAAAGGGACACTATGGACACTCAGACCACTTCATCTCAATGAAGTGGTCTGGGTGCAGTGTCCCTGTCTGTTTAACCCTGATATGTAAAACATTGCAGTTTCTGAGAAATTGGAATGATGAAATTGCAAGGTTAACTCCACCTCTAGTGGCTGTCTTCTGGCAACTGGAGGCGCTTCCAGGTCCTTAGCCTAGTTTTACTCCATTAAACCATGTTGGACATCCTCACGTTTGCATGAGGACGACTAACATTTTCAAACACCCCATATCAAAGCACTGATTCACCGTGCATGCACATTAAGTCTCACCATCGTCCTGATGTCACAGAAGGAGGAGACTTAGCCAAAAGGTAAGTAAAATAATTTTTCTTATTAAAGTAATTTTATGCTGGACAGGGGTGGGGGACCTATAACCTTAGGGACAAGGACACAATAGCATTAGGAATACAGGTTTCTATTCCTAATGCTACATTGTTCAATTCCATTTTTTAGAATAAAGGTAAAGCATTTTAGATCAAACTTTCATATTTCACCATAACGTGCACACAAGTAGTAAAATGTGCAAATACACTTGTTATGCTTTATCACAGATTAGGGAAGCCAGCCTGCGAACTCTGATAGTAAATACACTTCTGAACATAACTGAATTAAGCAGGAGAGCAAATTGACCTAAATGTGTCCTATCTTACTACTAAAGAGGCATCTTTCAAGGTTTAATAATCAGACCGTCGTAAGGTTCCAGCTTACCTGTACAGTGCCGCAGTCACAATCTTCTCCCTGATCTACAATTTTGTTTCCGCACTCAGGGATACTCAGCACCTGGTTAGGATCTGGGGGGTTCTGAAGACAGGTTCCACCACCTCTCAAAATTAAGCTCTCAAAGTCACTGGAGCTGCAGGTGCTAAATTTTTTTGCTCCCCTGAAAAAGATAAGCATGTAAGCAATATAATTATACCTTTAATATAGGTTTTAGTTTATTAGTTTAGGTAAACCTATGATTAAAACCAAGTAGCTCATACAGGGTATTTCACAGTTGGGAGTTGTTGAGAATTGACAAGGGAATTAAATTTTTTAGGACAAACTAGCATAACTATATAAAAACAATTCTATTAATCAGCTGTTTTCCCAGCTTGTCTAATTTGACCTACATTGCAATTTCATGAACAGTTTCCAATTTAGTAAATAATTATTTTTGTTTTAGAGGACATTCTAGAAAAAGCTATTTCCAGAATATATAAATAAATTTTGAATTGATAAAAAAAAAAATATATATATATATATATTATTTTAAAGAAACACTCCGGTCACCATAACAATTTCATCTAAATGGGGCGCTTTGTTACCTTACTAATTCATCCACGGCCCTACCTGCAATTCACTCCATGCTCAAACTTTTTTAAAAAACTATTTTTTTGGGCTATTATTGATATTGCAGGTAGACACTAAGTTTTAAAGTGATTGTTATAATTGATCAGTATTTACGCGTCTGAGCTGTGCATAATATAGTTGCCTCCACTGCATGTGTCGTCATGGCTCATCCCAAGAACGTGCCCAAGTTCATGAGCGAGTACCGTGGTGTGTCCTGCCAGGGAAGTACTTGATGAAAACTGCAACGAAAAAAGAAATCAGACAATTTTGACCTTAAAAAAAAAGAAAAGCAAAAAAAGAAAAATTAAAGATACAGTAAATGTTCACTTACCATACTGATAGAGGTGCCATAAGAGGGGGAACACACAGTTCCGACAAAAGCCATCCCAAGAACACCGTTGATGGCTCCACGCCCTCTGAAATAAAGGGTAATTTAAAATGACATTTAATGATCTAGGTATATAGTATAGAACTTTGTCTAAAAATTGTAGAGCCCAGAAGAAGACTAATTTGTGGATTTCATGGTCAGATATATGACCATCGTATGCAACCACCATGTAAATGAAAATTGTATAATTAACCTGGAAACACCAGGGAAAACATGCAAACACAGGACACCAGATAACTGCAAAAATTAAGTTCTGACACTTATAATACAAAAAAGGATTGTACAATAAATAACAAATACAACTCTTTTCTAATATCAAGCAGCAGTGTTTATTGATGTGACATAGCAAGTCTACACAGAAAGGATGGGTCACCATGAGCTAAGGCTTTAACCACCACTTGAACACCCTACAACTGCATCCTGAGAGCCAGAAGTCCAGCTGGTGGTGTTTGCTGGATGTATAAAGGCTATTCCAGATGGCAGTCTGGTATATCTGCTGAGATGATGCTGTCAGACGTTATGATCAATGGATTAGCTACCTAGGATGTCGCCATCACTCCAGTGAGCCTTCAGGAATGAAGGAGGAGAATGACTAATAGAGAGGTAAGTATGGCAAATCACATCTCTGATCCAATGGCTAGTGTATCTAGTGATTCTTTGTATTTCTATATATTATTTTTTTAATTTCTACCCCTGGGTACACAATGTTTCCCCTTCTGGCTACCTTCTGCATTGTAACTACTAAATCATGGGATAAAGTAATTGAAATTAAATAGTCTTGCCAATAATATTTCCATAAATCATATGGGTGCATGTTTTTCACATAGCAATACCAAACTCTTGGTATGTATGAGTAAAAGATGAGGCTAGTCCAATATACTTCATACATTTCTCATAGTTTAACTGTTATTTAAACACTAACAATACCATTCTAAGAAGTTATTCTAAGTGCTGTTTACCACAAGTCCCACAATGTACATGTGATCAACAGCGTTGCTGAACATAACAGAAGTCACAGTTCATTATTATTATTATTATTATTGGAATTAGTATATATATACTGCTCAAACATGCTACAATCATGGGTAGGTGGGGTATAACAGACACAATATGAATGGCAAAGTGGGGGATAGCAACCAAGCAACAAGATGGAAAGGTAGCATAACTAAAAGGTAAGAGTGGAGTGTAACCCTCTAAGAGAGATCAAGAGGCAGGTTTGTAAAATAGAATTACTCCAGGGGCCATAAGCTCCACTGAAGAGATGGGTTTTGAGGGAGTTTTTAAATCATTGAAGACTAGGGGAGCGTATGATGGGGTAGGCAGGCTGTTCCAACGAAATTGAGCTGCCCATGAAAAGTCATGCAAGTTTGATTTAGCAGTAATGGTGAGAATTGCTATTGAGAAAGCATTCTAGATGGGTAAAGACAAGTCATTACAGAAGCTTTGAGGAGAAAGAGAGCAGAGATATGGGATGATAGTTAGAAGGGGAGGACAAGTCAAGATATGGCTTTTTTTCAGACAGGTAAGAAAGTAGCATATTTGAGGGAAGTAGTGACAATGCCAGAGTAAAGAGAGTTGAAGATATGCATTAAGGATCTGATAAGGTGACACAAGATCAAGCGGACAAGTGGTTGGGCGAGAGAAAAGGAGAAGGGCAGCCACCTCCTGTTCAGTAGATGGGGAAAAGGCCTGAAGAGTAGGAAAAGCAAGTGTGGTTGAGAAAGAAGGAGGGGAGGTGTGGGGATTCTTTCCTTATCTGGTTAATCTTGTCAGTAAAATAGCATGCAAAGCAATCAGCTTAAAGGTTAGTTTTGGGGTGGGGTGTGAGCACAGCAGGGCAAAGAAGAGAGTTGAAGGTATCAAAGAGATGTCTTGGCTTGTAAGGGTATGAACTAATGAGAGAGAAAAAGTATGATTGTTTAGCAAGGGTGAGGGCTGTGTTGTATTCGTGCAAGATTATTTTGTAATGGAGAAAGTCTGACAAGGTGCGAGACTTCTTACAGTAGTGTTCAGCTAATTCGGAGCATCAGTGTGTGACTTAGTCTGCCACGGTTGGAGGCATGCCCTCTATGTGAATGTTTGGAGCTGGGCTGCAGCATCCAGGTCAGAGGTGAGTTTAGTGTTTTATGAGGAGATAGTTAGAGAGGTACAGGAGAAGGTAGGGATGGATTAGAGTTGAGAATGGACATCAGCTGAGACTTGCTGGAGGTCAAGAGACTCAGGAATTTCCAGAGTTCAGGAGGATTATGCTACAGAAGTGCTACCTCTGAATATGGCTTTGGCTGTGAGACTTGCTAGCTCTAAGTCAACATCAACAGTTGCACCAAATAGCTGTCTATACGTGGGTTAAATCAAACCCATTAGTCATCAATATACATTAACCCTACACCCCCACCCTGATCAAAATAAAACAAAAAAACAAAATTAAAAAATCCCAGCTTCAGGAAGAAGGAAACAAAGCAAAACGGATGGGTGGACCTTTCTTGAAAGCTCACATTAGGAGATGTGAGATGTCAGTTCTCTTCAATCCTGAGGTGCTCCCTCTCCAAGTTGAAAAACCTCCTAGTACATTCCCAGCACTTTCTGCATTTACATTAATAGGATTGCCTGAGGCCCAGATTGTAAGGCTGGTAAGGACTATTCGGATATTTAGAGGTTGAAACATCTGAAGAAGAACAAACAAAATTACATGAATATACCCAATATTATCAAAAAGTGGACGATAGATTTTGATGTAGAATTTTAACAATTTGTTTTCTTATCAAACTTAAAGGGATACTCTGTTAACACTCCATCAAATAACCAACACATATTAAAGTACGTTTGATAGGTTTTGAACTGCTGTACCCTTTTCTACATACATTAACATGAAATGGCACTGATCTCATGGAGACATGGGCTTACATGGAACCAGACTTTAATGTCATCATGCGTCAGAAGGAGCATGCGCACTGCATTATTCTTGACGCTGCAACATGGAATAGTAAAAACCCATAAAGTCACAGCTCACAACATTCTAAGGGATGACCAGGTTTACAATGACACAAGCCAATGACACATGCAAAGACGAGAAAAAAAAATTACCCTGTAGAGTCAAACCCAGTATTTGGCCTTACAAACTCCAATTACAGTCCCTAGTATCCATGTATTATTAACCCTGGTTACTGTCCTAAATCTGTAGAATCTATGATTCTTTGTCCACTATTCAAAAGCTACTTTTCAATTAGCATGCAGTTCTTTCAAGGATGCAACTTCACAGAACCAATTTTCTGGTTAATAAAATTGAGATGTTTTTTGGCACATCTGTTGGAACAGTACTACAAGTGTGAGGCAGCAGGTAGGGCTTGTACAGCACCTTGGCTAATTTGTCACTGTGTGTGCCTGGGCATCCCAGTTAAAGGAACACTATATAGTCACCTAAATTACTTTAGCTAAATGAAGCAGTTTTAGTGTATAGATCATTCCCCTGCAATTTCACTGCTCAATTCACTGTCATTTAGGAGTTAAATCACTTTTTTTTCTGTTTATGCAGCCCTAGCCACACCACCCCTGGCTATGATTGACAGAGCCTGCATGAAAAAAAAACTGGTTTCACTTTCAAACAGATGTAATTTACCTTAAATAATTGTATCTCAATCTCTAAATTGAACTTTAATCACATACAGGAGGCTCTTGCAGGGTCTAGCAAGCTATTAACATAGCAGGGGATAAGAAAATCTTAATTAAACAGAAGTTGCAATTAAGAAAGCCTAAATAGGGCTCTCTTTACAGGAAGTGTTTATGGAAGGCTGTGCAAGTCACATGCAGGGAGGTGTGACTAGGGTTCATAAACAAAGGGATTTAACTCCTAAATGGCAGAGGATTGAGCAGTGAGACTGCATGTTCTATACACCAAAACTAGTGATGTCCCGAACCTCCCTCCCAGATCCTCCCACCTCCTGGACAGCTCACTAAGAATGCAGCTTCACAATGAATGTAAAATGGATGCTGTCCAGGAGGTGGGAGGGTCTGGGAGGGAAGGTCTGCTGCTGATTGGCTGGAATGTGTCTGCTGACTGTGAGGTACAGGGTCAAAGTTTACCGCATATGTTCGCCGTCCGTGGCGAACCGTTCGGCGAACCAAAACTGCTTCATTAAGCTAAAGTTGTTCAGGTGACTATAGTGTCCCTTTAATATTCTACTCTGAATAAGGTATGCTATTAAAATATATAAATATATATATAAATGATATTTACCGAATCCACAATGTTTGTTAGTTGGATAGCCTCCACCTCCACGGCCGTTGTGTTTGAATTGTCAATTCCATACTTTGTAAAAATAAATAAATAGATTTTACTGAACAGACATTGAAAAAAAAGGATGACATTGAATACATTTCATAAATATGCCATGCCAAACACATTTAATGTTCAGAGAAATACTCTTCCCAAATAGAGGAAAAAGAGCAATTGGTGCAAAGAAGGTACATATCGCAAACCTAGTCTGCTTATGCTCTGAATAAAATTATTCACAACTGGCGGATTTACATCTGGCTTTCAAAATATAACAGTTCTCACCCCTTTTTACGTTTTTTAATTTTGCCTTTTAATTCACTCCTACACTGATACCTTTGGTGTAAGGATATCAGGAAGGCTATTTCCCTGTAAAGATCATATGGTCACATCACTGAAATTCTTTTCAATTTTTCTGAAATAAAAATTTAATTGTATGAATTAACGTTAATTAAAAGTTTTTTTTTTTATATCAGTCATGCTAGCGATCCTTATTGTTTCGTTCATGTGTTACTATACTATTGTCACCGAGGTGATCACCTTTTTATCCATTTACAGTAGGTCTCATGGTTTAACTCACTGCAGTCGGCCTTAGACAGAAAAGATAAGAAAAGTGACAATTCCTTAATAAAGAGGGACATCTATAATACCTGACAGAGTGCATTGGAACTGGAGAAACTGCAAGGGACGATAAAGTTTCTGATGAGCATATATAAAGTAGTTTAATTAAAGCAAACTCCACACTAACTGAATTCTAGAATGCTCAGCTGACTAATAAGTCAAGTCAACACGGAAATCACTCAGCCAGCTTAAGAAAGGTTACCCCCAAGACAAATGGGCAAATGTTGAAACTTAAGTTATACACAACACAGTTTGGGTCCTATACATCAGAGCATGACATATAAAACTTTGAATTTGTAAATGGAAAAACTGTTTTGAATATTGTTCTAATGAGATATAATCTCTAAATAATTTTGTAATTACCCTATAATTATCCACTACCATGCCGAGCTCCACATAACTGGTTGTAGGCAGTACATCTCTCTTCATCTGTTTGGGGAAATAATTATGAGTGAGTATGTTAAGCACTGGGCTTATGGAATATGTGTACTATATCCCATCAAACCTTTCTGCACACACAAAATACAAAACCATTGAGCTACGCAACAATATGCAGAGAGAGTGACACATCCAGGGAGAGATAGCATGGAACTAACATCCACAAAAAGTCACACAGCATAAAACATGTCCAGTCTCACACACTTTGAAGAACATAATGCATATAGACCTTGATAAAGCCATACCCTTCTCAGCTTATAGAATGAAGGCAGTAATGTGTGCGGCGTCATTTTCTCAAAATCCTCCACACCACACATACTGGTACCATCTGGCTTTTCTAATTCAAATAATAGGTGTTCCCCTTGCGATGTGTTTTTTACTGGCTCAATCACAAAATATTTATCTTCTATGTGCACAAGACCACTGTAACAAAAACAGAAGATTGAACACCAGGATTAGATTAGAAAGAAAGATGTATCACGAGAACAAATGCAGTACGTACTACGAAACAGAGCATTTTAGTCTAATGGCAAAAACACTGTCCGTTCATATTCTGCAGGTATTATATTGATATCACTCTTCCTGAACCTTGCTTTTAAATAATTTCTGTTGGTTCAAAATATGTGAAGAGAGAAAAAAATGTCCATTGTGTGAAATGCGTAAGCCTAAAGAACTGGATTTTCTAGTCTCCCTTTAGCTGATACAGGTCTGTTTAATGGAGTGTAGGATTTTTACCTGATTAAATATCAAAGTAGTTTGTGTAGCACAGTCTGGGATACCAAAGCATTCCAGTGGATCCAGTGTCCAATAAGGTGTACTGAACACGCATTGTAATAATTTCCTTTAATGGGACACTGATGGCACTGTAACTGCTTCATATCATTAAAGTGGTTATAGTGTCTGAAATCTTTTGGCACCTTCATTCTATTCAGTGTAAAACTGTTTTTATAGTTTTAATGCTAAATAAAAGTCCTCAGCAGCAATCCCCTCTGTGCTGTTTAGGCTAATGAGGAAGCCTGAGAAGCGATGGGAAGCTCTGATTGGATGAGAGTATCAGCTGATTGCTTTCAGTCTATAACAGCTGGTATGAATTGGTATGGTTCCAGTAGGGGCCAAGTTCTCAGTGGTCAGGGTCTTTTATTAAGTCTTAAACTGCTCAAAATGTTTTAACACTGAATGGACAGAGAGTGTGAGAGGACTCCATGCACTCTAACCAATTTGATGAGATGAAATGGTTATTGTACCTACAGAGCGGTGCTTCTATTCTCGTCCCGGGGAGACTATTCCTTTGCTGCAGCTATTCTTCTTATTCAGACACGATTGAGGCACACCCTCAAACTCGGGAAGCAATAGCTCAGACACACCAAGGTATGCTGAATCGCTACTTCATTTTATTGCAGGTAAGCATTCAGTTTATATAGGCAAGTAGCTAATATTTGTAACAGAATGTGAAAACTATCTTTTTAACCTTAAAGGGTATACACACAAAAATAAAGAAGTTACAGTGTAATGCGTACAATAACGTGTTTACATGTTCCAGAGAAAAGGAGAAGTCACAATGGAAATATTTCAAAACAGTTTCATGTTAATTTTACTTGAACAGGTAGCATCACATCATGTCTAAATAATTTCAGGTTAATTTTAGTTGAGCAGATAGCACAATATGTTAACCCTTTCATACAATTTCCCTTTAATGTACAATTATTACCTGGCACCAGTTACCGAAACTATATAAATTACCTAGATCTGCTTTTATCTTAACATCCCAAGTTGGATGAGCCTTCAAATAGTAGGAATGATTTTATAATAATAAATAATAGTATGATTCTACTGGGATAATCAGTTACATGGTACCTGGGGTAACTTAATAACACAAACCCCCTTAAGGATATCAGCTTACTTGAGTCCATGGCACGTGCTGAGCACAACAAGTGAGTTCGGCACCCCATCTACTGTTCCACGATAATAACAGGAATGTGTCTATAAGGGAAAGGAAAACAGGTGTAAAATTAAAGCAGGTATGAATACTATTGCTATTACTTAATTAATATTGCAATTTATATTCTGTCTTTAAGATTAATGCAAGCAGGCACCTAATTGGTTGCAGTTGCTTATGATAATTCTTCATTAAGCATAAGCTGTAGATATTAAATATAACTTAGATCCATAAACCTAAACTGATGCTATAAAATACATCTGCATTGACATTCTATTTTCCATAGGCATGTCCTGCCCTCCTGGGTTATTCTGGAGAACCCTGCTTTTTTCATATATGAAGATAATCACTGAAATTTATCATAAAAAGAAATCACTGGGACATTCGCAAAATCATCCGAATTGCTCTGATCATCTGCAACAGCTCTGTGAATGGGAAGGCTACTGTTAGACAATTTACAAACTTAGTAAAGCCATTTTGTATGCTAGGAAGCCATATTTAAAGTTATCCACTTCAAATGCATAAGCAGACAATTTGTTCTCAAGCTAAAATATTAAATATGCTTGGTCACGTCTAGCCAAGGAACGTACCCTCATATAACCTTAGATTAACGTTTTCTTTTTCTTTTATCTTGTATCCATCTGTCATTGCATTCAACTACTGTGCCACAAGTTTGAGTCATAAACACACTATAAGATTAAACTGTAAATTAAGTGATATTTAACAGATACCATTAATCTAGATATACCCACTATCAAGTAAGTTAATAGTGCAGTGTGATAAGTTTGCAGTAATAAAAATAAAGTTTTATTGTTAATCAGCTTTTATGGAGTTAAACATTATATAAATTGTAAAAGTAAAATATGGTATACGTCAGAAGTCTCGATGCTGAGCGATAACTTACTAACCAATGAATTGTTAGCATTATGTTGATTCTTTGCCACTCATGAAGCTCTATTGAAACTCACCCTTTATTTTTTATTTAAAAAATTACGAATTTTCATATTGCACCAGAAATTCTGTCCCTGTCTAATTCTTCTCAACCGGTTAAAACAACAATAGTTTGTCCATAAATTGTTCGATTCCTCAATAGAAGGTTGGCCAACCGTAGAAGATACCATGGTCAGCTGAAAACTTTTAACAGCCACGTAGGCTGGAAACATGTATGCCTGCATCACTAGAACATGCTCTCCATGAATGTCATCACTAACCCCCTCCCAGGTTGGCACATCACAATTCTGGAAGGATTGCTCAGCAGTACCTGGGCATATCACTGCACAACAGGGCTAGTGTGGGTGAGTGTAAACACACACACATTAGCAGCAGACAATTCACAGGATACATTTCTAAAAAGTTACAGTAGTTTAGAAAAGAAATACAAAATTAGCCAATAAAAAGAGCATAAATTGTTCTTTATATTGTTAATATATTTTACGTGCATATTTTACATTTTAGAGATAATTTAATTAATACATAATAGATATTGTAAAATTGATTTTTGAACAAGCACCTAAACCGCCTCCTTTTTCTATATGTGCACAATTTATACTCACATTACAAATATCTCAAGCTGGTTCCCGACTGATTGATTATAACCCTTGCTACAGAATTTAGGTCATTACACTTACCTGTCGAGTGTGGTTTAGTGGCCGTAATCCACCATGTGTGTGGTACTCAAATCGCTCAAAGTCAGGACTCACAAAACCTCTGCAGTAAACCAATGAGTTATATAGTTAATGTCTGTATTTTTAAGGTGATAAAAAAATAAAATGTTATAATTAGCACTCTAATTGCATCAGTTACTATATGTAAACATTGTGAATTGCAAAAAGATGACAAAACTGGTGTTTTATTGTGGGCAATAGTGTGATTTGTGTACTGTCAGAATATTTTCACTGGCAGACATTTTGTGGTAAGATAGAAATTAAAAATGTATACTGTAAGACACCACTTAGCAGATGTGACTCCATTTTGTAACAAAAGGCAAAAGCTCAGACACACATTTTGTTTCTCTAACTCTATTCATTCAAACTCTGGAATGCGGCTAACGTAAACATTGACCAGATTTAAGCTTGTTTCTACAAGAACTTATGTCTGCTACAAGGGGGGTTGAAAAAGCCCAGACACATATACATACATATATATTCAAAGTTGTTGTATACAGCAAACACAGACTCAAATGAATCCATGTTTAAAATGGAATGAGGCAAAAATGTGATTCTTTGTTAAATTAATTTGCATCTGCCCACCCAGAATCCTTTGCGGTAGTAACATTACTGTAAATTTGTGATTTCTGTGGGAAAAGCAAGGCTTATGACTTGACTGGTGTGCAGAATTTTGTTTAACATTGTAATAACTATCCATACATATATATATTATTAACAGATATATATTAATAAATAATGGGAAAATGACAGCACTCACTCACCTATGGGTCGAAATGTTGATCCTTTGATTACAACACAAATTACTTCCTGAACAAAATCCAAAGAGTGCTCTCATTCTTCCATTTTATATACCTACGCTGTGCAGCACCTTGGCTTAATTTGATTACCACTATATTAAGGTAGAGTGCCAGATCTCCAATCTTTTTTGTTATATCTATCTATCTATCTATTTATATAGATATAGACTAACTATAATCATGTTTAGATATATATAAATAGTACCTATGTTAATAATATTGAATATTCATGGATAGAGTCACAATGGAGGTAATGCGTTATTATTAAACTAATATTAGCTGAATGTATGTAAAAGACATGTATATATCACATGATGTCACATTACTAAGTAATGCACATAGTTTCACACAATGAGACAGTGTAACTAAAAAAAAGACACACAGGATTACCAGAAAGAGATAACACTAAACTAATTAATTTTACTTTAAAACTTAGTGGATTGCTACAAGGCTCCATTGTATTAGAAAGTTGACCAAATGCATCAAAATCATACTTGATGGCCCAAAAAGTAGTCGCTATGTCTGAGAAGTCTTTTTGAAGATTGATAGATATGTGACAAATGAACCATAAATATAACACAACTATGACGTCAAACGCATCACGAAATTCAATTAACCCCTTATACAAAGTTGTAGTTGGATTTCTTGATGAGAATTTCTTGTAGTGTTACAATGCCACCTATTGATCAAAGTCTATATGACAATCCATAGAGAAGATACACCCACTTGATTCCATTGGCCACTTTAAATTAGTGAGGTAAAGAAAGTTAATATAAGCTCTTCCTTAAAAATTGAGGAAGGCCGGAGAAAAGAGGTCTTTGATCATTAACCAAAAGCTGGACACATCTAACTCTCTGTATCTCTTCCAACTAAATTCTGGAACTTTGAAAATCTAACTCTGTCTTTTCCAACTGAATCTGGAATCCTTTAATGATCAGAACGCTGATAATTCCCTCATTCACAATCTCCATTTAAAAACATACTCATACTGGCACCCACCATTCATGGAGTACATTTCCAAGCCTAAAGAATTTCTACCAAGAAAGCTGGTAAAAATGTTTGTTTCAGTTAGTTTAATTTATTTGAATTAATTTTTACAAAAAGCAGAAATATACCTGGATATGGCTAGTAAGATTTAAACTCTTTGAAATCTGAATTAGCTGAGGAAATATATGGTTCCATGTTCCATTCCTGCAGGTGGAATAAGTGAACAATATATTTACTGGTAATTTGCCATTTTTAGCATATCAAGCTATTATGCAGATATATTGACCAATTTGAAATTAGGGACAGTTAATCTTTAATCAGAAAAGTAAATCATCTGCAATGTAAAATTTTAATTAGAATTATTCTTTTGGCATACTGGATTAAAAGAAAAAAGTTAAACTGATTTCTTGTGTGAGAAATATTAAATTTGTTAATTGCAATATTAAAGGTGTTTTAGAGAATTGTAGCCAGCAGTGAGTGATACAGACTGACAGTCAAAGTTACGTCTGCAAGCTGTGGTGTGGGATGCTGTGATGTGTTCTGTGTTAAGGAATGTCTAGATGAAAGTTGAAGTTTTCTGTAGTAAATGTTGTTGAAAATTGCATTTATGTGGATATAACTGTTGCTATTGAGTTATCTTTAATTGTGTCAAAACCATTGTCATATTGTATACTTATGTTATACCTAAATATTCACTGATTATTGTCACTCATGTTACATATTGTTATTATTATTATTATTATTAATTATTGTCACAATAAATTATATTTTATAATCAATTTGTGATTATTGTGTGAAATACAAATTCTCTAATAAAACGTAAACCAGGGTCTATAAGAGTTAAAATAGTGGGTAACTCTTCGCTTTAAATCAATCAAGGGGAAACCGTGCCAATATATCAATTTTTATTAAAAAATATATATATATATTAAATTATTTTTTGCTAATGTTTATAAAATATTATTTTTAATATTTATCACCCCATAGTTATCCTCACAGTAACTATGAAGAAAATGTATACAGTCAGTATAAATTGTAAAATTTTAAGGATACAGTGTTCCTCTAAACAGTCTTAATAAAATATGTATCTAATTTGACTTAGTTTCGTGTACCTGTTCCTTTGTAGTTTTAGCAGAAGAGTGCCATTCGAGGTTTGGATAGAGTAAGATACTTTTTCCTCCCATTGATCCTGCAGAAAAATACATGTTAAATTAGTCTTGTCCATTTTAAAAGTTCCAATTTGTATATACTGTATTGTTGGCTGACCTAGCTTGTACTTACTTTACACATTTTGTGTGACATTTTTTTGTCATGACAATGGGTATTAAGAGAATGTTCCAGGGTGGGGGAAGAGATCTAATTGAATTGGTGTTTGTGTGCGGACATTGGTCTCAATTAATTAGAGACAATCACGTTTGTTAGCTCCAGATAAACCTTTTAACGGTTTAAAACTATTAAAGGGACACTGGAGGCACCCAGAAAGTGATGGCAGATAAGAACCATTCGGCCCATCTAGTCTGCCCAATTTTCTAAATACTTTTATTAGTCCCTGGCCTTATCTTATAGCTAGTACATGCCTTATGCCTATCCCACACATGCTTAAACTCCTTCACTGTGTTAACCTCTACCACTTCAGCTGGAAGGCTATTCCATGCATCCACTACCTTCTCATTAAAGTAATACTTCCTGATATTATTTTTAAACCTTTGCCCCTCTAATTTAAGACTATGTCCTCTTTTTGTGGTAGTTTTTCTTCTTTTAAATATAGTCTCCTCCTTTACTGTGTTGATGCCCTTTATGTATTGAAATGTTTCTATCATATTCCCCCGTCTCGTCTTTCCTCCAAGCTATACATGTTAAGTTCCTTTAACCTTTCCTTGTAAGTTTTATCCTGCAATCCATGAACCAGTTTGGTAGCCCTTTTCTGAACTCTCTCTAAAGTATCAATATTCTTCCGGAGATACGGTCTCCAGTACTGCGTACGATACTCAAAGTGAGGTTTCACCAGTGTTCTGTACAATGGCATGAGCACTTCCCTCTTTCTACTGCTAATACCTCTCGCTATACAACCAAGCATTCTGCATAAGTACCTCCAGCATCAGATTCTTCCCCATAGGTAAGCATTGAATAATGCTATTCTATGGGGGGGGGTAGTCTAATGTGCGCAAGGCATTTGCCGGGCATGCGCATTAAACCCCGCTGGTTGAGGGACAGAGGAGGGACGGAGCTTTGACCCAGCGCCGAGGGACATCGGGGCTGGGATAAGGTAAGTAAATAAAGGGTGGGAGGGAAGGGGGAGGCAGATGGATTGGTAGTGCCAGGAATACAGCTTTGTATTCCTGACACTACAGTATCTCTTTAAATTACAGCCATTAAAGGTTTATTGTAAACCAAAAATTATAGGTATCCAATACCTATATTTTACATCGGAAATTTCAAATTCGGTAATTTAATTTATCGGGCTAAATGGCCTAATCAGATTCAAAAGCTTTTTTTTAAAAAAAATATTTGCCTGGTCATATTTGACCAATGGAGGTCAATATGACCCACATTAAAATAAGGGAGATTTTAAAGCTCCCTCATGCTCCTACTCACCATGCCTCGGGTGGGGGCATGTCCACTAAACAGTGAGAAGACAGTGCCTGTTCACTGTAAAAAAAGACTTGAAAGTGTACTATTGCTGCCCAATCGCTAATAACATACAGGGGCCCCCTGTGCACGCAGCCACTGGCATCACTCTCCACCCCTTGACCCGAACCGCCATCAATGGGTGAGGGCTGGGACACACACTAGGTTTCCCTATTTATTTGAATTAGAGCCCCCACCGCTGACAGATATGACACTTAGTCCCCCCATGTATTATTTAATTAATAGAACCCACTGTGGATGTTCCTCCATTTCTCAATTTAATAGAGCCCTCAATTTAATTTACAGCCTCCTCCAGGTACCCCCTGGATGTTATAAGAGACTGTAGGTTATATTGACCCCTTAGGCTTTTTTTTTATTTTTTATTAATTGATTTCTTTTTTTAATGACTAACAGGCAGTGGCGTACTAAGGGGAGGCGGAGGGGGCGGTCCGCCCCGGGTGCCACTGGGTAGGGGGTGCCATGACCCTGGTCTGGGAGCTGGAGGGTGCTGTGTGAGCTGTGGCCGCACAGTGCCCCATGGCAGTTAGGGTACTGTGCGGCCAGAACAGCTCACACGCAAAGAGCAGCGGAACTGGACGCACAGAAGGAAAGTGGGGGCAGGGCTAAACAACATCGGGGGTGGGGCTTACCCACTGCTGTTACTGCTGCACATGGAGGTGCAGCAAGAAGGAATCCCTGTTCCTCCACCTATCAGGCTCCAGGGAAGAACTTCAGGGAATCCTCCTCCAGCTCCTGTTTGTAAGTAATAGTGTGTGTGTGTCTGTGTGACTGTGTCTGTAAAACTGTCTGCCTGTGTGTGTGTGTGTGTGTGTGTGTGTAACTGTCTTCATGTAAGTGTGTGTGTGTGTGTAACTGTCTGTATTTGTGTGTGAACTGCATGCCTGTAAGAGTGTGTTTGTGTGTGTCTGCATGCCTGTAACTGTGTGTGTGTCTGTCTGTCTGCCTGTAACTGTGTATGTGTGTGTGGGTGTGTGTGTGTGTGTGACTGCATGCCTGTAATTGTGTGTGTGTGACTGCATGTCTGTAACTGTGTGTGTGTAACTGTCTGCCTGTAACTGTGTGTATTTGTGTGTGAACTGCATGTCTGTAAGAGTGTGTGTGTGTTTGTCTGTCTGCCTGTAACTGTGTATGTGTGTGACTGCATGCCTGTAACTGTGTGTGTGACTGTCTGCCTGTAACTGTGTGTGTGTGTGTGTGTGTGTGTGTGACTGCATGTCTGTAACTGTGTGTGTGACTGCATGCCTGTAACTGTGTGTGTGCGTGTCTGTCTGCCTGTAACGGTGTGTGTGTGTGTGTCTGCCTGTGACTGTGTGATGTTGCCTGTAACTGTGTGTGTGGCTGTAACTGTGTATGTGTGTGTGACTCTCTGCCTGTGACTGTGTGTATGTGTGTGTGTGTGTGTGTGTGACTGTATATGTGACTGTCTGTAACTGTATGTGTGACTGCCTGGCTATGACTCTGTGTGACTACCTGTAACTGACTGTGTGTGTAACTGTCTGCCTATTACTGTGTGTGTGACTGTCTGCATGTGACTATGTATATGTGACTGTCTGCCTGTGACTGTTTGATGTTGCCTGTAACGGTGTGTGACTATCTGTCTGTGACTGTGTGCATGTGACTGCTGCTGCCTTTTACTGTGTGTGTGTGACTGTCTGCCTGTGACTGTGTGTGTGTGTGTGTGTGTGTTAATGTATATGTGATTGTCTGCCTGTAACTGTGTGTATGACTGTCTCTGACTGTATGTGTGGCTGTCTGCCTGTAACTGTGTGTGTGTGTATGTGACTGTCTGCCTGTAAATGTGTGTGTGGGGCTGCAGGGATTTTGTAGAAGGGGGAGGGGTTTTGTATTGGGACAGGAGTCTTTATAAGGGGATTTGTGGAAGGGGGTTGCAGGGGTTTTGTAGACGGGGGGCAGTACAGGATTTGTCGATTGGGGCGGGACAGAGGTTTTGTCGGAGGTGATGTGGCACACAAGGGTTTTGTAGAAGGGGGCTGACAGCGGTTTGGAAAGTTTCCAAATTTGTTCAATACATAAAAAAAGGAAAACATTTAAAAAATGTTACAGGTTTTTTTTTTTGGGAGGGAAAGGGGACAAGAGTATGGGGGCGGGGAGTGCCAAGCCCAGGATCCGCCCCCAAATGCTCTAGGTACGCCCCTGCTAACAGGGATATTCATTAAAAAAGCTTCAGGTGTACATTTATCTCCATGTTTTTCTCGAGCTGCTGACTCTTTTATCGGGTTCCAATTCTTGAATTTGGCGTGCAGCCAAAATAAAAATAATAATAATGAAAAAAAAGACGGAAGAAAACAGTTAATAATTATTGACTGCTTTTTGCCGATATAATTAAAAGGAGAGCATTGTCAACTTTATCAGGGATCTGATATATATGCATAAATTAATATATACAGCCTATGCATACATATATACACATACATTAGCTGCTATTTGATATTTCTCTATACACACTGTTATTGCACTTGTAAAAATCTCAGTGAACTGAAATATTGGTTATTGACTGTCATATATGTAAGTCAGAATATATGAAGTAAAAAAAGTAATGTGATATGTACAAAATACCTATTCATTCAGGTGTTTAGCTGTTTTATAACTTGCAAAGTTATTTTCATCATCCAAGAGATGTCGCAATAAGCTTTTAAGAGAACCCAACAAGACAACTAATAAGAAAGAGATTCTGACTTGGAAATTTAAAAATTCTATTTTCTTTCAAAATACAAAGAATAAAAATAATAACATTACATAAATCATATTCAGTGAACTGTGCTATGGTAACAAGAGGGAAGGACACAGAATATCGTAAGATCCCTAACAACGTCTGTCTAGTGAATGAGAAAAGTTACGATTTACCGTATTATGTGGATCTAAATTCCTTTTTTCTCTGTTCACCACCTTCTGTGGGAAAACAATCTCGTGGTCGGGGAGTCCAGAAACGTGATACTCTACGGGATACAATACAAAGAAAGAGTATGAGCCAACATTAACAGATCAGGGACTATAAAATAAATAAATAAATACTTCTGGGCTTCCAATGTATGTGAACTTTGAGGGGTACAGTAAGAGGTGGGGGTACTTTAAAGAAAGGGAGGAGTAAGTACCAGTGAGGAGAATATAGATTGTCGATGAGTACATTTAAAAATATAAGTTTAACTATATAAATGAAGATTAAGGGGAGGTGGATTGTGGAAGAAATAGGGGAAAGGCATGAAGGGGAAAACTAAAAAGGGGTGATATTTGAAAGTGATCTGAAATAATGGATGGACTGACAGAGAAGAAAGAAATGAGAAAGAAAGAACTAGAGTAGATGGGGAAAAGAGAACTATCGAGAAAGAAATAAAAAAAAACATATTTTGGACAGGAGTATAGGAATCTAGAGATGTGGAATAGAGAATTGACATGAAATTTAACCAGAAAGAAAGAAAGGAAAGCAATAAATGAGAAATATCGGTAACAAACAAATGGAGAATGACAGTGGAAGGACATGATGAATTGACAAAGGGATTGCCCCGAAACCTTTGTTTTATATTTGTTCCTCAATTAAATGGTAGTAGCACTGTGTTTGGGTACATAAAGCAAATATTTGCGCAGATTCTATTTCTTTATTTGATTTGTTAAAAAAAATAAGAAAGAAAGTGTGTAAAAGCATCTGTGGAAGGGTAAAAAGAGGGGGGGTGAGGATCAGGATAAGGAGAATGGGAAAGATGTGGAATAACTGATGGGGAATGCAGATGTAAAAAAAAACAAATTAAATTAGTACCTAGCATTATCTTTTTTATTGGACTAACAGAATTTTGGAACAACCAGCTTTCGGGAGAGCCTCCCTTTTTCAAGTCTAAATCAATAACTTAGCCAAAGATCCCAAGATAGTTATCCGCTCTGCGGATAAGGGGGGAGGTATAGTTATTATGGACTATCAACTATATGCTGCAGACATCTTACATTAATTGGGGGATACAGATACATTTCAAATTCTGCCAGAGGACCCAACAATTAAAATCCAACAGAAATTCGACTCTATTTTAACCCCTTAAGGACCAAACTTCTGGAATAAAAGGGAATCATGACATGTCACACATGTCATGTGTCCTTAAGGGACATGGGCCTAAGGGCGAACTATATTGACCAGGACACGTATCTATACCTAACTCAACTGCATCCTTGTACCCTGATTCTGTATTCCATTCCTAAAATCCACAAAAATGCCCAAAACCCTCCTGGGCGGCCAATTGTTTCGGCAGTCAGTGGTGTCCTGGAGCCGGTGGCAAAATGGTTGGATTCCCTCTTTAAAAATCCTGTGGAAGCGTTACATACATGCATTCAAGATACTCCTTCTTTGGTGGTGAAACTACAGACTTTGAGCTTTGATGGTCTAGATCCAGTTCTGATCACCATGGATGTCAGTAGCCTCTATACCATCATCCCGCATGATGTTGGTATAGAGGCTATGAGACAAGTTCTATCTCAGTCTTCTTTGTACCATGGTCCACCTATTGAGTTTGTTTTAGAATTGTTGGAATTCACATTAAAATCAAATTATTTTCGCTTCGAGCAAACTTGGTACATGCAGCTTAGGGGCACGTCCATGGGCGCTGCTATGGCGCCCATGTACGCAAATGCCTTTATGTACATATACAAAACTAACAACATCCTTTCAACTTACCAACTATATATTTCCAATTATTATCGTTCATAGACAATTTATTTATAATTTGGAAAGGAACTCAATCAGAAGCATATGACCTGGTGGAACACCTGAATTCTCTACCGTCCCCAGTAAAGATGACTGCGGACATCAGTACCACACAGGTAAATTTTTTAGACCTTCAATTACAGTTTGTAGACAAGAGACTCACTTATTGTTTATACACTAAGCCTACTGATCGATATACGATCCTTCATCACGATAGCTCTCATCCCCCGGCATTAGTTGCATCTATACCTTATGCACAATATCGTCGTGTCATACGTAATAATTCAGAAGTAGATATAAGAGAACAACAGATATCGGATATGACCCAAAATTCAAGGTTATGGTCAACACACTTTGATGACTCCGCTATCTAAAGCACAAAGTACAAATGCTCTGAAAGTTCCTTCTACTATGCCTAGGATGGTATTTCCCATGACCTACCACAACAAATCTCCACAATTTTCCAACATCGTGAAACAGAATTGGAAGATGCTGTCTTTAGATGACACCTTGCCAAAAAATTTCAAAGAGCAACCAATGATTTGCTACAAATGCAATAAAAGTCTACGGGATTTGCTTGTTAAAACAGATCCTGTTTCCAGTTACCAAACTATACCAATAAGCCAAATTAGTGGTAGTGTACAATGCCTTAGTTGTGTCACCTGTGGCCATCTGGTTCCATCTCAGACATTTACTCATCCCCATATTACCAAAAGCTACATTATTAAATTTACTATAACATGTAAGACATCATTTGTCACATATAAAATTTCCTGTCCGTGTGGGTTAGTTTATATCGGCAAGACTAGCACTCCTCTGTGTGAGTGCATAAGAGGACACAGGTCCAACATTAGAACTGCCTACCGTGATGGCCATTCGGACAAACCCGTAGCGAAACATTTTTTAGAAAAAGGACATTCTTTGGCTAATTTAAAATTTGTGGCAATTGACTACATCCAGCCACCATCCAGGGGTTGGGACCGTGGCAACATGCTACTAAGAAAGGAAACATTTTGGATTTTGGAGTTAAATACAGTGGCACCCCATCGACTGAATGAAATCATTACTTACCATGCATATTTGTAATATACTTCATTTTGTTTTATTTTTATTTTTCATGTTTGGATTGAAGTCACTTTTAGGATTTCTTGAGTAGATTATCTTTATAGTAGTGACATGCAGCATTTATAACCCTATACACCCATGGAACATTACAGTACTTATAATACATACTCCTTTTTACAAAGCATATATGTTTGCTGTATAATGATAGCGTACAGTTTTATTATTAGGGACTTGGGTCCTTGCTTCCAACTGTCTTTGCACTCTACTATCATTATTACACACTTTTATTCTATTATTTATTTCTTTTCATGCTTTTCTTATTATTACTGTTTCCTTCCATGTGATCTATATGTGGCTATGACTATGTGATGGCCAAGTTATGGTATCCTTTTGCTACAATATTAGGCACTTGTGACACTTCCTTTCACTTTCTATATCACCTTGTATCCATGCATTGATATTAGGCTGTCACCATAGCAACCCGCAATGAGCGAGATGCAGTGACGTCACCACGTCACGCACGGCACTTACGGGTATGCGCACATTGCTTTGGAGGACGCCAATCAATCAGCTAGAACACCTGCGGTGAGTTTCTTTTTCTTTCTTTTTAGGTTATATATTGGTGCACATTAAGCTGTTCGTATTGTATTTATTTTGTTGATCCTGATGAAAGCTCAGAACTTGGGCTGAAACGTCGATTTTTTAAGATTCTTCAATAAAGAACTGATTTTACTTCAAAAGACCGTGAGTGCTAGCCTATGTTTATATTTTGTATTTTTGGTTGTGGCTAAATTTATGCACCCGGCAACAACATATAGCATTATTATCTGGATATATCTGAGTGCAAGGACTGGACTGTTTTATATATATATATACTGTTAATAAAAACAAATAATAAAGACATTTTTAATAATGTTACAATTATTGAACAGCAAACTGAGCTTTCTCTGTGTATAACATTAATGAACAAACTGATTTATTGAAATCCGTGCTTACACTACTGGGGTCTGATAGTCAGATTTTCGGTTTTACTTTCGGAGTAAAAATCTTCCAATAAGCTAATTAGCTGGTCGTGGCTAGAGGTTTAAAGTTTAGTACATTTCTTTATTGTTTTCAGACCAAACAAACACATGTTTGTTAAATATTGGGACAACAAAGCCACAAGTAAAAATCCTATAGAGTGTTATATGCCAGTTTATGATAGTTTATTCTCTATTCATGGTGTCAATTGATTCTAATGACTGCAAACCATTTTCCACCAAAATGTTGTTATTACACAAATGCCTTAAAGGGACACTCCAGGCACCCAGACCACTTCTGCCCATTGGAGTGGTCTAGGTGCTAACTCCCACTAACCTTAACCCCGCAACTGTAATTATTGCAGTTTTTTATAAACTGCAATAATTACCTTGCAGGGTTAACTCCACCTCTAGTGGCTGTCTACTAGACAGCCACTAGAGAGCACTTCCGGGATCATAACACAGGAAAGAGCGTTGCTGGACGTCCTGTGCTAGAGCGTTGCTGGACGTCCTCACGCTGTGTGAGGACCTCCAGCATTGCTCATTTCCCCATAGGAAAGCATTGAAAAGCATTTTCAATGCTTTCCTATGGGGAGCGCTAATGCGCATGCGAGGCATTGCCGCGCATGTGCATTAGGTCTCCCAGGCCGGTGGGCGAGATCAGTCTCGCCCACTGGCCGAAGCAATCACTAGAAGAGCGGCGGCGGAGGAAGAAGCAGCGACGTGGGACATCGTCGCTGCCTCTGGTAGGTCACTGAAGGGGTTTTCACCCCTTCAGCAACTGGGGATTGAGGGGTGGGAGGGAGAGTGTACCTGCAGTGCCAGGGAAACGGATTGTTTTCCTGGCACTGGAGTTTCCTTTTAATATCAACAGAGGTGGATAAATGTGGCCCTGGGCAAATACAGTCACAAGGGCCCATTCAATGTATTAGGAAATAGGTGCAATACATAAAATGATAAAACTAGTTAGATCACACCTTTTTCTTATTCATACTGTACTGCAAGATGTTATTTTTATCTTGTGTACAAGGAAGTAAGATTCCAGTGGAAAGTAACGTGAGCCAACTCCCCATTTTGCTAAATCGTTAACCCTTAAGGTCAATGATCATCTATACTAGTGATGACAAACCTTTTTGAGACTGAGAGCCCGAACTGCAACATGAAACCAAGTTATTTATCTTAAAGTGCCAACACTGGAAATAAACTTGAAAACTGAGATTTAATAAAAAAAAAGACAAACAAAAATATGCCACACATGCCCCAGTAGCTCTCTATATAGAGAGAACACAAGATACACTCCCTCGGCCATCACTAGGAGATGACGGGATAGGATTGATAATATGTCCCAGGGAGGAGGGAGGCATCGGAGCATGGATGTCTGAAGACAGTGACAGTCTTTCAATTTATAAACACTCCGCTCCCCACATAGCTTGTTCACCAGGACTCCACAACTCTGGCTGCCCCGCTAACTGCCTGCCACGTACCTGAGGGGGTGCAGGGGTACTCTTAGCATAGTCCTAGCCCAGGATTGGGGGGAGCATAAGAGAATAGCTTAGTGTGTCTTAGTAGCATTTACATGTTTGTAACTAGGAGTCACAGGTCCCAGTCTTAAAGAAGGGCCCCCCTTATGTTCTCACTGATACACATACGCTGGCATACACCCAATGACACTCTCACTCACTGACAGGGCCAGTGCAAGGATTTTTGACTACACAGGCGATTATGCATTTTGCCACCCCGCCACCCCCACAAGAAAAATGCATCTTCACCTCTGTGTCTCGTAGCCCCCTTTTAAATGTTTTACCCGCGTTAGTGTGTCTCTTACAACCCACTTATGTATTTCTTACTTTCCCACCAGCCCCTTTGTGTCTTTCTTCCCCCCAGCCCCTATTTACCTCTCTCGACCCCCCCCCCAGCCCCTATCTATCTTTTTCCCATATAGACAAACAAATATACAAACATACAGACACACAACCATACAAGCACACAGACATAGTTATTAAGGCACACAGTCACAAAGATATACAGACACACAGTCATAAAAGGCACACAATCAAACAAACACAGTCATACAATCTACACATACAGGTACACTATCATACAAACTAGGGATTGATCGATATTGATTTTTTAGAGCCGATACCGATGATCTGTGAATTTCAGGTCGATAGCTGATAACTTACCGATACCATTATTCTGTACATTTACCATTTTGAAAAAATAAACTATTTCTACACAAATCTTCTGTTAACTGAACATGTTTATTATTTATTTATTTTTTTGCAAATCTTTTTTTTATTAAAGGACCACTATAGACACCCAGATCACTTCAGCTCAATGAAGTGGTCTGGGTGCCAGGTCCATCTAGGGTTAACCCTGCAGCTCTAAACATAGAAGTTTCAGAGAAACTGCTATGTTTACAATAGGGTTAATCCAGCCTCTAGTGGCTGTCTCATTGACAGCCGCTAGAGGCGCCTCCGCGCTTCTCACTGTGATTTTGAGAAATGCTTTCCTATGGACTGATTGAATGCGCGCGTGGCTCTTGGAAGAGGAAGGAGAGTCCCCAGCGCAGAGGGAGCCCGGTGCTGGAGAATGGTAAGTGTTCAACCCCTTCCTCCCCCTTCAGCTCGGTGGGATAGGGGCCATGAGGGTGGGGGGACCCAAAGACCCCATAGTGCCAGGAAAACGAGTTTGTTTTTCTGGCACTATAGTGGTCCTTTAAGGCGCAAAATATACATGCCAGTCAGAATTTTTTATGTTTTCAAGAATATATGTGTGTGTAGTGGATGCAGTGAAAGTATTTGATTAGTGAATGCAGTGTGTCTGTGTTTGTGTAGTGGATGCAGTGTATGTTTGTGTAGTGGATGCAGCGTGTGTGTTTGTGTAGTGTGTGTATAGTGAATACAGCGTGTGTTTGTGTAGTGTGTAGTTTGTATATAATGAATGCCGAATGTGTGTTTGTGTAGTGTGTGTATAGTGAATGCCGTGTGTGTTTGTGTAATGTGTATATAGTGAATGCAGTGTGTGTGTGTAGTGGATTCAGTGTGTGTTTGTGTAGTAGATGCAGTGTGTGTGTTTGTGTAGTGTGTGTATATAGTGAATGCAGTGTGTGTAGTGTGTCTATAATGAATGCAGAGTGTGTGTTTGTGCAGTGTGTGTATAGTGGATGCAGTGTGTGTGCTTGTGTACTGTGTGTATAGTGAATGCAGAGTGTGTGTTTGTGTAATGTGTCTATAGTGAATGCAGTGTGTATGTGTGTGTGTAGTGGATTCAGTGTGTGTTTGTGTAGTGGATGCCGTGTGTGTGTTTGTATAATGTGTGTATAGTGGATGCAGTGTGTGTTTGTGTAGTGTGTATATAATGAATGCAGAGTGTGTGTTTGTGTAGTGTGTGTTTAGCGAATGCAGTGTGTTTGTGTAGTGTGTATAGTGGATGCAGTGTGTGTGTTTGTGTAATGTGTATATAGTAAGTGCAGTGTGTGTTTGTGCAGTGTGTGTATAGTGGATGCAGTGTGTGTTTGTGTAGTGTGTATATAATGAATGCAGAGTGTGTGTTTGTGTAGTGTGTGTTTAGCGAATGCAGTGTGTTTGTGTAGTGTGTATAGTGGATGCAGTGTGTGTGTTTGTGTAATGTGTATATAGTAAGTGCAGTGTGTGTTTGTGCAGTGTGTGTATAGTGGATGCAGTGTGTGTTTGTGTAGTGTGTATATAATGAATGCAGAGTGTGTGTTTGTGTAGTGTGTGTTTAGCGAATGCAGTGTGTTTGTGTAGTGTGTATAGTGGATGCAGTGTGTGTGTTTGTGTAATGTGTATATAGTAAGTGCAGTGTGTGTTTGTGCAGTGTGTGTATAGTGGATGCAGTGTGTGTGCTTGTGTAATGTGTATATAGTGAATGCAGTGTGTGTGTGTAGTGTGTATATAATTAATGGGTGGGTTCAGGAGGGGGGCTTACCTGGGATCCAGAGTGCTGCCGGAGATAGTTGGGAGTTGGAGGAGCTGGTCCTGCCCAGCCCCCCTCCTCTCTACTTTCTTTGCGCTCCAGTCTTCTTGGGAGGAAGTCCTCCCATGTCGGTGAGAAAGGGGCCGGTGGTAGTTCCGCCCCTGCTGACCACCAGCCAAGCTGTGTGCTACAGGGGGAGCAGAGATTTGACGTGTTCATATCCCCACCCCCTTCACACAGTCCGCGGCACTGCAGAAAGGAAGGCAGGCTGGAAGAGTTTGCAGGCGCTTGGCCACGCTACAAGAAGTGACTGTTAGGAGAGGGGCGCTGTGAGCTTCCCTCTTGCCAGCCACCCAGACATTTGCGCCCCTGGGCCTGTGCCGCCTTATGGACGCGCCGGCCCTGCTCACTGACACGACAAACAGTGATTGGCACCTACTGTTTAACCAACACACACTTTCATAAAAAACATGCTCTCACTGATACACATACATTAACATACACTCACTGACACACACACTTGCTGACACGAAACACATCCATTGCTGCACACACTGTGTAACCAACAAACAATTTCACTGACAGACATACACTCTCATTGATTTAACACTCACTGACAGACACCCCCCACTACTGCCCCTAATCCCTACTAAAGGTCCTAGCCCCCATTACTTCCCCTAACAGCCCACTTCAAGTCCTATCCCCCCCCATAAGCCCTAACTCCCCACTAGAGGTCGTCCCCCCACTACTGTCCTTAACATCCCACTACAGGTCCTACCCACTCCACTACTGCCATAACACACCACTACTGCCATACAACACCACTACAGGTCCTTTACCCCCATTTTAGCCTCTAATTTCCCAATACTGCTCCTACGCACCAACTATTGCCCCTAAACCCCCCCCCCCACACTAATGTTCCTAACCCTTTACTACTGCCTCTAACTCCTACTTCTCTAACCCCCTGCAGGTCCTTACCACCAGTACTGCCCCTAACCCCACAACTATAGGTCCTACCCCCCAGTATTGCACCTATCCCCCCATTCTAACCCTGCACTATTGCCCCTAACCCATGCTACAGTCCCTTATCCCCCACTAAAGCTTCTATGCCCCACTTGTGACCTATGCCCCTACTACAGCCCCTAACACCTTGCTGTGTAAGGCACACTTCAACCCCTATCTCCCACTAGAGCTCCTAACCCCCACTACTGCCCCTATCTCCCACCACTGACTCTCACCACAACTACAACTCCTATCCCACTACTACAGCTTCCACTCGCTCACTACAGCCTCTATCCCATCACTACCGCCTTTAGGGTTACCCCCTAATCCCCTCATACAGTGCCTAACCCCCCACCCCCCTACTAGGTATATTGGGTTGAGGGACAGCTTGCTAGAATCTCCCTTCCCATCTTGTACTAAATGGAAATTCCATTACTTCACACATTGTATTTCCCAAACATTACACATTGCCACACTCGACACTCACATGTAGCAGATTATGGTACAGATCAATAAAGCCAAAAATCTAAATAACTCACCCCAAAATAGGAACCACAGAAGAGCCAACTGTGAAGTTTGCTTCCACATATCTGGAGAGAGCTTTTTCATTGTGTTCTGTGACACAGCCTCCTACATTGTGGCTCAGGGTTACACCAGAAACGAGAAGAGCCGGAATGTCTTTCAGCTTTGCATTATGATGGTAGAATGAGTGTTAAAACCTTCTAGTCACTGTCCAGCTTTGAAAGCATGTGCAGGAACCTGTTTAGCAAGTTACAGATCAAACTGTTAACACACAACACAGTATAGATGACCTCATAGGGTCCTGGAATTTACATACCAAAAAAGAACTCGCTAGCTGAATTTGAATCATTTCTTAATAGTAACCAAATTAAAAACAAGTTGTGGAATGTATATTTATCACCTCTATATTAGAAGTTTAATTCATGATTGTTTTTCCCTATTGCAATAAGTATATTCCACAGTGCTTTACCCTGGGTAAACAATACATACAACAGGCAGGTGACAATAACAAAAGGTGATGAAGACTTTGCAGCTGAAGGGAAGAGGATGCATGAAGATTACACAAAGGATAGAGTTCAGTAGGTTAAAGTGTTACAGACATGCTGCCATATTCAGAAGGGAAGGCAGACTGCAGAGTACATGATCCATGTCTATCTATATAGATATATATATAGTACACGTTTGCTAATGCAACTGTGATGTAAGAACATGTGATACGGTTAGAACAATGGAATTACGTTACGTCAGGTGGAGCAGGGTTAGACAGAGAGAGGGAGGCTATCTTTGGCCTGGGGCATGTGAAAATAAGCAGCCTGTTTTGCCATCACTGCAGTTCAGTAGCCTAGTCCATTTCTTCCTTTGCTCTTCAAATTATAATTTGTAATGTACAAAAACCCCTTCAACAATTAAGCAGATACAGGTGGGGGAAAAGACAAAGATAAGCAAACAAGAAAACAGACAAATCATCAAAGGAGGAAAGATAGAGAAAGATAAAGGAAAGCTGTAATTTTGGCACTGGATAGGAGAAAAACTAGCACAGAATCAAAACGTGGGTGTAGTATGGGTAATGGGAACTGAGAACTATCTAGATATGGGAATACATTTGGTGATGGGCAAAGAAAGGCAGTAATAGGTATTCAGGGCCGGCGCGTGCCGCGCATCCATATGGCGGCATAGGCGGCTGCCCTAGGGCGCACCGGCCCAGGGGAACAAGTGTCCAGGTGGCCGGCAGGAGGGAAGTGCACAGAGCTCCTTTCCTGACGGTCATTTCTCATAGCGTGACCGAGCGCCAGCAAATCCGTCCAGCCTGCCTTCCACTCTGCAGTGCCGCGGACTGTGAGGATGGGGACAGGGATATGAACACATCAAATCTCTGCTCCCCCTGTAGCACACAGCGTGGCTGGTGTTCAGCAGGGGCCGAGCTACCGCCGACCCCCTTCTCATCGGCATGGGAGAACTTCCTCCCAAAAAGACTGGAGCACGAGAACAGGAGAAGGTAGAAAGGAGGGGGGCAGGGCAGGGCCAGCTCCTCCAACTCCCAACTACCTCAGGCAGCACTCTGCATCCCAGGTAGGGATCTCCGTCTGTGTAGTCAAAAATCCTTGCACCGGCCCTGTAGGCATTTCATAAATCCCAGCCCTAAAAAAAATCCTGTTATCCTATGCCTGTATGACTGTCAGGTCTGACTGAGCACCCCACTTTAGATGACCACTTTGCAAAGGCCATGTGGGTTACAATGCAAAATACAGCAATCCAATACACAGTCCATGTAACCAATTGTGGCCTAAATATTTGTTTTTGGAACTACCCCTTTGGTACAGTCTGAGCTGAGCCACAAGTCCAAACCAAATCTAGTTTACAATTTTTTTGAAAATGTTATGAGGAAACTTTACAAGTGCAGTTTGGATAATAATTAACCCATAAGGCAGTTGAACTATGTGATAGGGGAAACTGCAGTAAATATAAAATTATTACTGCCTTCCCACATACCGGGTAAGTGAGTTAAGTGAGTCTTGTGTTACTATATAACAAGAGGATTCTCACGCACATTACTCTACTTGCTACAATGAAGTTTTCAGATAGTTCAGCTTTTTGAGGTGGGAAATGCATCTTAGAAGCAGTGATATTGAATTACACAAATTTGAACCTAAAATCAGATGATAGTGTAATGCATTCTTATAAGTGGAAGGAAGTAAGTAAAAAAAAAAAGGAATTTACACTTTCTGGAGCTAAGGTTTAGCTCAAACATATGTGCTTAAGTGGTAAAATCATCGCTTATAGATACAAATGTATATCTTACGTATTGTGGGTTACTCCATGGAATGCCTATCAGAAAATTAAAAGAAAGATGGAACCATATGGTGGAGCATTTTAGAATAATAAGTGGAAGTGAGCATGGAATTCAAACATACACTCAGGGCCAGATTAACATAGGGGCTACTTTTTTTTTTTTTTTTTACACACTACTCTTAGGTTTGCCATCTGACTGGTATTTTAAGGCACAGCCAGTATTTAAGGCTGTCTGGCCATGACGGTATTGCAGTAATACCGGCAATACAAATGCAAATATTTTTCTCAGTATAAACGGAGATTACTCTGCAATACCAGCACTGGCCAGTAGGGGAGAGAGGCAGAGATAGGATGTTACAGCATCTCCCTGCCTCTCTCTACTCACTGATCCGTGGGGGAGCAGCTACACAGCACAGATAGTCCAGTCAGCAGCTTCCAGCCTGCAGAGACAGACTACGGCTCAGATATGTGAGGGATGGGGGGAAAGGCAGCAGGGAGGCATGGGGACACTGAGACACTAGGGGACACTAGGAGATGTGGGGACACTGAGACACTTGGGGACACTGGGAAACTTGGGGACACAGACACTAGGGGACATTGTGAGACATGGGGACGCTGAGACACATGGGGACACAGTGTCTCCATGTCTCCTGGCCAGTGTCCCTAGTGTCTCAGTGTCCCCATGGCTCCCAGTGTCCCCTAGTCTCCTAGGGTTCCCTAGTCTCCCTGTTTCCCTATGTCTCCCAGTGTCCCCAAATGTCTGTGTCCCCATGTCTCCCAGTGTCCCTATGTCTCCCAGCCAGTGTCCCTAGTGTCTCAGTGTCCCCATGTCTCCCAGTGTCTGTGTCCCCATGTCTCCCAGTGTCCTCAAATGTCTGTGTCCCCATGTCTATGTCCACAAGTGCCCCCATGTCTTCCAGTTTCCCCAAGTGTCTGTGTCCCCATGCCTCCCAGCCAGTGTCCCTAGTGTCAGTGTCCCCTAGTCTCGAAATGTCTCAGTGTCCCCATGTCTCCCAGTGTCTGTGTCCCCATGTCTCTGTGTCCCTAGTGTCTGTGACCCCATTTCTCCCAGTGTCCCCAAATGTCTCAGTGTCCCCATGTCTCCCAGTGTCCCCGTGTCTGTATCCACAAGTGCCCCCATGTCTCCAAGCGTCTCAGTGCCCCCATGTCTCTCAGTGTCCCCATATCTCCCCATCCTAGTGACATGGGACACACTGAGACATAGGGACACTGGGAGACTAGGGAACTGGGTGACATGGGGACACTGACACTGTGATACATAGGGACACTGATGCCAGACTGGCCTTGCAATTCTTTGGACAGACATACACCCTTTTTGGGCATGTTCGCCCCTTTTAGCAGTTCTGGTCACGTGATTTGCAACAGTGGCCCACCCTTTTACCCCACCCATTGACTTCCTGCTTCACTGGACACTGCTGTTAGGGGGTATGGATTTACTTGAAAGATGAAAGCATTAATTAAGCTTAGCATAGAGTATGTGTTTTCTTATAGCTACATCCTTTGAGTTTCCCTTCAACACCAACTCCATCAGATACATGACGCTTGAGAGGTATAACTGTTTTAGTGTTTTTGGTCGATAAGATTATGTAATTCGGCCCATCATAACTGTCAGCACCAGGCCCACTGGGCTCTTAATCTGGCCCTGCATGCACTCACATGTGAATGAGCTCCAAAATGGCTCTTTGTGATCAGCATGAAGTAGTATAATCCCCACACTAAGATATGTGTTCTTTTGGTGTTCTTCACCCTGAATATAAAAAACAAAATATACATGCATAGTGCACACTGAAGCAATGCATAAGTACTAGTAGATAGAACCTACTTGTAGGATAAAAAGCAAAGTGGGTTACTTAATCCACAGCTCTTAGGAGGTATCTTCTCCAAAAAGGACCTTTTCACGATGCAGCAGAGGGTAAAAAGAATGGCCATAGACATGTGCAATTCGTTTCAGTCCGAATTTAAATTCGGGCGAATTTCGGTAATTCGGACATTTGGATGCTTCCGAATGACTGAATTGCCAAAGTGTCGAATTTCGGAAGTGCCAAACCGAACTGAACTGACGAATTTCGTTAGTGCCGAATTTTGGAAGTGCCAAACCGAACCGAATTGCCGACGTGCCAATTGCCAGCCTCCTTCCTCATGACTATGGCAACAGAGAGATTTTGCCCTTTAAAAACATTATTTGGCCTTATCGGATTTTATATCACTACTTCTGGCCCCTTAAGAACTGTAGGGAAGAATTGGATGCAGTCGAAGTAGCGAAGTAGTCGAAGTGGCCGCCATTCGACAAACAAACACGTGGCGGCGGCCATCTTAATTTAGTCGAACGCGGTCAGCGGTGTGTGCCCCTGAATCCATGGAACTAAAATCGGCTACACATTTGCACGAACACCGCTGACCTTGACCTTCTTCTCCACTTTGACGCTTCGGCTAACGTCGAAGTGCGTTCGACAATTCGAACGCCATTTACACTGTGCTATTTGCACGAACGGGGCCCGTTCGTGAATTCTAATGGTACTTAGTCGTTTTTTCTATGTGAACTGACTTTAACATTGGAAATAGACTGGCCGCACAGCCAAACTCTGTGAACTGTTTTGGGCGGACACAGTGGGTGGACACAGCGAGACCCCAACCAAGCTGCTGCGGTTCGTGGGAGGCTACAGTGGTTATGGTGTCTGGCGGAGTGCTTGGAGTCCTCGGGAAGCACTAGGAGCATCCATCAACGGAAGGTACCCGGTCGGGGTGCAAGCGGTTCCGTTACAGTAGGATTAGGGTTGGGGTTAGGGTCTGGGTTTAGTGTCTGGGTTTAGTGTCTGGGTTAAGGGTTAGGGTTGGGGTTATGTTAGGAGTAGGGTTAGTGTTAGGCTTAGGGAAGTGCCGAATTGTTGAAGTCCCGAATTTGGGATTGCCAAACCGAACCGAAGTGCAGACGTGCCAAATTCCCAAATTGCTGAAGCCCCGAATTTCGGAAGTGCCGAGCCGAACCGAACCGAAGTGCCGATTTGCCGAAGTCACGAATTTCGGAAGTGCTGAACCGAACCAAATTTTTGGCTCATGCACATCCCCAA